AATGCTACTGCTCAGAGTGACACTGACGGTCAAGATATCTTTGTGCACCACTACGACAATGGCGGAACTGTACTTCACCTCCCGATCGGTAGACAGAGTCTGTCGGCGGAAAAGCTCAACAAAAGATATGATCACCCAGGTCTCAAGATCTCTTTTACTACGCGCCGGGTGCCTAAGATGTCCAGACAGCATCAAACTGATATGGCCAGCGGGATCGCTAGCATGTGGGAATACTATGCCAGAACCACTCCCATGAACGAGTATATCGGATTTGTAGAGACAGGCCACCATGCCAATTTCTACTTTCGTATTATCCCCGAGCTAAAGGGATTTGGCACAAATTATGAAAGTGTTGATGTATGTGGTGGCATGGCTGGAATGCTCTAAGTGTTGCCTTGGTTTTTGTCGCATTTCCCCACTCCAATGATAAGACCGGTAGAGTCATGTCAAAGGGGCTTTATGGAGTCGTAGTTCTGTAGTGGTCATCTACAGTACCTAGTATCTCCAAACTCCTGCATATAATCCAGCCTCTCGGAGTTTCGGCCTCGGCCATATACCTAATTGTCCGCCATCGCAACAAAAACACAGATAGTCAGGGGCACTCTAAGACGCCAAACACATCTATCCTCTTCCTATTCAGTTTATTTCTCTGCTTAGTATTTTTATGGCAAGTATTTCGTGACATGTGACATAAAATTCTGCTTTCAATCAACCTCTACTATTTTGCTTACTATATTCTTCTTGACTGAGCCTTTTGCCCCTTCTTATTTGATAGCGTTCCTTCCTTCTTTCTTTTTCTTTTAGGAGCTAAATTCCCGTCTTAAACGTATGTCGTACACATTGGTTCAAAGTTATATTATAAGTTGGTTGAAACTATGAAACTGGGGCCTATGGATTCGGTAGTATCTAGACGAATGCTCAATCCGATGATATTGCCCGAGAATAGCGTCCCTATGATGTATCCAAACACTCAGCAACATTCCCAAGTAGATAAAAAATCTGGCAGATCAATTGTGACATCCTAATGAACGACTTCGAACCCTATTCCCAGCATGCATCTGCATCCGGATACGACTCGCAGGATCTGTTTTTACATTGTTTGAAAGACTATTTCCAGATTTTAGCATAGTCTCTTTTGAACAGTAGATACTAATATCTTACAATACCACTAGAGCCACGTGTACAGCGGCCAGAGCACTAGAAGAATTAGCTTACTACTTTATACATCCACAAGCCAACGATATGTCTTACCTTTGAATATCCGGGATTATCATCCCTTTGAGCAAGCTTACCACTATTGCTTGGCTCATATGCTTGCACAAATCCGAAGGTAAATGCAAAAATAGACACGAGGCAGGGAAGAGGCATGATCTTATCCAATTGATATTTCCTTGAAACAAAATGTGAACTACAGCCAAGGATTGGTTCTAAATAAGTGAAGTGAAAACCGTGTATTGAAGGAAGAAGAATTTAGCAGAGGTTGAGTAGTGAGTACAACCTCTTTTTCTTTACTTCCCTCGTCTCGCAAGCATGAATGCTCATTTATCGCCGTGAATTGTGAGCCCTTGCTTTACGGAAATGGAACCACTAACTATAACTATTGATTTGCCTGATGCAAGGGGTAAGTATTGCTTTACGGAATATGACACATCCTAGTTAACATGGGACAAGGTTTTGTGAGGTTCTTGGCAACAGGATGATATGGATATTCAGAGTAGTAGTAGCACGTACTTGTTGACTGTATAGGGAGATATAAAGCCTTTCTTATGCCGCTCTAGAGCGCCCAGATGCCTTAATATTACAAACATCTTTCGTTTATATTTATTTCTCGGGTTGTATATATGCCACTCTGGCTGCCCCAACATTTGCTATATGCGTCAAAAAAGTATGCGAAGACTTCTGAATGTTTACCCATTGTTTATATTTCTAAATGGAGAAGAATATTTAAATTATTATTCGGTTTGTGATGAGCTTCTATCTTGTTGTTCTGCAGCCCTCGCCGCCCTTCGTGCCCTCATCCTGGCCCTAATGCCTTCTACACGATCTCTTGATGTGCTTTTCAATGCACCGTTTCTGGCTTTCCTAAACTGGTGTAACTTTTCAGAGTGCTCATCTATCACCCAACTACACTGTTTCCCTGACCTCTCCTGTATCATGCGGGGGATCATACCAGTACAGTCAGAGAGGTCCAGATCTGCTCCATGCGCAAGAAGAAGCTCAGAAATTGACCGATATTGTCGTAACTCCGCCGCCATCAATGCTGTCACTTGCTCCGTCGGCATGATTACATTCACATCAACCCTTGGATTGTCTAGGAGAAGTTTCACCGCTTCCTCACAATCATTATACACTGCAGTTAAAAGTGGGGCCGTATCATCCCACACGGCATTCGGATCGAGGAGATTGGGTTGCGGGCCTTCCCACATCAGTAATCGCTCAAAGGACTCTTAGTTGGGAGCCATCAATGAGAGGTCCCAATGTCTGTGCGGAGAATTTCGCCACGGCAGAAGTGTTATGCGGTGCTCTCCCACGAAGCGGTACACAAGGGTCTGCACCTCGATCCAGGAGTTTTAGCGCAATTGACTCGCGGCGATATGTAATTGCCGCCAGAAAGGGGACTTCATTATTGACTGGTTTTGTGTAGTAACCGTCCAACTTCAACTCTGGAGCATCAGCTAGCAGAACATCCACCACCGCAGTAAAACCCCTGACACACGCTAGAGAGAGCGCCGAACGCCCGCCCCGGCGCTCTCCCCCTTCCGTTGAATTCGGATCTGCCCCATGGGCCAGCAGAACCCGGACAACAGGAGCATACCCAAAAATGGCGGCGATTAGCAGAGGGGTAAAGTTATTACGGATATGTCGGCTATCAACGTTGACATTGTAGTGACTTAATAGGAACTCGCATATTTCTGCGTGTTCTGTCTCTGCGGCATGCGAGAGAACAGTCTGGTTAGCGGCGATTAGATCTGGGTCTGCTTCTCCCAGTTCAATAGCTTTTCTAGCTGTTGAGAGACGTCCATAACGTGCAGCGTAGATGAAGAGCAGAGCCATTCGATTTACGGACGTTGTGCTGGTAAAGGTATGGAGTGAAAGCTTTGTAAAAGAGGCCGTTAAGCTGGGTGACCACGCTAATATCTCGTTCTGTCTCAAGTTCCTCGATAATCAAGAGGAGTATCTCGTGTGGCAGTTCATATATTAACGCCATTGTTCTGTTGGTTGTGATTTCCTTGGGACTTGATCTCGATATATAGGCGGTTGTTCAACCTGAACGAATGGAAATCCAATGAACTAGCAGTTTGTCGGGTCTGTCCCCTCTGACCAGAACTTTCTTCACTTGTCAATAATAGTCATTCATATCCAGGAACTAGCCTCTTCTTCCCCGCCAGAAAACGGGACGGCAGCCTAGGACGTTGTAGTAAGCCTTGCGGATAAAAGAAATTTCCCCAAACCAGCCGGCGCGGGCGTGACCCACCTTCCCTATTTAGGATTAGTATAATAATTAGGACACTACTAGTAGTACTAGTATAGTGCTATAATGCTTTTTTTTCGGCCTGTTGACACTGCTTCGCTATATCCAGCTCATGACATTTACTGGGCAGGGGTGGTTGTTGCATACATTCGGAGGCGTGATACTTGTGGTTTAGAAGTCTGCCGGGATAGCACAGTACTGGAAAAGGGCCTGCCGTTCGCATCCCGCGATGTCGGACAGTAATACCCTGTACGCGCAGGAGAGAATAGGAACCATGCCAAGCAAGACGCAGAGGAGATGCTACAATATGTTTTAATGGAGTTGCCGCTGTTAGGCCTTCTCCGTACCAGGAATGGGTTTCAAGTCTGTGCAGTGTGAAACTTGCACGAGAGAGAATCCTAAGCGACAAAGCAAGAACGATCCCTTGTGGCGAGAAATGGGGTTTGAGATCAATATACACTTCGAACCGCAATGTCCATCAAGTAACGGAGGACTGGAAAGCCAAAATCGCTTGCTGCTGTGAAAACCTTTCTAAGCACCACAAAGCTTTGAACTTTGCCATCCAAAGCTTGGTGCTATTAGACATTGGGGAGGAATGGGTGGACCTGAGCAGGCTTTGCTTTAAATGCTGAAGCATGCCCACAGCGTTGATGACTCAAATTCGAGGGCTTGGAGAACGAAGTAGCCAACTATCCGCAAAGTTAACAGCGTTACTTTGTCATATAGATAGAGGAGAATGATAAAGTATAGGAGAAAAAATAAATCGCGAACAAAGAACGACGTTGGTTCATCAGAATTCACACGTTAAGAGACGTTTTCTTCCTTTTACGGTGAACGATATGGGCGTGCCCTGTCTCGGCCATATAAAATCCGCTGAGAGGTCGAGATAGGTGTCAATAGGACCGTGGAGTCAGCATGCCTGGGGCATTACTTTCTTCATATAGAAAAGATGGACAAGGCAGGAAGTATCCAAAACCAAGCCTAAAGGGATAAAGTAGACACGACACCAAAATACTCCATAAGCGGGAATCGCGTACTCGGAAAATGCCGAAAAGATATTTACTCACCCGCAGCAACTGGGTACGTATCGACATGATGAATGGTTTTTAGACTCTGTACAGTCCAGCATATTCCGGGCTTTTGGGTTGATCCACTATTGTTGGATAGTCTATATCACACTATAGAACACATATGAAGTCTTGATATTTCAGTGGAGAGTCCTGGGGCCATGGGCCTATGAGTTAATCTCTCGATTTTGGAATTCGCCGTGCGAAATACCACATTCAATAGGAGCCTTAACGTGCGCTTTCACATTCTTATTGGTTATTCAGAGTTTCCCTCTGTTCTCGCACAATTGTTACACATCCTAATTGAAGCTCTATCCCTGCCTATCTATCTCTCATTCTACCAAGCTATTAGCACTGGCTCTTTCCAGACTGCGAAGATGTGTTGCTTTCTTGCGTGACGACTTGCGTATATCTTCAAATATAAATGTAGTCAAGGTTCCATGTATGTATATGCTTGTACATCAAGCTGAGCCCCTCTTGCCAGCGAGCAGTGATCGCAACGCCTCTTTATCCGCCCTTGGATTCCGCTCCACGGCTTGAAGCAGCGTGTCCGTGATCGGGATCTCTGGGTAGTACTGCAAAAAACTCTCAGCAACTTCATGGTGACATCTCTCTAGGACAATCACTCCCACTCCTTCGGTCGCGGGAATCGGTGCATGATAAAAGCAAAGCGTGGAAATCAGACGGTCAAAGCTGTCCAAACCGTAGTTATCTTTCTGTTCCCTATCGTATGAATACTCCTGCAGAAGAGACTCCGTCACTTCGAAGTCTGTAAGTTCTCCAACAACCACGACCGCATGTCCTTTCTCCCGACCTGGCATATCAACATCGTGCCAAATCTCCTCCAAACTTGCTTTTAGGTTCAGATCTGGACGTTGAGCGAGAATAAGTTTTACTGTGTCTGTTTTCCGATGACACAGAGCCTTTTTAAGTACATTTGCTGTGAGCGGCACAGATTCCACACGATGCAAGATGGATCTCATTATCTTTGCTTTGTGCTTTGCTGCGGCCATCATTACCTCTTCTGTAACAAGGTCATGGTTCTTTTCCGCTTTTAGTAGTAGGCGTACTGAACGAAGGTCGTCTGTTGCCCGTACAAGAGCTTTCTGCGTGATGAGGACATCCGGCTTTTTACTCAGCAGAACCTCCAGATTTTCAGGGTTGGAGGCAACCGCTTCCACCGTCCATGCATCAACATCCACCAGATTACGATCGACAAGTAACCTCAACACTTCAGATGTTCCAAAACGGTTTGTTTTAATCCTAGTCATGATAGCTTCGACTGGCAAACCATTGTGAGGTTTCGAAAGAAGCACCAGCATTGCGTCTTTTGCTAGGTACGCCGCTACAAACACACTATCTGTGATCCTTGCCTCTGGACATCTGTTCAGAATTATTTCAAGTGTCTGTGGACTTTTCACTGCTGCGATGAGGACATTCTCCGTGATGGGAAGGGAATCTTCCTGGACCTGAAATAAATACTCCATGATGGAGGCACCACGGAATCTATTCCCGGCTGCCGCGCATATAATAGCCTCGGTTATTGGAACCTCTGCACCGCCGTTAGTCATGAGCAGTTGCAGCAATTCTACCGAATCGTCTTCCCATGAAGCAGCGGCTATCTTCATCATTTTCTCGGACACGACGAAGCCCGCCTGCTGTTTATCTATAACCAGCCTTACCATCGCCAGTCCCTTCCGGACAACATCTTCGCTTACCTTCTCGGACAACGGAGCATCCGGGCTAATTTCCTCAATCAGGACTTTAAAGCTTTCATCACGCTTATTGGAGTGTTGAAAGCGAAAGCGGTAATTAGCCACAATCTCTTCGGCTGCAGTAAGAATCATCCTTTGGGTCATTGGAGCAGCTGGATCGAGTTTATCGAGCAGGAACCTCAGGATCTCTGGGCATTTATGGTTCGCTGCTGCGGCAAGAAGTAATCTCTCGCTAATCTGCGTGTCTGGCTCTCGCTTATCGAAAAGCAAACGAATCATGTCTGCCCCGAACCGATTGGAGGCCGCTGCTATTAGCGTCTCTCCAATCACTCGGATATCTGGATGGGTCCGTAACATTAACCCCATAGCTTTCGAGCTTGCATTATGAGCCCAGCATGCGACGCTACAGTCGTCCACGGCGAGCTCAGTCGCCCTGTTCACTAAAACAACATCGAGTCCGCCATAGTTTGTATAGTCAAAGCAGTACCTTTTTTCCAACTTGACAAAGAAGGAAGGGCCGATGTGTATATCCTCACTGCATGTCTCAAGAAGCACTTCAATCATCTCTTTACCACAGAGGACTATCGCATCGCATAGCACCTCATCAGTGATAGGAATAGAGGCCTCATGTCGCCGATCAAGAAGGAGCCTCATTAACCCAAGTGCACAAGAATTTATCATTACATTACTGATTATTTCCTCGTCAATAATCTTGTCGGGTGTCTTGGATTCATCAAAAAGCAAGCCCAAGTCCCAGATTATGTTCACGATTGTTTCCAATTTTGCTTTGCCATGATTTTTATGATCAATATGGGACATCATGTCCATGACTGATCGCTTGTTGACTGTAATGTCTTTGCCCAACAGGAATTCCACAATATCAAAATGTCCATTTCTCGCGGCGACAGTCAATGCATTACCCCATTTACCTTCAGAGGGCTCCAAAGGATCCGAACCCTGGTCGAACAATGTTTCCACAGTGTATGCTAGCCCCATGCTGGAGGCACGATAGATTGGTTGCTCGCACTCTTCAGGCACCTTGTGCCAAGGATTACTGGTGGAATACCCCCCATCTTCAGCTATACGCAGCCAATTGAAGTAGGTCTTAGGCTCAGTAAAGAGACGGTCGATCAACCCTTGTATGTCTAGCACGTCCCCAGCAGCGCCAACATGAGTGCCCCAGTGTTTTGCTGCATAGACGAGGAAGGGCTGCGCCATAGCGACCTCAGCTGCCAGCGTCTCATTCTTCGAAAGAAGTAGGTTGATCGTCTTTATGGCCAGCTCGTGGTGGCCTTTGGTTTCCGAGAACCGGTATCGGTCAAAATTCTCTGAGACCACCAGATATTCTTTGACAGAGAAATGTGCAAGTCTAATCTCACCGTCCGTGCTGACAATGACAAGAGCGGTTGTACAGATCTTAACAACCATATCAGGGGATCGCAATGACACCGCGTCTGCGATGGCCCGTATGTCCAACGGCACAGGAGCGAGGCACAGCAAAAGAAGGATTTCGCGTGCTATGTTTATATCCTTTCCCTCAACTCTGTCAAGTACCCCCCGGTACGTCTCTTCAAGTGTTTCAGGAATGGTTCGTAGCGCATGTTCTATCTGCAGGTCTGTATGGCAGCCTGCCAGTCGAGTGAGTTGTAAATCAGCCCAGCGGAAACGCCTAGCCAGAGTTATGTGTTAGCTGAATTCTCTCATTTCCTCAGGTAGCAGAAAGGATAATTATACCGGTCTCGGGTGCGCAGCAACTGATCAAGGGCTCGAGCTCTTTTACTTTCCTCGAAATCTCGTAGACGGCCATTGTTAACCTCAGTGCGGACAAATGTTTCGACATCCTCTGATAGCTGGGCTTCCAAATCAACGGTGGGAAATCTCTCCAGTGTTGCACGAATATCTTGCTCTGGCCTGCTCGTCGCAAGAATGTGAAGCTTATTTCTATGACTCTCGTTAAGGCCTGCTAGGAGTGATAGTAGTACCTTTCTCTCATTGCGGCCCGACCGCTCGGGACACTCATCCAATGCATCCAGCACGAGAAACATTTCACCAGGAGTCTTGAAAGTACATCATCAAGGGTATCCCGTAATTCCCCCAGATCGGGCTGGCTTCCCCGGTTTTTATGCCTTTCCCACATCCTAGTTACTGACTGCGCCAGTGGCTTCTGGCTGAACTGTCGGATTAAAGACCTGACCATGTTTTCAACGCTCCGTGTCTTTTCATTGCTGAACTGAAAATACCAGTATGCAAAGGAGCTTCTTGAGCTTTCCTCGCAGAGGCTTTTAATGTCTTGTATGACGGTAGAACTGCTTGTGATTAGTGTGCATCTTCCTGTATAGAAATATTGGCCTACCAGAGAACGGATTTTCCACATCCCACTATTCCACAAAGCCATAGGATGTGTCCTGGTGAATCTTTCCAGTCCTGGTATTGGTTTGAAGTAAGAAACCAGTTATGGGTATTGGGGTTTCTGAATTCCTGCGTTTCTTTCTGGATTCTGGAATAGTCTGCCGTCGAGATCCATTCCAGGATTCTTTCCTCCTCCGCAGCTGCACCAGTCAGTATAAGATATGCATTTTATATACTTGAAATCATACTCAACACTTTAGATTCAATGTGCTTGTTGATGGCAATGGACTGATCGATCTTGGCGAGAGTATCCTCCGCTTTCTTTCGATTGTCTATCATCCATTAGCAAAGTATTCAAACAAGGTAGAATGACGAATAATCTCACGGCGACTATCGCTCAGGTATGCCCAGTTGTCCGCACTCTGGCCCTTCTCCTTGACACTTGCTTTGAGCTGTTCGAGTGGCTGGTCGGCAATTGCATTGATGCTCATGCCTACGCGAACTTTTGAAGTCATTAGCCTGGATCTGCTGCCGGTCTTGATCCCGATGTATGCACTATAGGCTTACCGATAGCGTTCTGCTCCCGCACCTTATTCACCTCAGCGGAATAGTCTAGAATTGCCGAATAGACCCCAAGAAGAGCATTATCAAGGTTTTGGTCGCTATCGACGTTCTGGTCTCGATGATGCGCATCAATCGAGGTATAATAGGCCAGCGTGTCAGCGAGGTACTCCGATGCTGCGAAAACAGCGTCTCGACGTTGAATGTCATTTTGGATCATCTTTCTCATTTAGCCTCTAGACCAAATGCAAACAGTGCATTACTATGTCCTTACCGTCAATCCTACTGAAACAATTGACCATGCAGCAGATGCTAAATCCTGCGTGAGCAAGTATTGTATTTCCCCGCCATGAGATAACAAGCTCACCATGTCCGGTAGGATCAAGGGAAACTGCCTTTGAAATAAGGTCTCTGGCCTGGAACGCACAATGGAGAATTTTCTCCGCTGAATCACGAACGTCGAAATCGTTCCCATCCCGCCTGCGAATCTTGAGACCCCCTTCCTTCCACTCTTTGTATTTCTGCTCTGTGGTTTTGATAACATTTTTGATCACATCTACTGTAGAACATCCCTCCTTCACCATCAAGTACCGCTTGCGGTCGTCGGGCAAGCTTATGAATGCTTCTTTCCACAGATCTCGTTTGACAGGATTCCCAACGGTGGCAACCTTGGGTTTGACATTTGACGGCGTTGGCGTGGTCTCTATCTGACTGTATGCCTTGTGGGGAACCTCCACAGGGTGGGAGGTTTGCTCATGGTCGTCAGCGGTATCTGGCTTGCCACAGCACAACTTTTCCCGTAGACTCTTGAGCATGTTGGACATGAACAATCCTTAGAGCTAGTCCACCGAGAACAATAATCTGTTACGATTGAAATGTGAAGTGGAAACCAGTGAAAGAGTCTCGGAAAAGAGTTCAGCTGAGCTGGCAGCCGCCTGAGTGGGCCTTATTCTTCGTATTAATCCAATGACTAGTCGCGATCGACACACCATAGCCCCCCGCAAATTCACCTGTTTGGGATGATGATCAATATTCTCTCGCACAGGTCTGTTGTATTGTGAGCAATCAAATGAAGCGATTGAGCATAGTCTGACCAGCTCAACGTTTTCCGAATTGAGTCTCCATCTCACATGATCCTTCCTATGGCGACCGTGGTGATTTGCTTTATTATCTGCTACTGTGCAGAACAGGACCCTCGGGCCTGTATTTCGTCTTCAAATGTACCATGTTGAATGAGACTGAAAACCCAAGACCCATCGACGGATTACTACTAGTACAAGTCTTAGCCATTCTTATCGAATCCCGGAAATCTATTTGGGAAATCTATACCATCGTTACTGAAGCTCAATGAATGTATATTAGAAAGTTTAAGGCTTACTAGGTTTGACTCTCCCATACACCCCCCGGCGGACTGCGGCGAAACCCTCGCCCTAAGCCTCTGAGGGTCGGGTAGAAGTTGACAAAAACCTCAGCCTCACCCTCAGCAACCCTCATTTGCATAACTTTTTACCACTATCCCCCTTATGGATGGAGAAAAATGATGATTCATCTCTAAATTTACTTCTACTTACGTCTGCTTTTGTTACAATGCTAATGTTTTATTTTTAATGAAATAGTTTATATTGGAAAATATTTGAAATCATTTTCTTTGATTTTATGTAAAATGAAAATTGAATGAATTTCTTAAATAAAGTTATGATAGAGTCCTATTTTTAAGATTAAAGATGTATTTTTGATTAGAGTAGTAATGATATGTCCTTTTCTCTTCACTCTAGTATAGGCGTTGAGGTTACCTCCAAATACCGAGGGTTTTGAGGGTAAGTCTGCGGGTCACCCGTAATAACCCTCAGGCTTACACCAAGAATAATACAAACTGTACCTACATTATTATGGACATTTAATTTCGATACATGATATCCTCTCTACAGGTTCCTCAGCTGAGCTGAGTCTTCCACCCCCCGCTGCTTGCCAATGCTTTCAATCAACGTTAAAATAATAATTCTTGCAAGTCTTCTACTCTTCCGTGGCCTCAAGACTCTTAATATATCACAATTATCTAACACCTTTGCCTCCTCAATTTATGAGAGGGAGGCTTTAGACAATCTCTAGTTTTATGTTCCTGATGATACCCAGCTTCACACCTCCATCCCTTCAGAAGCCAGCAAACATTAGATAAATTCGACATTTAATTCTAATTTTATTAGGCTACCAACTTCTATCCCTGATACTCTTACCCAAAAAGCCTAATCGGAAACAATTCTCCATTTTATATGATTCCATGTCGAATGATACATTTATTACTTGGTGGTTGAATGCGCCATCGGAATAGATCTGGAATACAGAGGAGATTCGCTGCCCGATAGTTGTATTAACCCCCCGAGCCCATACTAGAATTGAGAAATATCGCAGTTGACGTCGTCCGTGACTTAGTATCCGTTCCGTAACCTGTCTTGCCCCAGACATATTCTTGTTGGATTTGAGGAGACCCACCAGGAAAGTGGACGGCGTGGCGGAGCTTGAATACGGGGCACTCCCCCACATGTACTAAGCTGAATGGCTCTATTATCTATTGGCTGTCTCAACGAAGAGTCTTGGCTCGAGGCGACTAGTGTGGTATTGTAGCCTGCTTGATGTCAAAGCATCTCCATTCGTTCCTAAACTGTCGATCTTGGCTACGTAGCCGGAAGTTAGGGCAACGAAGAGCAGCCTCAATCACGGGCAAGATTGGTGTTTGAATATCAGCCGATAGTTAAGGGAACCAATTTGTACGACTAGCTTCACGTGATATACTGTACAGTGGCAGTGTTCAGTTTAGTCATGCCGAAGGATTTTCCATTCCAGGACTGATCCCTTGCTTTGTTTCCCAGAATCGACGATCACATCGAGCCTGGCGCTGGGTATCTATCAGCACAACACTTTCTATGAGATGGTAAATTTAGTTAAGCCTGCTACTTTCTCTCGTGTCTGATAACCATCACTCCCAACACGCGAATGTACCGGCATCATGCTAGTGACTGTTCACTCCCAAGTGGTTGATTCTGATGTGCTTATCCCAAGCGCGGAGGGTATTGAAGGTAGGGAAAAATTGCTACTGTTCCAGGCAAGTGTCATTAATACCATAAACATTATAGATACCGAGATAAAGATTCCTACTCCTTGGATATTCGAAAATTCTCATATCGCGGATACGTTTTGTACAGAGCACTGGCCTATGGAAAGCGGTGATTTCAGAGATTTTTTCTGGCTTCTTAATTCCTACTACACTGAATTGAACGAGCCCGGTACAAAGGACATAGTGTGCGATATGAATGCATCCCAGACGATCTCATTGCCCAAGAAAAACTGGAAAGTCTCGAGTAGAGAGTACTTTGCACATTTAATGAGATCACAGGGTATGATGTTAAGGGTATTGATGGGGACTATTTATCATAATCTTGAAAATGGCCAGGCGCAAGAGTCTAAAATTCAGTAAGCTATTGCCAATTGTTTCAATGTATCACTTGTCAACTAAGAGTTCTTAAAAAGCTTCCCCGTGTCAGGTTTTAAACAGGTATATGTTATAGGTGGTCAACGACATTCTAGTATACCAGATGGAGCAGCTATGATTGGACCGCGCGAACGACGTTTGCCGATTATCTCTTTTGCTGGGGTATGTACCGCCACCATCTTCTCTTACTATAATCATCCTCATGATATCTAGTGGTAAGAAGGACAGACGTGGAGCGAATTCTTGGCAGAAATCCTCAGCATAATGCTAGGACAACTTGCCAGAAATCTCAGTGGAGGTTATGAGGACCAAGAAGTCTTTGTAATTGGATTTTATGAGCGATGTATCTATATTGCTCGGGGACTTTTTGGAAAAGAGTTGATTTCACGGGTACATGTGAAGGGCTGTACACAGGATGACACGGTTGAGTTACAGTTCACGCGTGGCTACGATTTGTCCTTGCGAGAAGACTGGTTTGAAGCTATATCCGCATTGGCAAAGCTGCTTCGGTATCTCTTAAGCGGGAACGCAAAGATGAGTGCTTTGAAGGCCTATTTACATAAGGCTGCCGATCCTGCGGAGTGTCTTTAGATAGCTATGGCTTCTTCAAGATATCTAACAGCTTCTCCCGGTAGGCAGGGGCTGATTGTGTAGACATGGACCAGTCAGACAAAATGGGCGAGGGCCCAAACTTTGTTGTCTGTGAGAAATCCCACTTGAGCAATGGTATCACTCATGCTGGGCGAGGATATGGAATTGGAAACGATTCGAGCCGAATAGAAAAGGGAAAAGAAATCGCTCAGTAGCTATAGTATCTTTCTTTCCTTCTATGTATTATGGTTGACTCTCGCGTTGTACGAGGGTCCTTTTATATTATAAGCATATCAGTCAACCTCGATTATTACCATGTGCCGGTATTTAGTTGCTGAAACGAGCAGCAGACGCTACGTGTACCACAATGAAAACAAAATATCGAGCATTAAAAACCTTGTATTTTCTATGATTCTTTCCTTACCTTCATACATATTCTTAACCCTAAAGCGCTTCAAGATACCTATCAAGATATAGAAGAAAGTGAGCTGTGAGTAGTTGATGACCACGGAGTAAAGAGAAGGCTATTGTTTCTAGCCAGCGCACTTTTATTACATCTTAGAGTCCTATGAAAAGGAGAAGCTTTTATTTAGTTATATTTCAGTTTACGGAGTAAATCCAAAAATCTAGCAATGCAGATGTGTGCTACAGGTGACTTTTTTAGGACCTTTAGGGCGAGGCAAGGAAGCTGAGGCATCATTGTCTGTATGTTTACCTACATTTCAGCGCTGAACGAAGGGAGCATTCAGGCGAAGGAGGCTGAACGAGGTGAAGTTGAACAAGATACGACAAAAAAACATACAACAGGAGGGATTCGCTGGTGGTCAGCCACCCAACTACTAACCTCCCGGCGTGTGGCTTAAGTACGGCTGAGCGGACGGGAAGCCCTGTTCTCCACACCCTATGGTCGTATGTGACAGTCGTTTCTCACTAAAGCTATGAAATATGGCTTGCACAATAGCTAAGGAGAGGCGCTGAGTTCGGACTACATGGATGTGCAACCTTTTAACATGGTCCGTCCGAATCATTGATGATTTCTAGGCATGCTTTGTGGACCTGTCAGAAAGAAGCTCATCTTTGACAGTGACAGTAGGGATATCCTTGGCTATAGGTATTTACTATTGATATTACAGTTTACCCCAATCACAGTCGCCCAGGATATATTTCGCCTTGATGCCGGAACAATGGATTCTTTAAAATGATACAATTGTGAAGTGTCAAGGGTGATGCATATACTCAATGTATTTCTAAATACAGGGAGATCGAGAAGTTCTGTTTTTTAACCCAGCCGAGAATTACACCAGCAACGAGGGGAAAGAACAGTCAGCCATTAGACATAGGAGGTATTTCAATAACATCCTAGGATAATGTCATACTGGTGAATCGGAGGGCTGCCCTCATTGTGCAAGAGAATGTCAACGTATTTTACGAACACGTCATAGCCCTATTTCTCCCGTACGGGATTCATGGTGCTTTTATCCAATTCGAGACCAGGGAAATGAAACCTCACACCCCTCCGAAGCCAAGCTGGGTTCTTTATCCATTGAATTGCATTGAGTCGCACTTCTTGTCAGAATCTAGTATAGTGCCCCCTGAGCTACTAGTTCCATGGATCGCCTGTTGATTGGGGCTCCGACCGCCAAAGAGCCCCATCAAAAGCTTATAATACATACAAACTACAACCTCAGTGGCCCATATCACTCCTTAGGGGTACAGCACTGTCAGATTAATTGACTGCGTATTAACAGGGTTGGCATCTCCTTGATCTCGGTCAGCACCCTAAACAAAACACATACAACTTCCCTTTTCAAAGAGTTAATGTCATTGATCCCAAAGCGTTCTCATCAGCACACTTACCGAAGGTAAGGATTGCAAGTCGGCGCAGTCTATGTAGGGATTCAGGGCTTCATGAAACTTTTAAAGTGGGTTGATCTATCTAGGGAAGTTAGGGCTTTATTATAAGGCAGGATACACAGACCAATGTCACATTTCTTCTGGAATAAGTAAATAAAGACAGCTTTGAATATAGTTTCCTCGAATACAAGCCACTGTTACTATATTTTTGTGCTTTACATTGATTTGATTTATTTTCCTCACCATATCCTTGCGGAGCCTTTTACCACTAACTTTGGTGAGAACCAAGGGCCTTGAAATAAACACTTTTTTTGACTCTTGGGGGATATACTCACCTCTTACTCCTCCAAAAGCTCACAGCAGAGCGCGAGAAACTGATAATGTGGCCCAAATGGCGCGATCTTTTAGTGTGAACTGTCAACCAAAGGATATAGGGAGTAAATCAACTCGAAAGCCTGTACAGCAACACTTGAATAAAGCGCAATATGACGCTATAATCGACTATATAAGAACGTACGATCGAACTGGCGCATTACTGTCTACCTCAGATATTCAAATTGGGGCCAATAATTTCTTTAACTATAGTTCTCCTAGGTCTTTTCAACTGTATTCTATGACTCGGCATATTCAACAGTTAATGTGACCATGGTTGAGTAAGACAGTCAACTGTGCATGCGATGGCACAGAGGAGCGATAATACCCATGGGTAGCCAAAAATCTCATGATACCCCAGGCTTCCAGATAGAGAAAATCACTAATCCTGGTATAACTCTACCTGGTATTTCTTAGATTACTACATGTCACGAAAGCCCTCCCTATATAGCCCGAGCTACCCATGCCCAAATAGTTCGAGGCTAGCGGCTGCTTTCTGCAGCAAGCAAACCTATTCTGCTATAAGTTGTGTTGCTTGGTGAAATCCGAGGAGCCAAAGCAGTTGAATTGAATGAGTGATTTAGCTATGGAACTAAGTGTAAAATATATGGACATGTTATATATGCCAGAAGAATGATTGACCATGCAGTCTATCTCCCCATTTGTGAGAACCTAGTAGTAGTGGCGAGGAACTCGAAGGGAATGTAGCAGTGTATGGATCAGATGCCGTTGGGAATGACGGGCAGAGTTATCCAGTTATCGTAATTGGCCCCGAAGTGCACATAATTGTTGCCTTTAAAAACGGTTTCTGCCCTGTTCAATGGGTGTTAGTTATCCATCCGCTATCATTGACATAATTCTTCGGTCATAGCTTACCTGTCACTTGGATCATCATGCTGGAATAGACCACTGCCAGCCAGTTCAGATGCGCCAATATCGAGGACTAGGCGCTCACCTCTTTGCACCACAACGTTTGTAGGCCACAGTTCCACATCCACGGTGTAGACCTCATTGGGGATCACTGGAAGGACATCGGTAGAGAGATAATCGCGATGAGGCAGCCAAGGGCGATGCCGAGGGTGCTGAGGGTTCGTCCGTCGCAAACTCACCCTCAGGGAGCCCTTCGTAATCGGAGCGGGCTCTCCCGTAGTCCCCGTGTAGAATACTTCCTCACCAGACGATGCGATGTGACGGAGAGACAGGAATAAATCCATATCGGAAGGCGTGGTCGACTGCCAGCGACAGCGGCTCATGGAAACGTTGAGCCGGACCACAATGTGGCCGGTGATCTCTGTTTCCAACTCAAATTGGGGTGATGTAAAGGACACGGAAGGACGGCAATTGTCACCGTCTCCAAATGCATGATACTCCACCTTGTGCGGCATCGTCAGATCTGTCGGCTTGGTCCACGAGAGAGTTTCATCAGATTGGAGAAACAGAGGCGTATACTGCGTCCTGGCAATAGGCCATTCATTCTCCTTCCTCCTCAAGAACTTGCTCTCAGATTGAGGATCATTGTACCCCACGTTTCCTTTTCGCAGAATTAAATCGACCGGTGGGACAGCTCCCTTCCTCGACCAACCTACACGATCCTGGCCCAGTAGAAAGGCGTCCAAGAAGCTTCGTTGAATCTCGACTTCTTCAGCATAATAAAAAGGAAGGTCATGCCGTCCAACAATGAAACGGAGATACTTGAAATCCGAGCCCGCATGGGTGTAGCCCTGCACATTGCCGCGAAGGTGCAGCAGGATCCCTCCCAAATTGGCAACACTAAGCAACGGTACCTGAACGTCTTCAAGGTTGAAGTTTACCGACGCGTAGTGATCTCCATCTCGAAACCGTGACTCTCGCGCCCGGTCAACAAGGGTAACCCGATTCGTGGCCAATTCAGCCTCGGACAACGACCCCTCAATAGTGTCATCGCCCCGATTTCGTGCAGCTCGTCCCGGGAGGCCATACTGATTCGGACCAATCTGTCTCTTGAAGATTCCGTCGATACCTGCGTTGCAGAGAATCCCACCGTGTCGGGTAGCATCGCGGTAGAAGTCAGAAAATCCTTCCCACGGCACAATGGCAGCCAAACCCTTGGGTCTCCGAGCCGCGACTTGCCATTGGGTCGCACCAAAATAGCTGATTCCCAAGAGACCGACTTTGCCGTTACTCCAGCTTTGCTCGGAGGCCCACTCGATCAGCTCACAAAAGCTATCAATCGTGGCTGGCGAGAGGCAGTCGAGGAAACCAGGAGACTGACCCGAGCCGCTCTCGTCAGCCCTAACGACAACATAGCCATGCTTGGTCCAGTAGCTCGGAGTTGGCGTCTCCCAAGCTGAGTGTTCCGTCTTGTGGTCTGGGTTAAGGTCTGCATAACTCGGACCGTTGAAGCTGCAAAACTTGGTTACCAAACTGAACATGATGTGCCGCCGCTGAAACCTACTAGTGATAGTGCACGTCCTTTCCATAGGGACCATATGTGGCAAGAACCGGGTGCTTTCCACTCGGGTCCGACGTTTTTGGCCGGTAGACATTGCAGCGGATGAAGCTCCGGTTTTTTAAGGGAACAGACATATTCTTCTCGAAAATGTATGGATATGACGTCGTATCAACCGACGACGCATCGTTCGCCTGAGCCGCCATTCTGAACTGGTGTCGTTGGACTGACTCACTTGAGCTGTTTGTGGTGCTCTGTTTCTTCCATGAATGCGACTTGGCTATAAAGCTACCTATATAAGTCAATGAGCAATCAATGCCCTGGTTGGCGTAGTTCTGAGCCCGTCCACTGTTCCGCAGAATGCAGCAAACAGCGAATGAGATGATTTACCGGCAGAGGCCTTCGGGTTCGGCATTTCGGCATTCGATCCCCTGCCTACTTTAACCCTATCTCCGCCCGCAAACGCCGCTCTCGTTATGTGGGGCGATGCCGGTAGCTGATGATTATCCTGCAAGGGTATCAATTCAGTGTTTGTGTACACTTGACGTAAGGTAGCATCCTCTGTCTAAACTCCCAAAGGGTGGTTTTCCCCTCATACAGTTCGGAGCTCTGAATGGATATTAGATCAGAATGGATAAATCTATGCTTAAGACGGGACACAGCGGGTTCATCACGATATCAGATTGTAAATTATTGCTGTCACTATATAATACAACTCGGGATAGCACTTAGGACTTTGCCTCTGCACTGACCAAACCCAAGCACCACCTCTCCGGTCGTCTTGCTCCGACACCAACCTTCCATAATCACCTCATCACCATCCTGCAAAAAGGTCTCATGTAAGTCTGAAGGCGCAGACTTGAGCATCGTCCGAGGAAGACCCCGCTCGACGAGGCAGCCAAGACCTATCTTTTCACCATCTGAGTTCGTGGTCTGTATTGCAACGTTAGTGGATACTAAATCCAAGAGTAGAAGGGCCTAGAGCGAATTGGCATTACGCTAGAAGATATTGTCCCGGTTCCAAAGACGTCTCCTGTTAATAATCCCTCCCCGGCCGATGCCAAGTGCGCCAGCTGTTGGATGGGCGTCCAGTACAACGTATTGAGATTGCTCTCACAAAGTCTATACGGCTTCTCATCTCCTGCAAACTGTACCATTATCCTGCTGGTCTCTCGAAAAGATAGCGGAAATATTGGAATCACTTACGGAGCAACGTGACAGACAGGTCAATGTCATAGGTCAGTGCCGCATCGTCCCGAGGCATCAGATGAGGCATTGGCAGAGGGTCTTGTTGCACCATTCTTTCGCACTTGAACGGCTCCAGAGCCTCAATCGGCACGATCCAGGGACTCACTGACGTCAAGGAGCCTTTGGAATGGAAGCAGCCTAGAGGCGTCATTTCGAAATTCTGGATTTGTCTGGACGACCAATCGTTGAGGAGTGTGAACCCAAAGATGTGCTCCTTGGACTTGGCGATGTCCAGTCGCTGCCCTCGTGGCACGGGAGTCGACAGCCACACCCCCATTTCTAACTCGAAGTCGAGCTTGGATTCGGGTTGGAACGAGACCACCCCGGTTTGAGGATCGGGATACATACCGTAAGGCCGGGTGACGGGAGTACCTGAAACTGCAAGGCTTGAGGTGCGACCATTGTACACCGACGGGATGGAGAACCAGTTGGACGACATCTTTATCTTCATGACCTCTGTGCACTGGCAAGTATTAGCCACTCGCAGGAGGAAGGGAGCAGAGGTAAACGAACGTTCTTTGCATGCTCGAGAGAGCAGTAAAAGTCGGAGAAGTTATGTGTATGCATTGGTAGGTGGTTTTCCACGTTGGACAGTGGAACCAACGCCTTGTTGATGGTCTTATCCAAAATACCACATCGGATTCGGGCCCTGACGGTCGCTCGAGTGCTTAATGGTAAAACAGCAAACACGTTCCAATTGTCCTGGACTGCGTCAGTCCCCATGCCCTGATTGAAATCTCGGGCATAGTTCGTCTCAAGGGACTCACTTCGGCGAAGACATTGACATCTAGTTCTGGGATGGATGCAAAGAAGTCATGGCGGTAGAGTAGATCCAAATCTATGGCGAACTGCTGGAATGCGACCGCACAGCGTTTGTTCGAGTTGTCATGGGTGGAGATCACGCCGTACGGGAGATTATCAATGGTGAATGGAGTCATGGTCTATGTCTTTTCGTTGCTGGCCACCGCTTGATCCTGGCGGGAGCTAGGGAGCGGTACGTGGAAGTATATAGCCCGGGCCGTGTATCGTATACATAAAATACACGCTTTGACCGGCGTTGGACGGAACATCAGGTGATTTACCGAGCGTACATTCCCCGAATATCTCTCGTCGTCATTTCCCGAACGAACTCACCGCCAGCGACACTTGGTCTCTTGATTCTGTCCGATGTCTGGGAGGCCTAGACGATCGTGTGACGCCTGTAGCATTCAGAAAGTGAGTCTCCGTGGTCCTAAACCGTACCTTATGGGCGTGAAGTATCTGATGTCAATGCATCGCTCAGTTGCGATGCTGTGGCCAGAAACCTACCTGCCAGAGATGCAGGCGACTTGGCCGGCCTTGCATCTATCGGCCGAGGAGGACAACAACTGCAGCAGCGGCGGCGGCGGCAGCAGAAGTAACAACTGCAGCAAGCTCGCTCACTGCTCGTGGTATCCAGCATTCCTCCCCGTCGCCTGTCTTGTCTGAGCCTTCTCTTTCGCGTCTCTACATACCGGAAAAGCGGTACTTTGGAGTCCCCACATCGTTGCTCCCGATTTTGATAGACCTATATTATACTCACCTGTACAATGCGTCCCTCCTATTGTACAGACCTTCCCTGACTCGAGCTCTCGAACTGGACACGATCCGAACTGATGTGCTGCTGAGTATATGCGCCTTGGCTTCTCGGTATGCGACCTCTGCTTCCTTATCCTGAAAATCGCCCTCGGTCCTAACCATTTATCGCCAGGTTCTACACGGACTCGAAAGGTGCGGCGGTCCTGCTTGACAGTCACTTTGATCGCGAATGGGCCGAGGCAGCGGGTCGGATGGCTCTTCGCGAGGTGGAGTCCCCAAAATCTGAGAATGTCGTTGTGTTTCTCAACCTAGCTCTCTTCTGGTATAGCCATGGCCAGTTTCGACGGTCAAATATGCTTACCGGTACGTCTCATTGCATGATTCAGTCTCATGACATACAAAGCACGTACACGCTTATTTAACTCGCAATTAGGTTGTGCGTCAAACACCGCTTGGGTCCTGGGCGTTCCTCCTGACGAGAAAAGCAACGGGAGTTCTCTAGACTCCGAGATGCAACGGCGGCGATTCTGGGCATGCTACCTACAATGCTCGTTCCAGGCTGACACACTCTTTCCGAAGATACCTACAGAGGGCATGCTGAACATCAGACTTCCGTGTAGCGAGTCCGAGTTTCAACTGGGAAATCCTCAATCGAGTGTCACGTTAAAGGATGTAGAGAGCACGCAGAGCATTTATGCCGAGCTGATAAGGGCCATGGCCCTGTGGTCATCCGTCGTCCTTCTTATCAAGCAGACGGGACTCTCCCTAGCAAGCCGTTTGGCCGAGATGCAGACTCTGGATGGGCGCATTCACGAGGCCTGGTCAAAGCTGGACCCGTGTTTCCATTTGGAATGCACTCGAATGGGGGCAGTGCCCTCCCATGAATTACCAAAATTACTTTTATTGCATGTGATTTATCATCAATGCCTCTGCTCCCTGCATTCGTCCATAGTCCCACTCTTCTCCTGGAGTCCTTGTGAAGGTGTTTTTGCGTACGCGCAACAATTATCTGCACAAACGGCTTTTGAACACGCCAACTCTGTGTCCGCGCTTCTACGTGCCTCCTTAGAGCTAGATTGGGACTGTCGAAGAATGCCGAGTTTCATCGGGTATGCTGCCTACTCTGCCTGCGCTATCCTGACTCCCTTCATATGGTGCTCGCAGCCAAATGTCAGGCAGCGCGCGGTATCTAGCATTTTGGCCAGTTTGAAGACGCTACAGATCCTGGGAAACCACTGGGCTTTTTTGGGAGTCTTGGTACGATCATCCTTGTTCTTTCCGCTCTTACGTTAGCGAAACTGATGGATTGCCCACAGGGAAGGTTTGCCTGCGGTCTGTACAAGGTGCACGCGAGTGACCCATTCCCACTGGCTGGTGAGCCGAAAAACATGACCCCCGACGCCCTCAGGGAATTCAAACCGGCGAGTCTAAGAGCGCGGCTTTCCATTTTAACACACAATTCGATCATCATCAGCGATCAAGGCTCAACCGCGCAGGGTACGGATGACATTGGGGACCTTGGACTTGAGAATGCGAACTCTCGAGCATCCGGGCCGGCGGAAGAGAATCTTGCTGGATTTATCTCTCAGATATCGAGTGAGGTCGGTGTTGCAGGTAGTGAGTTACCCATTACGATCAACCCGTTTCTACACCTGGAGGCTGTCGGATCTTGTCTTTTGGACGGCAGTTTCAACCAACCGATAATCGGGTCTGACATGGATCAAATCGGGCATATTGAGGATTGTATTCTGGAGCTGCTGCGGCATGAAGGTCTGTTACAGCAGGGAGCATCATGAGTACGGGTTTTGTTGTATTTTCACATATCAGCGCAGTCTACCCCTTAAACCCTTGAAGTCCACAACTTGTGGCGATGAGCTCGACTCTACATGATTATGGAACCATCAGACCATAGGAGTTGTAAGTCAGAAGCCAAAATGAATGCAAACAGGTTCTTTAAATACGATAGTGAGTGGGGAAGTGTCTAGAAAGTGGTGCCTGTCTTGTCGGACTCAAATACATCAAACCCCTCTCCAGTTCTAGTCGGCGTTCCCACCAGAGGAGACTGCATTCTTCGAGTAGCCCGTGGCTCCAAGAACCTTCTCTCCAATTGTGACCGGATGAGCTGCTGTTGTGTCCGGGTTAGCTTCAGCCCATGATGCGAGTCGGGCCTAGGACCTCGTACCAGAGAGTATAAAATACATTCTTGCAGGCTTATCGGAGTAGTTTGTCCATCCGTGGATGGTGCCTCGCTGAATGCAAACATCGCCGGCCTTCATGTCCACCCGAACTCCATCATCAAGGTGACTGCAACGGAGAAATTGGCTTAGAAATCGTCTAACGTGATGGGCATCGCATGGACATACCAGGTAATCTCCCCGCTATGCAGAATCCCGTAATCCAAAGATTCTGTCCGATGGAAGATCTGTAACGAAGATATCGTCAGTTCCAAACTTCACCAGCCGGGGGTTCCCAACTCACGGTTTCCGTGTTGGCTGGAAAATCGACCACTCGGAGCACGGTGCCCATCTTGTTGGACAGGTCCGTGGTGCGGCTTTGAGCTGGATCAACCCATTCATCGTTAGATGCGGGGAATTGATGGGTCTCGTAGAGCACAGCAAAATTGCACTTGATTGCTGTTGGGAGACAAGGAATCACATCGTCGTCCACCACGATGGCTGCGCCTTGTGGACTATGCCCGGTGACGATTCGTCGGGGGTGGGGAAACATGGTGGACGACATTTGGTTGTAAGTAGTAGTTATGGTCTCGACGGTATGGAAGACAAAAGAGATGAATAAAAGGCAGCTGCTCGAAAGGATATGCAGTCACTATTGCACTGCGTCGGTACTCAGACGCGACTCCTCCGTCGGATTAGGCCTGGAATCGAGACGTGGATAACCCGAATATCCCGAACCATAACCCGAACAATACCCCATGTTACCTCCAAGGGCACTTCTCCCTCGGAAGCCGAACACCGAACGCCATAGCGGAGATACCGGAGATTATCTATTGGGTGCCGGGTAACAGAACCTGATACAGAGATTCTGCAAGCCAATAGAGCTAATTGTTCCTGGGTCTTAATGACAGCGTACCGTCTGCATAATCTCACACCCAATGCGCGTCCCGATTTGATACAGGGTGAAGGCATGGCTTAGATTACTGTAATGCGATATTGCCCTAACCAGCGGTTTTCCCAAAACCATGCCTCGTTGGTGGAGTTACCTGGCCTGTTGTATCTTGGTATTGGACTTGGGCTCTCCCTTGTCTCTAAAATGTCTGATGTTACTGTTGTCTGTCTGACTTAAAGAAATGATGGTATCTATAAACTAGAGATGCGCCTTGCTAACCGCCTCTACACTGCGGGACTTTACTAAGGAAGAGATATCCTATCAAGTTGTCTTAGTATTACAAAATTGTTGTCGGATACCTGGACACGCCTTGACTCGCAACAACATGTCCGGTATGCGCAGATCGAAGGACAACGACTGATAAATTCACCTAGATGATTCGCTGCATGGAAAGGTAGTTTTCCCTAATATAGGAAGGTTGGAGAAGATTTGTTAGATTCTGGAGCTACCCGAACTGTATTATTACTTAGTTATTTATACCAGCAGGATGTAACTTATACACAGGTGCATAATAGAAGCTTATAACAGGCATCTTCTCTGAATAGAAAGCTAGGATTTAACAGGACACTATCTCTGGATGTGGGCTTCTTATGCCACGTGGCCAAAGACCCAACGCTGGTGGTTGCTTGTAGCTTACGCCCAACACTATCTTCTTACTATAAAAAATGGCACACAAGTTACAAAGCCTAAGAAATCTGAGTTCCCTAAGCCAGATTCATCCATCTATAGATAGATGTTATGATATATTTACAGATGATCAGCATTTGCGTACTAGTGGGAAACGCAAAAGGGGAAGAAATGAAGAGATACGCCTTTTATTGAGATGGTGGATCCTGCATCCAGAATGTTGCTCAAGCTTCTGTGTTTTCTATTTTGTTGCTTTCTCTTTCTTCTGCAGAGAGAAATACAAAAACTGGCAAATACTACCATACCAGATCATTCACTCCATCACGCTAGCGTCTCCCATCGTCCAGATGACCTTCATGTTCCAGCGCTTGATCTTCCACAACCCCTCGGTGTCGTCCCTCACCAGATCTAGGGAGTACAGGGAGCCAGCCATGAGATATGCTGCACCAGGTACCTTCCCAGTACCGGGTTGATAATGCTGTGATAGCACAGAAGCCGTCATCGATGCCACAGATGCCCCTTCTATGACGTCGACCCGGCCATTGCTGACAAAGTGGGTCGTGTCCAATTTCGAGACCCTGTCGTAGCACTGACGATAAATCTCACCCAGGCCATTCATAGTGTACCCATCGAGATCCAAGATAGCGTCAGGCGTAAGGGCAGAGTTGAGAAGAGCCGAGTCGGCTATATCAAATGCGAGTACGGCACGGTGAAGAGCATCGGCAATAGCCTCGCGGAAGGAGAGGGAAGGAAGAGTGGTTGTCATGACGGTCTAGGTTCCAGACTTTTCTTTTTCTCACGGTGTAGGACTTAGCGTTGCGGTGGTGTGTGGCTGGAAGTCACGATTGGCATTCCTATTTAAATATAACTCGCCTCGGGGTTATCAAACACGTTAGGGCTGTACCTGCAACAGCCGTGAGGACAGGATTTAGCGTCCAGGGAGTTTTATCTCCGGGAATCTATCAAATATTACCCGCCACTACGGAGTACAGAATATCGACGGCAGGATGTGGATGCCTCCATGGTCTGGCCTCCTGGTATTACTACGTAATATTCCGACTTTCGGTTAATTTGACAGGTCTACGTCCCGAAAAATCACTCTGCCCCATTCGGAGCCGGCTGACTACTCACTGAGTCTGATCAACGCGCAAGGGATAGCGGGTGAAAATATAAAATTCGGCAGAGCTTTCGAGTCGGAAACACAATTTCCGAGTCTTCAGAAATACATTGTAATTCTGTACTTCGTGATGTTGATATAGGGTCAATGATCTGTGAGCGACTTTTTCTTGCTTCATAAAACCCCTTCGAAGAATACAGATGCAGATCTATTAAAAGATTAAAGAAGCTATCCTTCTATACCACTGCTATACGGTTAAATACCAATCGGTTCGTAGGCTGCAGTAGAGTAACCTGCCTATATATAATACTTTTTGCGAATTTCCTACCTCCGGCCACCCACCGATGGCTCAAGGCATATAAAGTCCTCAAATTGAAGTGACTGACTTCTTTTTGGCTAGGCCAGACGAAAAGCCGTCCTGGCCTTTTTCAATTCTTTCCACATCCACCTGCCCATCCATTCATTCACCCTTCTCTTAAGATCACTAGTCTTTTCTAAAGAGTCCATTCCAAATCGATGCTGGCGCTTGAATGGTATTCGTAGACATATCCACAGAGGGCTTCGTCGCTGTCTCTGGGGTCAGAAGCGAGGACATCAGTTAATTAAGATCCACCCCCCAGTTATCCTGGAGATGGAGATAGGGCACCCATGTCCCTGCCAAGCAGAAAAGAGAGTTTGTACTTTGTCGTTCCGGCCTGCTGCGGAGGTATCCCATGACTAAGGAGGCCTATAGCGGCCACTCCGCAACAACGGCTCTCCTCACTAAGTCCATCTACCGCCTACCCATCTCACCACCGCCCCTGTATCACAGTTATATAACAGTCATACACACCAAGCGCCGGCATGGCTATGGATAAATAAATCCGGATGAGAATCCTACTGCCTGATAGGTACACGATATTATTTCACAGCGACAGACTCCCACGGCGCTTTGAGCTATGCAGGCCTTAAGGAACATCTTGAAACTCCGATCCCTTCGACCAAATCCATCTCCCAAATCTATGCTGGTCAGACGGCAGCTCTCTATTGAATGTCGAGGTGTCTATGCAACCATTCCCAGAGCTATTTATCATGCTGAGATACTAATCACATTATAGGAAATCCGATCTCGAAAGAAGACCTTTTCAAATACACGAATGGACGATTTCTTGCTGCCGAAGACATCCAATTTTCAAAGCGTTATGTTCGTTTCAATATTGACCGATTATGTGACGTGATTACAAGCCTATCCGGATCTGAAAGAGCCCCAGTTTCGAAAATTGAAAAGCTGGAGGGCGGTTTTAGCAAAGCGCTCCTTATGACAACGGAGGATGGATGTGAGTACATTGCCAAGATCCCTTGCCCTAATGCGGGGAGACCTATGTACTGCACGGAGTCGGAGGTTGCTGTGCTAAACTTCAGTAAGAAGAACTCTCCGGGGATCGGCCACAACATCTCAGCTAATGGATTTTATTGTTTGAGTACGAACCTATACGACGATTCCCGTTCCTAAGGTTCTCGCCTGGAGCTCCGATATGACGAATGCTGTGGGCGCAGAATACATCGTCATGGAAAGAGTTCCCGGCGTGCAGATTTTTAAGAAATGGGATGAAATGGGCGAGAGCAATCGCATCTCTCTAATTAAGCGTCTCACACAATGGGAACGTGAACTCTCTGAAATCCAGTTTCCGGCATACGGCAACCTATATTATAAGAATTCACTGGGCGATCCTGAGACGATACCATTGGAGTCATCCATAGACCCGAAAGGTGAATTTTGTATTGGTCCTTCTTGTGATCCCTCCTGGCTCATTCAGCCTGGCGATCAGCTTCTGCCAGGCGTCCGTTGTGGTCCTTGTAGGTATTTTCTCTTCTCAGAATTTTATGATTGCTCACTGATTTCCCAACAGGGAGAACACTTGGCGACATGGGCGAGTCTCTCATTGAACGCTCACTCTCTAGAACCGGCCAGGACCCCAACACACAGCTGCCAGCTTCTCTGTATGGTTCTACGGAGGATCATTTCTCTCTTCTTCACATGGCGAAAGAAGCTATGCCAACCGTGGCAAATAACTCTAAGCTTTTGGAAAAGTCTCAACCAATACTCTGGCATAGCGATCTCCACATGGGCAATATATTTGTTTCTGAGGATGACCCTGGAAAGGTGACTGGCTTCATTGATTGGCAGAATACTTCGATCAGCCCTTTGTTTCTGCAAGTTCGATGGCCCGTCTTCCTAAATCCACCCGAGGACTATCAAGAGGGCCTTGTAATGCCTGGACTTCCCTCTGGCTTCGAGGACATGGATGATGACAAAAAGGAACTCGCGTTGTACAGCAAAGCGAAGGCTACTTGGACGAAGGCTTACGAAGTTGCAAGCTACTTGAACAACAGGAAATCTTGGCAAGGAATGCAAGTTCCCTCGCCGCTAAAGGAGATATTCCGTCGTTGTGGTGAGACTTGGGATGAGGGTTTAGTGCCTCTCCGAGAGACAGTGATTGAAATCTTTCTCAGCCAGAAAGATTTAGGGTTCCCATCGGGAATTCTGCCGGTCCATTTTACTGACGAACAAATTGCACGGCACAAGCAGGAATTCTACATTTACCAAGAATGGCACGAAATGCGCAAATTTGTCAAGGAGGTGCTTGATACTGATGATGAAGGCTGGATTCCCCCGGAGCGAGACCTGGGTGAGATGAAGACCCGCAACAAAATGTTATTTGAGTACTACATTTCAAAGATGGCCCCAGAGAAACCCGCTACCGAAGTTAAAAACATATGGCCATTCCCCCTGGATACATAGATTGCCTTGAGCTTGCTTTCTTGGATCCGACCGGCATCGACTTGATCTCCGCAGCATCCCTATCACGTTCACGTACATGACTTCGTGGCACCTGTACAAGATCCGGACCCCAAGTCAAGCCCTCGCGACGAGCTCTGGAGTTGGTATGCCAAGTTCAAGAACTTCAGCTTTGTCTTTCGGACAGCAGACGATCCGTGGTTCAGCTACAATTTCCACGTATAGTCGAAAGCCATCGTCGGAATAAGACAGATACTAGGTTCTCGTCTAGCTTGCTGGATTCCCCTGCCTGGGTCAGTGCCAGCGGCTTTGTGGACAGCACGTATCCGGACAGAACGAACAACACGCTCACGGCGAAGTGGCCGCCCAAGAAGAAATTCCGCAATCCTGGCAGACAGACAAAGTAGTGCTGGTTCTCGTAACCATAGGCGTTCTCAAAGGTCCGGTCTTGTGAGATCGCCCCGTGCGCCCACAGTTGATGATGCATCCAGTACACCAGGACAGCGGCAAATCCCCCTCGAGATATGCGATGCGTCGAAGTGGTTTATTCGCACCGTTGGATCTGGTCAAACTGGCTGGTTGAAGGATGTCTATATACCATCTTGTCGCGCAAATCTGGGTGGATGACAGTTTCCAAGTGTGGGTGGTGTCTTGTCAGTAGCCTTGCTCCAACATATCGTCATCCTTTTTGGTCTGCGTCTGAAGCATCGATCTCCAGAAGAAGAAACCAACGGCCGGAGCAATTGGAAGCTATATCCAGCCGACGTTGTCAAATAACCGCCGACTACTTCGGTAAATTCATACAGTTTAACTAAAACATATTGAATCGCCAAGTTAGAAAAATATAGTATTTGGCTAATGCGTACAGACATGTTACATAGTTCTATTAGTATTGGAAGTTTCAACCAATTGCCACTTAACACCAACAGACATGTTCTGGGTTTTCACTCTTGTATAAAACCATTACCATAATTTTGAAATATTTCGAATATTTTTAATATCAAAAGTGCTCCGCTCTCCCCTTGCACCCTCATTTTCTATGACCTGTGTGGTACATCGCTCTCCGACAGGATCCCCCTTACGCCGATCAACAGTCCATTCACCAACCACATCTCGCCGGTGCAGTGCGTGATCCGCGGCCGCATCCGAACTTTCAGAGTATCGCTGATCGCCTCATACGGAGTACCGCATCAGGAATCTAGGCCGTTTTCGTCAAAGGGTGGTCCAATTGCTGCATCTTTGGTGTTTTGATAGGCGGAATATATACGGTGTATTCGAGCTTTATCGAACGGATAGAAAGCTTTAATGCTGAGTTGGTAGGAGCCACATTAACTAGTTAGTTAACTAGTTGTCAACATTGACTCATGTAAAAAGGGACAAGGTCACATGTGGATCGACTAACGATGTCACGAGAACGGGTTCGGTTGCCCCGTTTTGGGCCAGATTCTTGAGGCCCATTCCCGCTCGCAGTGTTTGGTTTGTTTGCATTGCGATAGACTCTTCTAGCCATCATAGCTCTGTCAATTCTTCAAAGACAGCATATCCTGCCAAGACTCTCCTATAAATAGAATCAATCATGGGAGATCCCCATTGTAATCTAAGCATCGTTCAGTTGTACGCTAGAATAACAAAGAATTAAATGTTGTCTATCATTATCTATCTCTATATACCGCTTTTCCTGTAAAACCCTTCCCATATAACACAATCGTAGAAAACTTAAATATCAGACACAGGTATACCGTATATATTAAGGCAACAGCGCGTAGTGATGGCGCTTAGTCAATGTACTTGGGAAGCGTCTTCAGGATGCCGTCCCGGGCGATGTCCTCCATCGCGGTGGTGATTTCCTGGATGAATCGCTTGTCGCCCCGCAAATCGTCACCGAACAGGCTCTTGATGCTGAGCAGCTCGGCCGGGTTAGTACCTCCTGCGCGGGCCTTAGCCTGGAGCTCCTCGCGCATCGGGTCATCAACCTGGAACTCCTTGCCGCTGTCATCGACACCCTTAATGTAATGAAACCAAGCGGCTGCGACAAAGCACAGGCGGCGGAATGGGCCAGTAACCCAAATCGCCTCCGCGATGGAGGGCATGATAAACTGTGGGATCTTGCCGGAAGCGTTGAGGCAGATGCGCGGCAGTTGGTCCATGATGGTTGGGTTGGAGAAACGCTCGATGAGGGTCTTGCAATACTCATCAATGTTGACCCCCGGAATCTCGGGCAACAATGGCTTCACCTCGTCCTGCATCATTTGCCACACAAACTTGCTGAACAGCGGGTTCTCCATGACCTCGTGGACATATTTGAAGCCGGCCAGCTGACCGGGGTAGCCGATGGCCGAGTGGCTGCCGTTGAGCAGGCGGAGCTTGTGCTTCTCGAACTCCTCGACGTCGTGGACATTCTTGACCACCTGAGCACCGACCTTCTCAAAGGGTGGGCGGCCATCGGAGAACTGATCCTCAATCACCCACTGCATAAAGGGCTCTGTGACGACAGGCCATGAGTCTTCAATGCCAAAGTTGTCTGCAAGGGCCGTTTTATCGGCGGCGGATGTCTGGGGAGTGATACGGTCGACCATGGCGTTGGGGAAGGCGCCTTGTTCAGCAATCCACTTCGCGATCTCAGGGTTGCGGAGGCGTGCAAAGGACTCGAGCATGTGGCGGGTGATGGATCCATTCTTCTGCATGTTGTCGCACGACATGACGGTGAAGGGCTTGAGCCCTTGCTGGTAGCGGCGTGCCAAAGCGGCATAGAGGAAGCCGAACGTGGTGCGTGGCGCCTTCTCGTTGGCCGGTTGGAGGTCGAATTGAATGTCAGGGTGCTCACTTTGCAGCTCGTGCGTGTTCTCGTTGTAGTAGTAACCGCTCTCGGTGATGGTGAGCGACACGATGTGCGTATCGGGGTGCGCCATCTTGGCAATGACGGCCTCGCGATCGTCGGGGGCAAAGAGATAGGAATTGATGCTACCAACAACATGGGCAAAGCTGCCCTTGGCCGACCGCTCGATGACAGTGTAGAAGTGGTCCTGCGATCCTAAGGCGTCGCGCATAGTGGCGTCAAAGGGCTGCAAGCCAACACCGCAAATTGCGTAGTCAGTCACACCATGTTTCTCCATCAATTGGTCGACATAGACGGCCAAATGAGCTCGGTGAAAGCCGCCGACGCCGACATGGACAATTCCTTCCTTGACGGCGCCACCGCGCTGGTAGGTGGGAGCTTTAACCTGGGCTTCACCAGCCGCCGCAATTTGCGGCAAGTTCTTGCTGTTGAGCTTAAGGGGAGCCATTGTGAATGTGTGAGGAGGGAGAGAGAGGGACAGAGAGAGAAAGACGAATTGAAAGGATGACAAGGGCGAGAGGCGAGAGATAAAAGGGGTTTTTGGCTGGGGCGCTGACTCGAGGGTCACCGCCAGTCTTTGACCGCTGATTAGAACAGGATTACATCATGTGGTGGGGAGGTGAACTCACGAGGTTCTCGAATTTTTCTGCCACCTGGAAAAATTCTGAAAGTACCAGTTGAATTAGATAAGCGTCCTTTCGTTTCTTTTTTCGGTTGCCGCTATCGGTCGCCCGTATCACATTTAAACTAAAGCTGCTTAAGGTTTTCATGCACGAAGTCGCTTTTTGTCAATGGAACAAAAGGAAAAACTCTGAGACCCACCTCGAAAAAACCCTAAAAAGTGTCAGCTGTTCAAAATAGACAACGATATAGATCTTTGGGAGTAAACTCCCACCATACCGGACCTCAATCCAAGCCAAAGCTCGAAAAATAGGAGAGAACAACTGGTGGCAAACTGGGACAATCTTGGATTGGGATGATGGCAAAGTGCCGGGACACTCTCCACAACCCCAGTGCTTTCTGGACCCACGAGAGGGCCGGGGCAACCCACTGAGCCATGGAACATGGCCGAAGCTTCTCCCGAATGCTGTCGTCACTGTCAATCGCCGTGGGAACCTGCTATGTCCCAAGGACCGAAGTGGGCAGGAGGTGATCGGGCCGAGATCGTATTGGTAGCATGGTGTGGGTTCCAGGCACTGAACCCACATTATCCGGGTCAAAGGGGCGAGCACGGTTGGTATTGTCAACATGGGGGGGTGGCTCCTGAGACCCTCTTCACCATCGATCCCAATAAAATGCCCAGTATCATATCGGTCTCTCCGAGTGTGAGCATCAGATCGCGTCTGAGCACCGCCCCGTTATTCAAATCAGTACGGATACAGACCGGCTATACACTATCACCACACCGGAAGTTATCTAAGGTCTTTCAGACAAGTCTCGCAGGAGGCGAGCTTTGCGTAGCAGCGTCGAGAGCTCCTAGAACAGAGTTTCAGCATCACGGAGCTTTGACTGGGGTTGACAGGAAGTTATACACATATTATTCGTAATTGAGTGGTAGATATAGATGGAGGTATACCTGATAAGGAAGTTCCCAGCAGCTAAGAAGGTAAGTTGATTGTATGCTACAGTGAGGGGTCTGTACAACCCCTCCCACCAAAGACCCACGTGATCTTCGGCCGAGATCTTGTCAGCTGAATTTAACTGCCACGCATACAACACTATTTCCACTGCCGAACTGCTTCTTCCTCATGACTCGCATGAATGTGACATGTAGACCTGCATGTATCATATAGTACCTGACACCCTCCTCTGCAGACTAGTGATACCTATCGACACCCGCATCAAACTCGACAAATGGCCTCATCAAATTCAGGTATGTCTGCTCGATAGCGAAATGCATAGATGTCAGTCTGAAGTCTCTCGTGACCACGGAGCGCTGCCGGATGAAGCGGCGGTGTGCGTTTGTTGAGCTTGGAAGTCAGCTCCAGCTCCAGAAGGATGAAGACAATCCCTTAGTTCTCAATAGTGAGACACTAGCGCAAAACTTTACGGCCCCTCAGCGTCGATACCTCGCCATCATATACCTCCCGGTCAGATGGAGCCCACTTATGTCGGCATGTTGGAGAGAAAGAGGTTGTTGTCGATGCCACATCTTCTTAAACCACTAGGATGCAAATCACATTTTCCAAAGCCACGATGCAAGAGCAGCTGTCATTACCTGCCTTCACAGCAGGAGAAATCAATTATGGATCAGGGGTGGCGCAAAGCGAGCAGACCAGGGTGATTCGTCGACACGTCCGTTGTGAGGTGGTGTGGTATGAGCTGATGCTAACCAAATCTGCGATATCTCAATCTATTGAACATCGCATATTGAGCTACCCATGATGGTGTCTATCTCCAAGAATCTTCTAAACAACGACATGTTCACACGCTCACTCGGTATAGCGGGACAATGGACGGTCGGGGCAATTGTTTCACATCACCACATAATATTAAATTTTGCACCGTTTAGAGGAAGCATCTGCAATGTCTCTTTGGCTATGCCAAGTTGAGGACGGAACCCCAAGGCCCCTTCAGCCAGCCGTCGATGTATGTACTCTAATCTGCTGTCACCTTGATTCTGGGACCCTGCCAGCGTTTGTGGCCCCGGACAAACCAATCGATAATAGCGAAGAAAATCACCGCCAAAAAGACAGGCGCAGCATAATTCATGTTCTTCGCTGTCACAGGGTATCTCGGGGGAAATGGGAGGAAGATGATAATGTATATTCCGTACATGATGACGAAAATGTTGAGCGGGATCCCCCAAAGCCCCAATCGGAATGAGCCCCAACGCACTTCTTGCGGTGCGCGGATGCGCTTAATTAGGAGGAAAGTGATGGGAATGAGATAAGAGATATACTGGCCCAGAGTTGTCAGAGACAGGAGCGCATTGAAGGCCGTAGTGGAGCCGATGTTGATCAAGGCAAGAAGCACGATACTGGATGAGACTAGAAAAAGAGCGCGCAGGGGAATTTTGTGCCAGGAGGAGATATGTACAAAGTAACTGGAAAATGGGAGACCTTCGTCGCGGGCAAACGCCCAGGTCAGCCGGGTCACCGAGGCCAGCCCATTGAGCAAGGCCACAAACCCCGGCAATATGAACATCATCAACATTCCCGAAGCAGCTGCATTCGACTTCGTGGCTGCATACAAGATCTCAAGGAGTGGATAGCCGGTCGGAGTATTGAGAGCGTCCTCTACGCTACCCATGGTGTACAAAAGACCGATGGTGAATCCCAAGGCAACTATGCCATTGATCAGGACGCTGTAGACCATGGATCGGGGAACTGTCCGACGGGCATCCTTAACTTCCTCTGCCATATGAACCACCCCGTCGAAACCTGTCCCAGCACGACAGTCAGCTTGTCTTCTCTTCCTTTGCCACTAGGAGAAATATTGATGAGGGGAGAATCTAAAGCTGGACTATACCACTGAATGTATAGACTGCAGTCAAGAGACCAATCGACCAAATGACGCCATCATTTTGCCAGCCGCTGGTGGAGTTCTCAAAGTAGGTCCAAACGAACTCCGAAGAGTTGCGAGGGCCCAGCACAACTAAAGTAATCAGGACAGCAGGGGAAAACACGATATGAATAATGCCACCGATCACTTCCACGGCGGGCAGCAGACGGCGACCGTAGATGTTCACGGCCAAAGGGATCAACAATACCGCCCATATAATCAAGGTGGTATGCCAGGGCTTGGGGATATAGCTCGGGTTGCTCTGGACCGCAAGGGCCTTAATTTGGGTTCCAATCAAAAAAGGCGAGGTGGCGGTATTGGCCCACCAAGCAAAGATCTGCCATCATGTTAGAGAGAGAGCCATGCAAGTAGACCAGAGTGTTAGGGTGCCAGACTGTAATCCATCCTGTTCTGCGCTTAGTGAGCATGCATCGACACAGAAGTATGAATCTTACCTTGCATAAAGCTCAGGAATCGAGGAGCGCACGGAGCAAGATCGTAAGTCCAATGGTACTGAGCTCCAGCCACAGGGGTTCTATTTTGCCAACACGTTAGTCGAAACGGATTCATCACCGGACCTATTAATCAAGCAGTCCACCAACATCGATGCAAGTTCGGCCAGCGAAAGAGCCATTGCCAGCGACCCGATAATTGTCAAGATCAGCCCGTAGATAAGGGCCACAGGGCCACCATTCTCTAAGCCCGCAGACATGCTAGCCCCGATCGCTTCCCAAGAGGCTTGCAGAGTCGCGGCAAAGGCCAGCATGGGAAGGAACCCGAGATATCGCTATTTATAGTTTAGAAAGGCCAATACTTAGATCCACTAATTTGGACTTGGTTCGATAACCATACCTCAAGCCCTGGTTTCCGCTGAGACCCTTGACTCTGAGAAGGTGAAGGCTTACGGACGGTATCGCGAGGCAACTTGTGTTCGCCATAGCCGTGGGCCATTTCAATCTCATTGTATTCCATTGCTGTGACCGTTGAATGGGCTGTATAATGCACGTTCTTCCGAAAGAAAAGCCAGCGGGGGGTGCGTGGTTGAGAGCAGAGTATGGGGGGAAATGCTTACTGAAAAACAAAAAGGAGAAAGGAAAGAGGAGAAGAGAAGTCACCTATCCTCATCCTACCGACTGCGCTGAAGGTACAGCCTACTATGGTCATGGATGATACCCTGTCCAACCTCTGAGCTTTAGTCCCATGTAGTAAAGATCATCGAGGTTCTAGCCCTGGGCGGCGTCACACAACCAGAGGTAAGGCTACACTAAATATTACCGATACAGATTAAGAGCCTACCAGGAGATGTTTTAACACACTCAATAATAGTCTCATCTAATATGCTGTATCGATTTCTCTTTGTTGGAGTATATTGTGCCGTTTCATCTCGTTGACTGCGAGCTACAGATTGGAAGGAAATAGGTTGTTATTACACGACTGCACGCAATCCCATCCGAAGAGAACAAGGAAGAAAGAAATGAATACCCCCAGGACAAATAGATTTCACATGAATCCGATCAGGGGCATAATCCCGCGCCATCTAGAACATGATGCCACACGCACATCACTCACTCCCTCCCCTTTCCCTTTCCCTCTCTCTGCTTTAGTCCCTTCTCAATCCTCATGGAACCTTTTACCCCATGTTATCCTCATTTTCGTAACTCTGACCTTGGTTGTCTATTCCATTCCACGATGCCTATCAAGACTGATCCCCTACCCCCGCTTGAAGAGACAGGGGTGGACAACAATGGGCCCCTGATATCAATCGTTACGTTTATTTCTTTTTCTGTCACATTCATCGTAGTCCTCATCAAGACTTGGTCCATGGTATATCTAAAGCGGGTGGTACTTTCCGTCGATATTCCAATATGGGCCAGCACAGTGCGGCTTCCATTCCATGCAACACCGTCTCCAAATAACAACAAGGGATTCACTCTCCACAGAGTAGAGCTAATATAATAATAGATATTAGCGCTTGTTCAAAGTCTCCTGATACAGTTTGCCGTCGATCGTGGACTTGGAAGGCATCTCGAAGCCCTCTTTAACAGTACATTAGATAGGAACAACCAGGTGAGTCTGTCTTTAACCTTGAAGCGTGGTCGGAACCAGGAATCCAAGGATCCCCGACGCACTTAACTTCTTAAAAACACTACTCAAGACTCACCTTTCGCGGTAGCTAATGGAAGGATTTCCACAGCTGACCTATGCTGCGCAAATTATATTCTTTTTGGTTCTTGCCCTTACTAAAGTATCGTCGAGCAATTTGATCTTGTCGATCGACCCAACCCAATCCATTAAGATGTATTGCCACATTACGCAGATGGCCATTGCTGGATGGACAGTGTTGGCAGTCTTTGGATTCGCCTTCCAATGCCAAACGCCACGTTGGCAGTATTTTCCTAGTCGCTGCCTTGGAGAGGTGAGCCGAATTTGAGGAATTGATCTTGGATCCGAGCCCTACGCTCAGACGTCCTAGGGAGCCATCATGTATCCGATTGTGGCTATCAACATGCTAGTCGACCTAGCGCTTGTGGCTCTACCAACAGTCATGCTTTGGAACGTCCAAATGCCATTGGCTCGTCGCGTTAAGCTGATTACAGCATTTGCGTCTCGCATTGTGTAAGTCTCACGCACATGTAAACGGAGTAAATGCATTGCAACTACGACTGATTATGAGCAGAGTCGTTGTTGTTGATGGTTTCCAAATATCCCACCTGGGACAATACCTACATTCTACCGACCCCACGTGTTCGTCATAACTTCCCTCCACATATCCGGAATCCGAACTTAGCTGATGCAAACATTTAGGGTCGATTTTCAGGGTAACTGCTTGCAACCAGTACGGCATTTGAAGTTTCTCTCGTAGCGTTCCTTCCATACGGGACGTGTTTATTCTCCGGTCTGCTAACTTTGCATTCCGCCGAGCAGAGTGATGATGAACGCCGCCATTATTACGACGTGTATCCCCAACTTGTACCGTGTCATGAATAGCCTGGCCCTCGGAATGAACAGAGCCCGAATCCCTGAGGAGTTAGAGCTGAGCTCATCGAAGAAGTCTCATGGGGCAGAGTCTGGTTCCCACGATGTTGCTTCTCCGGTATCCAGCTTCCAGGCCGGAAAAGGTGTGCTCAAGGTCCTCTGCTACCCCCGAGATGCCGGTACGAGAGAAGATAGTAAATGTGTGCAGTGTGCCACTGTTTATGCCGGTGACCACGATGGGGCTGAAAGCACTGAAAGTATCATTGCATCACATGATACAGCCTCGGATCATGTCAGTGCACTGGAAGATGAAGATTATTCCCAGTGCAGGATACAGAATGACAGCTAGTAATTGAGTGAAATAGGGAAACGACAATATCTCAAATTCAAGTTTAGAGTCTAGTATTGTGAGAATATATCTCTTTCGTCAGTTCGTCTGGTTTTTGTATGCTAATGAAAACTTGAACTAGTTTAGCGTGCCACTCTCTATAAAACTCAAAACACGGGGGAAAAATTTGCTTGGCCCCCAAATTACTCCGTAGCGTCCTGCCTCGGATGCTTATAACAGTCACTGCTGTTCCCCTATCGAGATTCCAAACTGCTTTCGCTTGTATGTCTTGGATTATATTCCGAGGCAATTGGGTAGAATGGCGCCATGGGTACTTACCACCTTGTCTCTCCTCACTACAACAATCAGTATTCTCATCAAACCTACCGGACACCCAACACTTCTTGAAAATGTAAAGCACAACGTACTCATGCTTTCTCCATCCCAGGCGGCGATCCTGGTCGGATTAATGCTCCTTGATTTAATTGGCTGGAGACTCTTGAGCCTCGCGGACATACACGCCGGCTTAATGATTCTCAACCATTATTATTTCACATCGGGCCCGTCTGGTCTCGAGCACAAACTGTGGTGGCGTTTCACGCGGCGCGCGTTTCTCATAGTAGGAACAGTTCCACTGTACGTGATCCTGCTAAGGTCCGAGCATTCTCCATGGATCAAGATCATCGTGACACCGTTGGTCGCTGATTCTATGGTGGCCGAACTGTTATCTTTACACTGGGACGCTTCGGATGAAGACTTGATCTATAATCGAGACTGGCCTCGTAATACGCTCGTTGTGAAGCCTGCTAACCCGCCCACTCGCAACCATCACGAGAACCGGGAAGGTGCAGATGAAAAGAAGAAGACAAATGAGAACAGAGATACGTCGTCATCTGTCACCACAGAGAATCTCTGCGAGCGGGTATACGGGCTCTGGTCGCCAGTAGCCGAGGCAGATGACAAGCAGGATCCACGATCCTTGCCTCCGAATGATGCCAACTTAGAAAAGATTTTCTCTCCCACGTACCAAGCCCCGGGGTGCAAGTGTAGGCACTGGCGGTGTCTCATCTATCGGGTAAAATACCTCGCCACTCGAATTGTCCGTTGGCCACTGTTATTTGGAGACCTGGCGTTGATCACCTGGCTACTGCACCGCGACCTGCAGCCCGGGACGCTCCTAGTGGCGGATGCCTTGCTAGACATCCGCCTGTTAAAGGATCTGCTCACCCTGTCGTACTATGCATGCATTCTTTTCGTCGGATGCATCTCTGTTGTGGTCGCTGTGAGGCTGTTATTCCGCCTGATGTGCCAACATATGTCCTTCTTACGGCGCATACAGCAGTGGTTCCAAGACCTTGCCACTGCGGCTCCAATCACCCACAAAGCCACCCGCATTTTCGGATTTATGATACCCCATATTCTGATCTTCTACGTCTGTAGATATCAGATCACGCAAATCCCACCGTTGTCACGGAATATCCTCTCGATTTTCATTGAGCTCATAGTGATTCCCATCTTTTACGCCATGATGTATTTGCTGGTCTGCGGCAAGGAAGCTAATGAGGGTATCCCTACGGACCCTGAACTCCAGCCCCAAGCCGAGCCAACGTCGGATGCAGGCTCAGGTCCTGATAGTACCTCCCAGGATAGCAATAAAGACGCGGGCAAGGATGCACCCGGTTCCCGCCAATCGGTGGATGGAGACCGCTTCCATATATTGCGACTTGGCTTGCTTATGTCCACCGCGACCATCTGGTTTTTTTTCTGTCGTTAGGATGTTTAGATAGATATGAGCCCTATGCCTATATACAGAGTGGTCAGCTAAATCGCTTTCTCGCAGTCTAGTCTCAAAATCTTGTTTGGATCTATCATTTCATCAACTCCGCCTAGGACCATGTATATCCGCTCCACTGGGCCAGCTATGCCGATTATGTGAGCTACTTCTGTAGTGTAGTGGGGCTTTGACAGAGCTCTTTAAGAGCTGATAGCATCTTTGGCAACTACTTTACTCCATAAGTTGTCGAAATAAATAGCAGAGGATAGTCACAGTTGTGTGTTGATCTTGTGAAGAGTAGTTACGAAAGAAATGCATCACAGGCAATGCTTTCTTATCTCACGTCACAAGATAGCCAAGGATAGCATGCCGAAAGAGGACAAAGCATTAGCAATTTCAAACTATCGATGTTGTTGAGTTGGATGCTTACGTGAGAATGCCTTTCGCAACGCCGTAGATTTGATCAGACTTTAGAACCGGGGGTCTGTGACAGATCGGTATCTGCACACGATCCATAGCACTACAAGAGCTTTGACGTTCAATCGATTCAATCCTGTACACCGCTAGCACGCAAGAAGCAGATACCTGTCCCACGACACGGCGACAGCTGCTGGCGGATTGGGATCTCAACCGGTGGCACCCATGCAACTAATTGATTTATTCTGTTCACCCGTCAGGCTTTGGTATCCAAAACAAACTTACTCAATTGGCTCCTGAAAGTTAGGGAGGGATTAATATTCTTTACACAAGTCCTCTAGGCATAGTATTCCTAACACTGCGCGATATTACGTACCCATGTTGGCCTTCTATCACTGTTCTTGCTCATGACCCAAGATGATTATTGAGATTCGCGTTGTCTCTAGGTAGGTAAGCCGGGGTATGGCCCACATTCCAACATGCTTCATAAGAAAGTTATCGGTAAGAATGCAACTTTTGGGTGAAGCACGTAACAGGGGTCAAGACGTGTTAAGGAATGCTATTCCATTACGTATGTGCCACTGTCTGCTTACTGTCAGCACCAAGAAGCTCACTTTGACGGTGGCTCAGCCTTATCAAAAAGCTGATCAATAGGTTCTGTATAGCAGATGACAAGTACAATGAGTCAAGGATTTAGAATATCATAATCTAGGTTCTTACGGAGAAGAATGTATTGAATTCACATTCCTTTGAAGACAAACATAATTCTGGTCCTATTGTCTTCTAGAATACTTACCCGGATTCCGAACGGGTTCCATTGCTCGGAGTTTTATAACGTAATTGACAACAGTCGATGAAGATCTGCGAGCCACCAAACTGTAATTCCATCAATTCTTTAGGCACTATTTCTGAGGTGAAATCTTAAAATATTAGCTATAATAGAATACAGAGGTTCGGAAAGATCACAACTATTAAGACTGAGATAATTTAATTGTAAATTATACTATATTCTTCTAATGGCAATTGTTAAATTTTAGAAATATTAAAAACTTGCCGAAGTTAGAAGTATTCAAAATAGAGCTTTTTAGAATTCCACTTGAGGGATCCTTTTGCCATCTTTGGGAATAAGTATTAATAATAGTATTATAAAATCTGTAAATATGTATTCTCTTTGATTTTGGCATTTTATCTTGTTCTTTCCTACAGAGAAGATTTACAGTTTTTAACCATTGAGAGTGGGCGGTGCCAAGACCGTACAGATATATATCCGCACAACATTATAGATGTTTCCTTGCAGGGCTAGAACAACTTCAGGTGGCTGCCAAAAGGTAACTAACTGTTTGATAAAGTAGAACATGCCAATTTCTCTTTGCAATTATGGTGTCATTGCATAATGCATAATATTTGCTACTATAGTTTCTACTCAGGAATCAAGGATTGGAAATGGAAAGTTCTGCAATGTTGTTGGCACCCCGCTTCGGAGCGTCTCCATGGTAATCAAGCCACGGAAACGTTTCCGTTATCTATTTGTCCACCCATTGGAGCTCCACAGTTCAAATCAAGCTACCCTAGCGACAACACAGATTGCACAATCTCTACACAGTACTTGAAGGACTATACTAGTTGACATATAATGTGAAGCGTATACAATTCCAAGCAGTCGAGATAAAGTTGTTAGGATCGGATCGTAAGCAGCAATGTGATTATGTTCTTCCCTCCATTCCATCTAGGGTTGAGACCGATGTCAGGTATCGCGGTACATTCTTCAGTCTGGCAAGTCCGGCGGTGTACTTCAGACTCCCCACCTGGTTCATGGAGTGGTATACTAATTACCTAATGGTATCACGCCTTCATGATAGAGATGTAGCAATCGCGATATTGCGGACTTCAATTAATATAAATTGATAGGGCAGGTTTCTCTCGGCAAGAAAGAAGCGTCGGCTGGGCGGTGCTTGTACCGAAGAAGCATAGCGGGGACACGATTAGTCTCTGCCGAGTCTGAATATTGCGGAGGATCGCAGTTCAGGTTACATTGAGCCAGAAAATGGTACAATTGTGGGTAGAGGGGGAGGGAAGGGTTGAACACGAAGTACACGACGAGGAAAGGTACTTGGCTATTGATATGATGTGTATTTATAGTCAGCAAATACGAGTTCACGCCCCAATGTGGACGAGTACAGTCAGCAGTCCGAAACAATGCTTTTGTTGTTGTGTTGGCATTGTTTGTTCTTGGGTGCCTTGGCATGCAAACCAGACAAACAAACATCGCAAAAAAGACAAACAAATCGTAGGAACAGAAGGGGGAACAGTTCAACATCTCACATCAAATCGACATGACTTAAACCCGGTATCTATATCGAACCGAAGAGCAAGATGCAAGTTGTCAGCGACGTATCCTGCACGCCCAAAATGGCAGCCTGATTATCGGCTTGGCCTATTCGGTGTCGCGTCCCGAATTAGAATAGTGATCTCCACATCCCCTGACGATCCCATCTCACCTTGCATTCTGATAAGCCAGGGCGCGCGATTCCCCCATTGCACCATGTAACTATGCGCTGCGGGCTTGGCCGGATCCCCTGGGGACAATCCAATCATGCTGGCCCGGCGAGGAGGGTCCCGACGGACGTCCGGTGCATTCATTGATTGCTCAATGGCATGCAGAGTCAGCTGCAAAGCGATGACACTGCGCTATCGATAACAATTACGCGAAGGCTGGTCGTCTAGTCTGGAAATAAATACGCTCCGCATTCGCCTTCTTCGTCTTTCCCCTCTACAACCATTGTCCGCCATTAATCCCAGTCCACGATGTTCTTCACCCGTGGAGCGCTTTCGCTCGCAGTGCTTTCACTGCTCAGCTCCTCCGCCGCAGGGGAGACTTTCGAGAAGCTGTCTGCCGTTCCCAAGGGTATGCGCCCCTTAGTCCACCTCATGGCCGATAAGCATGAGCTCTAGAAGTCCTCGGTCGCAATACTAATTGTCTACTAGGATGGCACTACTCTAGCACCCCTGAAGACAACACCTCGGTTTGTCTGAAGATCGCCCTCGCGCAGAAGGATGCTGCTGGCTTCGAAAAGGCCGTCTTGGAGATGTCCGATCCCGACCACCCCAGCTACGGCCAGCACTTCACCACCCACGATGAGATGAAGCGCATGCTTCTCCCCAGGGATGACACCGTTGATGCCGTTCGACAGTGGCTTGAGAACGGCGGCGTGACCGACGTTAGACAGGATGCGGACTGGATCAACTTCTGTACTACTGTCGAGACCGCGAACAAGCTCTTGAATGCTCAATTCAAGTGGTACGTCAGCGATGTGAAGCACGTCCGTCGTCTCAGAACCCTGCAGTATGATATTCCCGACTCCGTCGCCCCTCACGTCAACACCATCCAACCGACAACACGTTTCGGAAAGATTAGCCCCAAGAAGGCCGTTACCCACAGCAAGCCCTCCCAGTTGGACGTGACCGCCCTTGCCGCTGCTGTCGTTGCAAAGAACATCTCGCACTGTGATTCCGTCATTACCCCCACCTGTCTGAAAGAACTTTACAACATCGGTGATTACCAGGCGGATCCCAACTCGGGCAGCAAGATCGCCTTCGCCAGCTATCTGGAGGAGTACGCGCGCTACGCTGACCTGGAGAACTTTGAGAACTACCTTGCTCCCTGGGCTAAGGGCCAGAACTTCTCTGTGACGACCTTCAACGGTGGTCTCAATGATCAGAACTCCTCGTCCGATTCCGGCGAGGCCAACCTGGACCTGCAATATATTCTCGGTGTCAGCGCCCCACTGCCCGTCACTGAGTACAGCACCGGAGGCCGTGGTCCCCTCATCCCTGATCTGACCCAGCCGGATCCCAACGCCAACAGCAACGAGCCGTACCTGGAGTTCTTCCAGAATGTGTTGAAGCTCGACCAGGAGCACCTTCCCCAGGTCATCTCGACCTCCTATGGAGAGAACGAACAGGTAGGCAACTTCCTCATCGGTGATTCTTGAAGAAACACATACTAAATGATACCCAGGAAATCCCCGAGAAGTACGCTCGCACCGTTTGCAACCTGATCGCCCAGCTCGGCAGCCGTGGTGTCTCCGTTCTCTTCTCCTCCGGTGACTCCGGTGTTGGCGAGGGTTGCTTGACCAACGACGGCACCAACCGGACTCACTTCCCTCCCCAGTTCCCCGCCGCTTGCCCGTGGGTCACTTCCGTCGGCGCCACTTTCAAGACCACCCCTGAGCGCGCCACCTACTTCTCCTCGGGTGGTTTCTCCGACTACTGGGGCCGTCCCGAATGGCAGGATGAGGCCGTCAGCAGCTACCTCGAGACGATCGGCGACGCATTCAAGGGTCTGTACAACCCCTCCGGCCGTGCCTTCCCCGACGTCGCGGCCCAGGGCATGAACTTCGCCGTCTACGACAAGGGCACCTTGGGCGAGTTCGACGGCACCTCCGCCTCCGCCCCGGCCTTCAGCGCTGTCATCGCTCTCCTGAACGATGCCCGTCTCCGCGCCGGCAAGCCCACTCTCGGCTTCCTGAACCCCTGGCTGTACAAGACCGGCCGCCAGGGCCTGCAAGACATCACCCTCGGTGCTAGCACTGGCTGCACCGGCCGCTCTCGCTTCGGCGGCGCCCCTGATGGCGGTCCTGTTGTGCCTTTTGCTAGCTGGAACGCTACGCAGGGCTGGGATCCCGTCACTGGCCTCGGCACTCCCGACTTTGCCCAGCTCAAGAAGCTTGCCCTAGGCAACTAAGTTTTGTTTTCTATAGATATGTTAGATACCACTATGTACAATGTGTCTTAGATGTGTTCAATACAACTGTTCATAAATACCTACACTACGAATTTAAATAAGGTTGCAACCCCGGTTTGCTTACGTGAGGGTCAAGTATGGGGTACAGGAACATCTTCCAATAGACCTTAGTCTTACCAAGCTGACAACACATTAGCGATAGCACCCCACAGTAAGTGCTGGTCTGAATAATCTTCCAAGCCAAGAGTTGTGACTAACACTCAGCCTCATCGCCGTGAGAATACCTCCACCTGTACGTAACAGACGAAAACAACATAAACAGACTGAAAACTACCTGATATCATAAAAAACCAAAACCATGAACTATCACCCACCAATAACCACCAGTAGTATATACATCCACCCAGTTTGAATCATAACTCATTCCCACCAAATCCAAATCCACCCAACTCAACCCACCTCTACATTTACCAAACCAGCCCCTACAAAACCAACAAAGCCCCCACAGCAACAGCCCCCAGCTCCAAGCCCATATAACCTGTAATAGCAGGCGCAGCATTAACAGTCCCTGTCTCCCCGCCCTGCGCAGCGCTCGTGGACGAAGCAGTCGTACCGGCACTGTCATTTGCACTGGCAGAGCTCGAAGCGGATCTCGAAGCGGATCTCGAACTAGACCCGGCCGTAGACCGAGTTGCCTGGGCCGATGTCGTCGGCGAAGTCGCAGACCGAGAGGTCGAGTCTGCGCTGGAGCTGGAGCTGGAGCTTGAATCGGATTCGGATGTAGGAAGACCGGGGGATTCGGCCGTCGTGGGGCGCGTGTCTCCACTGGTTGTAGTCGCATCTGAGGTTGCGGGGGCGCCGGTGTTGAACATCTTGCTGTCGGCTGGCGTGTGGACGGTTACTCGTGTTGCTTCGCCGGTGCAGTGTCTGTATCGGTTAGTCTTGGGTTAACATATGGTATATAGAGAGATTGTGGGGGGGGGGATAGGTAAGTAAATACCCCATAAAGCCATTGCAGCATCCGACGAAGACGTTGCCGTCGAACTGACAGCGCTCGGCGAGGTTACAGCCGACTTGGTCTTATTAGTATATTTCCATCAAAACCAAGAAGAAAGGTAAGTAACTTACTCCCGCCGTTATCATGGGCGCAACAATTCGGCGAACATCCAGTCCCGCAACACTGTCCAAGAAAACACACTCCACCATCAGGACATGTACCTCTCCTCTCCAGACCGGCCTCCTCGATAGGCGTGAACTCCCTACTCGCCAGGATCGGGGCCCGGAGCGCCTGCGCTTGTTCTTGTTCTCCCCGCGCAGCAGCGAACGCGGCAGAAGCCAAGAGGAGCGAGAGTGTACTGGCGATATACATTCTTTACCAAGTTTATCCTGCTGTATGAAGCCCGGAACCACGGTACATAGACCCAAGACTAAGAAACGATGGAAAGAAAGAAAGAATCGCAAAGATCTCCACCTACTAGCAATGTAGTAGTATTTAAGCCCTTCAGCCTCAACGTGCCTCGCTTCCCGTCTCGTATTCGAACTTGGCACAGGCCCATTGATCTTCAGTGTTGGCGGGCTACTTGTGAAGATCCTAGTACGGAATAGGTAAAACGTCAGTTCGTTAATTTAGGGTCTCGTATTCAGGGTCTGTTTGTGTGTTGGGGTTGTCGGGGCTTGCCGATATGATATGCAGGGGTTGAGTCATTGGCTTGGGACGGAGTAGAGTTTACTGGATGTGACATTTTCCAGAACAATGTTTGCTAGTCATGGAGACTGTGTAAAGTAGAATAGATAAGCATTATGTTGGGTGGATACCATGGTATCCTGTCATTGATAGGTAGGGCTGTGGTGGATCCCCTGGTTGACTCCAGGATTTGTCGGTTACTCTATGTTCATGATTTTTGTAGAACTGACTACCTGACTCAGGTCTCTTGTCGAAAATTTTAGGAGAGGCTTTGTCTGGAAGCTTGGAATGTGTTGATTATTTACAATGGGTCCTACATTGACGTTGAGCGTGTCGACTGCTGGCAATATGTTGACAAGGCCAGCACTAGACGCTTGGCCGGTTCTCCTAAGTTCCGTCTTGCCTATCGCGGCCCTTCTACGTAAGAAGTAGCGCAAGCATACCTCATGTGCCTATTACAGAGGCGAGTAACGATTTGACAAGTCAAACCGAAGGGATGGTGACTGACCCCTACCACCAGCAGAACCGAGGCTGTTCACGACGATCAGTATAAGAGGACAGCACGCTTGGATGGGTAAACTTTCAACTAATGGTCCGTAGGTGGAGAGATGACATACAACCTCAATGAGATCAGCTTTTCTCTAGGTCACTGAAACGGGAAATGGACGGTATGTGGCTATAACTATGGAGGTGTTATTCTGCTTTGTTAATATGGTACTTGACTTCGAAGAAAAGGCGCAGGCACCGGTCAATACCGATGATTCCCTTTACAAACGCTATCTTCTTATGGCTGTCACTAAGATGACGTCTGTAACTACTCGGTGTCGTCTGCAGTTCAATACCCTCTGCACGCCCTCAATTATTGAGTATTGAAAGGCGAAGAGCAAGGATAAATGATAAAAGAAAAAAATGATACCTAGAGAATCTTGCATTGAAGGCATGACGAGGTTTTCATTGTACACTTAACGGCAAGGTAGGCCTCCCTCGCGAACCAATATCCCTGGTCTAAAAGTGTTACTTGAATTCTTACGCCCGTATATAACACCAGTAATAGCACTGTCATTAGTGGTGTTCATCTTTCTCATCCAATCCATCATTTAGCCTACAGATGTCCAGGTCACTCTGTCCTGCACTAGCACCCTGCCCAGCCATCTAACAGAGAGATATCTGAGCAAAATTCTCATGCTCCCAGCTAAATTTGGACATAGGTGCCTCGGAGCTGATCGCAACTCTCTTTCCTACAGCTGCACAACCATTGCGGAGCTTACTGGGTAGTGCCAGGCACATATTCACATTAGCGCGAACCATTGGAACGACCAGTGAAGCCTGGCGTCATGGTTCATTGACTGGTGAAGTTCCTGACTCTTCCGTATAGATGTCGCAATGCAATAAACGTGAGGATAAGCCATAGAAAGGCTCGAGGCACCACTGAGAGCAAAGGGAATACTTACTGAGAATCCTGAAGTCTCCAAATTGCCTAAATATGCGTTTCTACTCGCAAAGATGAAAACCAAAAGCCTAGTGCTGCGTCACCAGTAATAAGAAGCGCTGGTTAGAGAGTTCAATGCGCGTTCAGAGGTCAGTTCTGCTAAGTGCTTGCCTCCCCCTAGTTCGATGACCAAGGTATACCACCAGAAATCCTCTCTTGTGAACCTCAATGCAGTCGTGAAGTCCCAATACTCATGGTACCAGCCTGTGGATTCCCAGTCAAGGAAGCCTCTAAGCCGCCCCTTGTTAACCAAGATATTATGGGGTTTAAGATCACCATGAGTAAAAACAATGCGATGAGACAGCTTACGCATAAGCTTGGTGCACACGAGTGCATCGTTGAATGCCATCTCAGATGAGAAGCCACCTGACCAAGATGGTTGTATGAGATACTCGTTGAATTCTTGTTCGCATTCGAACGGGCCGGCATAATGATTAGGAATGCGGGCACTTCTGACTGCAGTGCCCAACAAAGAGCAGATTCTGTTTCCACCCCACGGATTCTGCCATCCTCGTATCACTTCTAGATAGCCTTTAAGCTCCCGTGAAATAGACTCTTTGTCTTCGTTATTAAGCGTCTCGTATACTTGACCCAACTCTTCGCCAGGCACGCGAGTCATCAGAATCGAGACTGGTGCGTGTGGTGTGTCAAGACGCTCGCCATAGCAGAGGACTCTTGGAACTGGAAGACCCGCTCTCCTGGCGATTTGCATAGCCAAGACTTCTTCTATCCGTGTACCATCGGACCATTTCAAGATCAGTACAAATGGAAGCTGGGCAATCTGATTATCGTAGGGAATTCCAACCCAGCTGTAATATGATCGAGAAAATTGTCGCATGTAATAATGTAGAAACCCCCAAAACCAGCGAAGAAACGGGCGTGTCGGTTGAGAAGTGGCTGGCATCTGGTTTCTCGACGGAGGCCCCGATATTGTTCGGCCATGTATATTCTGGCATGAGAAAGCGAGGCAGTAACCACTGTTTCATGACAGGTAATGAGAATGACACAAGCAACTAAATGAGTAAAGGTGGTACGAGAAAAGCAGCGTCATGCAGACACGCCAAGATGGTGAGAGCGGCTTTGGCTTTCATATGGAAGTTGAGAATCGTAGGCAGGTTTACATTGGACGTGTAAGGGAGCTATACCGGAAATGGAAAGGCTGGCACGGGTCCACAGGGTCGTCACGTTTACTAAACCGAGGAATACGAGACTAGCTGGTGAACCTAGATCCTGAGGATTTATTAAAGAGAGATAAAAAAAACAAAAGTAATATCTGGTCTTCACGCTAATTATATAGAATACCTGACACAACGGCGTAGAGGATAATGACAATGTCTTCCCGACACTTAACCAATTGGTCTATTTCTTCTTCGAATCCGGCTCAACTGTCCCCTCATTCTCCAAGCGTTGCGCCACAATCATCTGCGCAATGGCATCCTCCGTCTTGAGATACGTGCGACTTCCCTGAATGAACCAAAAGCTGACAGACACCACCACCATCACTCCGAAGACGGCAATGGCGTAGTTCATATCACCCGCCGCTGGGTTCGGGGAACCGGGGAAGAAGAAGAATACTGTGGTAATAGCACAGTAGATCACACTGATCCAGTTCAGAGGCTTGCCCCATCGCCCGAGGTTGAATTCGCCCGGGGGCAGTTTATCCCGTCCGACGACGAGCAGAGCGGCGATGGGCATGCCATAGGAGATGGTGAGCGCGATGGTGCTCACACTGAGGATGGCCTCCAGCACCGTATTTGCGAACAGATAGAGAATTCCAACTAACGCGATCAGAACGCCCTGAAACCAGAGGGAGCGCGCGGGCACTTTCCACACGGGGTCCACGTGGCTGAGGTATCCGCTCCAGGGCAAACCGCCGTCGCGTGCGAATCCCCACGTCAGCCGAGACGCGGTCGTTAGGACACTGATGCCTTGTCCCAGGCCGTTAAAGATGAATAGTGCGATCAATGTTGCGCCGCCTTTTAGCCCAATGGTCTCGAGCATCAGTTCAATGAAAGGTAGTCCACTGGGTGAGTCGACCACCCTGTCCACATCCTGGATACAGAAGAGACAGACGACCATGAAGATAAAACCGGTGACAGCGCCAAGTAGCACAGCCAGCCAAATAACTCTAGGGGCGTTCTTTCGGGGGGCCGGAATTTCTTCCACCATGTGAATGACCGCGTCGAACGCTGTCAGACCGTAGGCGGCCTGGACGAGCCCTGTAAACCACACTACACCGTCGCTCCAGCCAGTCTGGTTGATCCATTTGCCGAACACGAAGGATGCTGGTTGGAAAGATAGATCTTTCTTCACTCCGACCGAGATCAGCAAAGCCAGGGACAGGATGACGAACAATCCGGTGAACCACACGCCGACGAAATTGTTGATCCAGGGGAGGATTTTCTCCCTCCGGCACCCTACCACATTGATCACGGTCAAGAGCAGCACACAGCCGATGTAGACGAGAAATTCCAGCCACCCGGTGCCGGCTCCCCCCCACGTGGGCTCGAACATGACCTTCATGCCAAGAAGAAACTCGGTCATGAAGGCGATTTGTGATGCGGTCAACGTCCACCAGCCGAAAGTGTTGATCCACGCGCACATGTACGAAGCAAAGCGACCCAAGGGGGTTTCCCATAGTCGGAAGACCCAGTACGCCTGGCCCAGCGCTGTCGGCATACTGCTGGCGAGCTCGCCAAGCGATACGGCGACACAGAGGTTACATGCTGTGACCAGCACCAGACCCCACAGAATAGCCACAGCGCCACCGTTGGTCAAACCGCTGCTGAGATCCTGAGCAAAAGTTGAATACGTTCCTAGATCGGTTGTCAATAACAGTCTTTCATCCCTTCTGTAGAGGGTCCATACCGAGGACGCAAAATGCCAAGGCTAACATGCTCCACATATCGAATTTACGCGTGAGGGCCTGGTCATGGCCCATCGCCGCGAGATCATGAGCATCTTGCACATCTTGATCAACCAAGTGCGGTTTAAGGGGGTCGGAGTTGGATTCCAGGTCCATACGGAGATTTGATCACGTATGACGAGATGATGAGAGTTCAGCCAAGGGGTGGACAAGTCAATTCGATGGGCAAGTGGTGTACCCTACTGTCCATTTTCTGCCCGTACTTTTTCTGGAGGAAAGTTTCCAAGAAGCTGACGCTGGGGGGTTCATATATCAAACCGGTCAGCTATACCCCGAGAGGGGAAGCAAGGAAGCTCTGCCCTCGGACCCCCTCAATTAGGGGGGCGTTGGATGGGTGCAGATGGATTAATCGAGGAGTTTAGTTTAATCAGTGGAGTTGGTCATGGTAGCGATCTTCATCAGTCATTGATAGGCAAGAATGATAAGTTGCGGGTAGAAATCGTGACGTTGGGCACTCCTTTTTTTTTTTTTTGCCTTTTCTTCTTAATTTTTCCACCGTAAAAAGTTTGCGGGGTTTTTTTTGTGTCAACTTCTCGGCAGGACATCCTAAGTGGGGATGGCGCTGTTTTGGCTGGCCTTCAGCACTGGAGCCATGGTTCTTCCCCCAGTATCACGGTTACATCTTCGGCTCTACGCACGGCAACAATGGTGATGCGAGGGAATATTCTACGCCATTTGTTCTATGCCAATATCCTATATAACCCCTATATTATTGAATGCGCTCTTTATTCTCTCCGCAGACACGCTCCGTGGATGCATACATTCAGCTGTACTCGCACGCCACGACAAGAGCCACCATACGTACATGCGTACACGATTCGGTATCAGCTCTGCAAAGTCAATCAGCTAAAACACTTCGCCACGTCCCGATTAGGAAAGTCTATGCGGCACATGATAAGCCCTGATTGTCGATCCGTCGACTATCTCCAACCCGTGCGATAACACAAGGCGAATGCGAATACCAGTGCATCTCAACTCGGTGGCGTGAAGACGCAGGTGGGAACGTCAGATACTGAGAGTTTCTTGTCCTCGTGGCCAGCCAGCGCATGGTATTGTCGTCTTCTCTCCAGCATGATCGGCTCAGGCTCATCTTACATCAGTAGCGTCTTTTAGGCTGAACCTTGATGATAGCCGAATCCGTCTGGGAAGGGGCACTGGAAATGCGGGGAAGCTCCAGACAACCAAAGATATGGCTTGTCGGTCCACTTGTCACCGATGTCTTCATGCCTATGGGGGCCTGGCCGTCTAAGATTAGTATTAACGGTTCATGACTTGGATATAGCGTATGCGGTAGCTATCTTGTTCACCGACTCCAATGTTTCCATGTTCCAACAGAGGTTTATCACAATTACAGTTTCCGGGGGATGTTGGTTTGTTCGAAGCTCGTCTCCTCCTACCCTTCAGGGAAAGTACAGGAAGCGATCTCCAAGTATCGAACGGATAGTTCTTGAACGGACTTTTGGCCGACTTCGGATACCAGTGGAAAGAACTGGCTAATCCTACCATGAGACAAGCATGTAGCCATGTGGCCAAGCCTTGCCTGACATCCGGTAAGAACGAATGCGGAGCTTTAAATTAGCTATAGTTTAACCGTGAACATCGCAAAAGTCAATTGGATCTGTTGTCCGAGGAAGCCGCCACTTTTTTCGGTGCCCTAGACGCCGAGCTCTCCACAACATGCTACATCCATATGGATATAGCATCCTCGTGGGAGTTGGACTCACCACGCTTGCATCTCCTGCTATAGATTATACTTAGCATTCTCGAGATAAGTGATTATATCTATATACCTGTGCAGCGCAAATTGGCGGCATCCAACGGAATCTACCCCCAATCACTATATCTAGGTTTGGAACGCCACTCCTGTCCCTCACCTTAGAGCACCCGTTCCTGCAGACACCGAATAGGAAGGTTCATGCGATACTACTGCTAGAAAGTGGAGACCACATGGGCTGCATGTTAGACTCCCAGCTAGAACTCTTTTCGGATCTTCCAAGGCTTCCTTGAGCTCGTTGAGCCAATCAAGTACTGGTCAGGCTGAGATCCAATTACCCTAATGTATCGCAGAAGCGCCGATATGCGATTCATTATCAACACGACCCATATTTGCTGTCATCATCATTATCATTGCTTTCTGATTTTATTGTGGAGTAATCTCAGAGGCTCCGCGGACCCATGGATCATTTTCCAAAGGGGGAAGGTTAAAGCTACTCCGGAGTATATCGGATAGCTATCAGGCACCAACACAGATTGAAATTCAACGCAGGGTGGCTTTTATCTTTCTTCAAAGGTAATTATATTCATCTATTCCTTGAGTTGGCTTGCATAAGTCCACTAATGCCAACCCCAGAAAGATCGAATCATCATTATTCATGTGAAATGTGGACGCTGACATTCAAAATGGCTACCCTTCCCAAGATCATATCCCACAATTTCAATATGTTACTCTTCTTTGGCCAACTATAAGGATAAGCTAGATTGCGGGGACTGCGACGCCCATATTTAACAATACCTACTGCCCAGCATCAAGAATCTTTCTCTCGTATATCTTGACAACTATCATCCTTATGAATTACCGCCACAGCAGTCGAAGCATGCCATTGCCAGCCATCTTGTTTTTGTGTGTCGAAATAATCAACATCTAAGAATCAGTGACTAACGGTCTATCGAATGTGGTAGTGGGTGCTATAATCAACGAAGTTTATATCTATCCAACGAGTAACTACCTAGGCATATACGCCGAACAATAAGAGCAAGAGCGTATGATTGTTCACAACGTCTACAAGTACATTCAAGTGCAAGCTAGCTAGGGCTTGTACTAAGTCATGATATGTAAGGCACCTAATCTAGGGATCAGGTGATACAAAGCCCTTTTTTACCAAAAGACCAATATTGCCCGCGAGAGGTATCTCGGGCCCTAGAACCTACTCAGGAGTGCACTAGATAGCCTAAGGTCACTGTGTGCCTTAAATAAGACAAGTCACAACCAAGAAGTGCAAATGTTGAGGATTGAGTGAGGTATCCCAGGCTTAATACATGTGGAGTCTAGTATGAAATTGCTACAAGACCTTTTTGAGTTATATATACTTCATGATCAACTCGTCAACCTACTTGAAACATCCAGTAACTACCTTGCTATTTATTCTTAAGTACGTAAGCGCCCTGAGGATCAAAGTGCTAGTCCACTAAGCCTAATCTAAAAGTCGACGCTAAGCCGAAATAGGTAGCCACTCTGTCGAGAATTTAGGTATGATCCTCCCTGCTCGCCGGTGCTCGCATCAAAAGACTAATTTGCAGATCCTATGAAATCCTAAGTCTACGTGGTTGCCATGTACTATACCATCCCTTGGGGGCCTCCGAGTTTCCGATCGCTGGCTGTAGATTACTAAGAATAGTACTGAGAATGTATCCTGTTTAGAAGGCACGAGTCATTTGGTGCCCCAGGCATCCATATATCGATTCAAGATACTTTCTACGACAATGTCGACATTATCCTAGACCTCGAACGACAGGGACTGGAATTTCTAACCAGAGTAATGGACTACGTGGATGACAGATGCCATCCGATTACTGGATATAACAGCAATGAAGTTTCAGCATGTATGCAGCTAATTGCTATTTTTCTTTCAACTGAGTAGTGAGAATTTACAAGAGCAAAGATAGCTTAGAAGACAGACACTCTGCAGCTCCATGTTTGCATCTTCGATTATCATATAAAAGTTTCAAGATTCTAGGTACAAGGCTCATCTCGAGACATACTAATGTACCCCCATCAATACCGTAAACCAAACCCTTCCAGGCATTCAACCGGGTCTACGAAATGCAATAATATATAAACAACTCAAGAGTGTACACAACACCAACCCCGAACCACAATAGACCACCCACCCATCGACTGGTAGCATATATTAGATCCAATCGAGTATTGATTCAACAGATCAACTCTGCGTGTCAAGCTTGACGCTCTTCCCGTCCATCTTCTTTATTCTCAAAGACTCAATCTCAACGCCGGGAACAGTGCGTACCTAGACACCACATTAACCACATTCATAATAGGAGAAAGGGAGCAAAAGGAAAAAAAAAAAAAAGAAGAACCCAGGGGGGTAATACATTCAATGCAACAATATGACTGAAACGCGGAATAGTACTTCTCGCATAAACGCTCGTCCCACAATTCGTACAGAAATAATGGGGAACCTGCTCGGATCCAAAACGATAAGCCTGCGAAGCCCAAAAATTAGTCAAGATAATACCCTGCATAAAATGACACAATTAATGACGCAACAAGGATTCTTAGCATTCATAATGATAAAAGCAAGAAAGATAGAGTGGGGAAAAAAAAAAAAAAAAAAAAAAAAAAAAAAAAAACAAAAAAAAAAAAAAAAAAAAAAAAAAAAAAAAAAAAAAAAAAAAATAAAAAAAAAAAAAAAAAAAAAAAAAAAAAAAAGAGGGGAAAAAAAAAAAAAAAAGAAAAGAAAAGAAAACAACCTTCACAGTATCCTCCCTCGGAAACTCAAAATCGTCTATTTTCGGATAAACAAGCAAATAGCCATTAATATGGCAAATAGAGCCTGCGTCATTTACGATAAAATTAGCCCCAGTCCGGGACAATTAGGGGGAAATCCCGCATGCCATAATTCGGTTTAATCGCCGACGGTGAGATTTAATAGGATTAGCCAGGTTAAACCTACAGTTACACTGGACGACCTCCTGTTCCTCAATCGGCGGCGATAGGGAAAAGGAGTACTTGGCTTGGCCACAGTGGCAACTTCCTGCGTATGACTTGGCTTCTGCCATGGTTGAGGGGTGCTTAGGCGTCTGAGAATGTTGTTATCGCTCGGATCCTTGGAGGATCTACGGGTGGGGTTCCGCGTTTTATATACTCAGGATAACGGAGTTGTTTATTGTTGTTGCAGGGACTGGTCGTGTACGGTCGTGTTTTATTTTGCCGCCAAGCCGCTTAACGTGCTAATCGAGTAGTTAGTGCTGATGTGAGGGATCTAGGTCTGGCTACTGCCGAGCCGCAATGCTACAGCTATGAAGGCAGCGAGCTACTAATCGAAACTGAGTTTATCGGTTCGAGGGGAGGGAGCACTAGCCACTTGAGAGCTAAGCTAAAGCTCTGGGAGCTCGACGGGTTTCCTCTTAAGGTTAATAAGATAGCTCGGCCGGCAATTTCGGCTTTCCAAGAAGACACATACCTCGATCGTAGCTTTGGTAAAGTCTCTTATTAGCCTGCTTATCGGCGTTTGGTAAATCCTGTATATCTCCTGCTTTTATCGATTCAAACGAAGGCACGCTGATCGTGGATTCGTGGAATGCAATGGCCATGGTATAGGGCTACAGTGAGGTGTCGAGGGCAAAAAGAAGTTGGTCAATTTGGCAAGAGGGTATATCATGAGATCTCCAATTTGATCGACATTTCTACTGTGGAGAGCTCCAGTGCAAGAGTAAAACGGAGGCCTCAATGCAAGGGGGCAGAGGAGCGCACGTTAGCCGCCGGTATATGAGTCTGAAGCAAGTGCTTATTTATTCTCCTGTAGCCGCGAGCATGAGGTTGCATCATATGCATCATAGTTTCGCAACATGCATGGTTCGGCAGAGCTGTAGATGCTCACAAGGTCGAGAGATAGGCTGATGATCTGGAGAAACGGTCCCATTAACGTTCGAGATGCTCTCATAAGCAACATTCCATCCAAGGTGGACTACCCACCCCCTTCGTTGTTGGTTCCACTCTGGGACATTCCACATCCTTGCTTCCCGTCTCGGTGTGTCGAGGTCCAAGCTATTGCTCGATAGGATAGCCAAGTGACCTAACACCAGCGTAGCTGCTATTTAATATGCGGTGCAACGCACCGTATTTCACATGTGTAGTGCTAATATCTCCCCGATCCCTTTCCCCCCCCTCATACCTCGGAGCCGATTTTGTCAGTCTTCGTCACCATAGTCCAAGATGACTGACACCGCAGATATCAAGAAGCAGGTTCCGTATGTGGTAGAACAACTATCCGACGAGAGCCTTGCTCCTGACGATGCCGTCCTGCAGGCCCAGGGCCATCGGCCCGAGCTTGCGCGGTCATTTTCCTGGGTGGGAGCCATTGGGTTGTCGTTCAGGTTGGACCCTATACTATAAGCCGCGTCGGATCGTGTTCACTGACTTGCACAGTATTGCCAACTCATGGTTAGGTTATGGCGCAACGTTCGGAACACCCCTGGCTTATGGAGGTGGTCCGACCGTTCTCTTCGGAGTGATGATTGCGGCGGTAGCGCAGTGGATTGTGTTGCTAGGGCTGGCCGAGCTGTGCTCTGCATTGCCCTCTTCAGGGGTTTGTTCGACCTTTCTCTAATCATGCTTCGGCCACGCTGACACCATACAGGGTCAATATCACTTCACATATATACTAGCCCCACAAAAGTACAAGAAGTTTGCCGCATACACAGTTGGCATTACCAATGTCATAGCATGGTGGGTGAGTGCAGCATCGGGCATCATCTATACAGGGATTTCGGCGTTTGGGATAGCAGTGTTCTGGTATCCCGACTTTCAGCATGAGAGGTGGCAGATATACTTATGTTATGTGTTGGTGGTCACCTTGACGTGTAAGGCCCCAAGGTCCGATTGTTAACATGGTAACTGATTTGACTAGTGGTTCCTGTCTTCGCCGTTCCCCAGAGACGTTATGACTACCTGACGAAAACCACCTTTACCCTGTCTATAACCGGCTTGATCTTGGTCTTGATAGCTGTGCTCGCCTCAGGACGGGGACATTATCACCCCGAAGTCCTCACAACGTTCCAGGGGACCAGTGGATGGGACACGGCCCCAGCATGGTTGCTGAGCATCACCATGGGACAGTACTGTTATGCGGCTATCGGAGCTGTCACACATATCGCGGAGGAAATGCCCCAACCGGGCCGGAGGATCCCTCTCGTGATGTATGATTGACCACAGATAGATATTGACATTCTGCTAACTGTCGGTAGTAACCTTGGAGTCTTAGTTGGCGTCATGACAGCTGTACCATGGGTCACTGTGATGCTTTGCGGCATTCAGGACATCGATGCAGTTCACAAAGCGTTCATCCCTAGCATGGAGGTATACTATCAAGCGACTGGAAGTAAGGTGGGCGCCACAGCGCTGCAAGCCTTTATGACATTCCTGTATTGGAGTGAGTCTATGCCCCTTGGGTGTCTCGTACCATACTAACCGGTCAGCCTGCGGTCCAAGCCAATGGATAACTTCGAGTCGGATCGCGTGGGCGTTTTCTAGAGATGTATGCGTCAGGGTGTAACCAACAATCTAAGGTGTATGATGCTAACCCAGACAGAACGGGCTTCCATTCTCCCACTATTGGAACTTCATCGACCCGAAGTTCAACATCCCCGTACGCACCACGTTCCTCTCCGTTTCATTCTGTCTCCTATACGGTCTTGTCTATATCGCCAGTTCGACAGCATTCAACTGCATCGTGAACATGTCGATTCTCTTTTTGAACATTAGTTTCACCGTTCCACAGGCTATCCTGGCGACAGTAGGACGGGACAAGCTCCCGGCACGGTCATTCAATCTGGGTCGATGGGGATACGCAGTCAATATTTTTTCCACTGTATGGTTGACTTTCAGCGGGATACTGTTTTGTTTCCCAACCAAAATACCCACAACTGCAGGGTCTATGAACTAGTAAGTGCTTTTACCATTGCTTTCATTTCCACCTGCATCCTACGGGGTACTGATGTGGATATAGTGGGTCAGCTGTCCTGGTGGGAGTGTATTGCCTCATAATGCTACTGTGGATCGAGCGGAGACATAAGTTCACCGGGCCAAAGATCAACTGGGATGCACTGAACATGAGCAACAAATTGGCATTGTCATAGGGGCTAAGGGAGCTTCGCCATGGTTTTGCGCGAGGTGGAGTGATGGATCACGACTGATCTGGTTGTCAAGTGGAAATCACGGGGGGAGTTGGGTGTTCTGCTACAATAGGCATAGTGTATCTCGTATATGTATCCAAAGTCCAATAAGATTAGATCTCGGTTTGTACCTCACTAAACTGGAAAGGGAAGGTTCGCCAGCGGTCCGATCACTTCCATTTTCATTCTGTTCGATTATGTTAACGACATCAAAAACCTTCATCTATCTGCCACAACAGCAGGTTAATGGCTGGACTTCAACGTCTAGAAGACTCCAAAGATTATCTTTCCCACTAGGCTGACCGCATGTAAGCTTCTCGCAGCTGAAGCTAATTCTTATTAATGTTGCACCTCCTTTGCTATTCATATGCTCCTTGCTGGTTGACGTCTTTTTCCTTTTCCTTGAAGGAAAGAGGGCTTTTGATATGTGGTACACCGTGGGAGCGCTATGAAATGCATTTCTAAACAGTCTGACGACTCACGGGCATACGTGGGAGCCATAGAGGATATGTTGGATGAATCACGCATGCACTTTTAATGCTGAAAGATCAACACCTCATCTACCTGTTGTCACACCGCTGTGGGGATATGGACTGATTAGTGCTGGGTTAATGTGGCAATGGACCCATGAATCATATCTCACACTGTCGGACCGACGTTACTTGGCAAAAAAAGTATTTGTAGGGCCCATTTAGTCTGTATGCTAGTACCCTTTCATTGGTTGGTGCTTGGCTCGCTCCGGTCGATATAAAGACCCAGATCCCAGTTCCTGAATCTCAAAAAAATTATAAAAACATGGCGACTACCAATCCGGACATAGGCAATGCTCTGGCCCAGCAAAACCCACCCCCTGACAAGTATGCACAAGAGGCTAAGCCGGTATTCAAAAAGACAGAACGATGGAACCATCCCAGGTCCAACATACTCAAGACAGCGGCTACATTCTGGAGTTTTCTGGTGATGGGAGCGAATGATGCCGCGTATGGGGTAAGATCACTTGCCAGCTGATCAAAGACATAGCTAACAATTATAGCCGTTGATTCCATATGTAAGCGTGAACTCTACGTGTTATGGGATCCACCACTAATTCCTTAGCTCGAGGAATATTATAACCTGTCCTATACTGTTGTTTCTCTAGTTTTCCTGTCACCCCTCGGTGGCTATACCCTGGCTGCCCTACTCAATAACAAAATCCATACAACGCTTGGCCGCCGTGGAGTGGCCTGGATTTCCCCAGGGTGTCATTTACTGGCATACATTGTCAATTGCGTCCATCCTCCATACCCAGTACTAGTAGTATCCTTCATATTCGCAGGTTTTGGAAATGGGTTGGCCGACTCAGCTTGGAACGCTTGGATTGGTAACATGGCTAATGCCAATGAGCTCCTGGGACTCTTGCACGGACTATATGGTGTAGGTGCAGTCCTGAGCCCACTGGTAGCGACTTCTTTAATTACCGAGGCAAAGGTGCCCTGGTATTATTTCTACTATATCATGGTATGTCGTTATCTCAGATGCGTCGAGACTCTCGCTAATACAACAGCGATCCAGATTGGCTGTGCCGCTATCGAGCTCGCCTTCTGTCTTTTTGTCTTTTGGGACTCCACAGCAGCAGCCCTACGGGAGGCTACGACCCAGGAGGATGGCCCTGGTGGAGGCCTGCGTGAAGCCCTCACGAAGCGATCCGCCCGGGTCACCTGGATTTGCGCATTTTTCCTCCTCGGGTATGTCGGGATCGAGGTGGCTTTGGGCGGATGGATCGTCACGTTCATGATGCGAGTACGACATGGAGCGGACTTTGCGAGCGGGATGGTTGCTACGGGGTTCTGGTTAGGCATTGCCTGCGGTCGAGTGGTACTCGGTTTCATCACACCGCGAATCGGGGAAAAGATGGCCATAATTGTATGTATCCCTTTCTTTTCTTGTCTTTGTTTCTTTTCTGCCTCTTTCATCTCTTTACCGGTTCCAGATCAACTAACATGTTAACTTTGGCAAGGTGTACTCCCTGTTCGCAATAGCCTGTGGGCTCATCTTGTGGCTTGTGCCTAATTTCTATGCATCTGCCGTGGCGGTTTCGTTCCAGGGATTCTTTCTCGGTCCCTTCTTCCCTGCTGCTGTCATTGTTGCCACCAAGTTGCTCCCACGATCATTACACGTCAGTGCTATTGGCTTTGCGGCGGCATTCGGAGGAGGCGGAGCCGCCGTGCTGCCCTTCGTAGTGGGCGCCATTGCGCAGGCTCGAGGCGTGCAAGTCTTGCAGCCGTTTATTATTGGTCTCTCTGCTGGGATTTTGTTGTTATGGTTGGGGCTCCCACGGTTACCAAAGAAAGTTGATGAAGAGCAGCATGGGACTTCAGACGTATAGATGTTTGCTCTTTATATATTTTAGCCCTGGAACTGCTATACCCGGGCTTTAAAATGGAAATACTGATATCATGAGGATAATCTAGACTCTATTGAAATTTCAATTCGGCACTATATTCAACTAGAGGCTGGTATTATTACCATTGCTGAGTTGTTGCAAGGTCTTCATACTGATACTCTCATGTATAAGTTCGTATTGTCGCATCTCTTAAACGCACTATGCACAGAACTCGACAAGATAAGCTGCGAAAGATCGGGACAACTTATCTCCAGCAACCAATCTCTTAATTACATAGTGCCAGACCTAAATTAACTAATTAACCTCTTTGGCTCTAGATCTACTTTCGATATTTCGTGTTTATGACAAACGCAGTATCATACAGAACACCAACGGGGGCCACCGTTACAAGACCCTCCAATAAATAAGCATTATAATGCCACGTCCCCTTACAAACCCTATAACCTGCCTTACTCCCAAACTATCTTGTAAATCCATTTCTAATATTATTTTCAGCTTCATTACTTCGCATATCGGGGAGAAGATCAACACCTCATCACAGAACCTGGATCCTCCCGGGTCATACACAAATAGTATCCAACCAAAGCAGACAATCCCAAGTCTAAGAACAACACAGGACACTTTTCCCAAAGATTTCTACAGCACACAGCTACAACACTAACAACGGGCCTAATACACGTCCTAGGCGGTTACACATACCATGTATACTACCAGAACTCCGTACTCTCGAAGATCCAGAACGCATTCTCCAGCAAAATCTCACCAACCGGCCATCATTCCGACACCGCGCAACAAAGATGAATTCTACATCCAGCGCCCAGAGCAACCGCTCATCGATGATATCTTACGTGGCACCGAAACGGGACATTACTGGCTCATCGTCGGCGAAAGAGGCACAGGGAAGACGAGCATCTTGGTCCACTCAATGCGAGACATCTACGGACGGGATGTTGTTATGCTGGACGGTCATGACGATATCGATGTATTCCAGGTTCGGCTTTGCAAAGCCCTGGTTAAGATATAGAAAGATCAGAAACATCCATGCTCGGAGCTTCCTGGTATCCCGTTACACAAAGCCCAGGAACTGGTGACCCGAGCAGACTTTGTCCACCAGCTTCATCAGATGAGGATCGTATCTACTGACGATATTGACATTGTAAGGGCCAATTCGGGGCTTATGCAGAGCGCCTTTCGGTAGCCGATACAACCCCAATTTGCCCGTTCCTCAACCGTGTGTTCTGAAGACGGGTTTAAGAAACGACTGAAGGCCACAAGTAGCAGGTTGAGTGACTTCGAGAGTCTGGGAAGGACAACAGAAGCGACTATGAAGGACTTGGTGAATGATGGCCAGTACGAGATCAGCAAAGAGCGGGCAATTAGGGGAGACGAAAATATCCTCCCATCTTATCGGAAGCCTACCAGCTACTCTTATTGGAGCTGGTAGTGAAGCTTATCCATCCCATGCCTGAGACGCAGTGGCTATATTACGCTGTAAGGCACATGGATGGATTTTTCACTGAACGCAAATCAGCTGTACTTGCAGTTTGTCGAAGGCGCGAAAGCCTGAGAAAGCGTTTATTTCCCTGACACTGGATTGATATTGCAACCCTTTGTACAGTACACCTAACATGCTCTCTAAATAGCATAACAGTTCCAACGAATAAAACAAGTGTAAAATCCTCTATTCCGAAAACAGTACTTCCTAGCGAAGCTTGTTGGTAGGGCAGGACTGATCGTCAACTCTAAATCTAAGGACGATGACTCCTTCATTGTCAGCCTCCTCGGAGAATTCATATTTTTAGTAGTACAAGTCCAATCGGCGTACTCCGTACAAAGTTAAAAAGAAAGTGCGGTAGTGAATATTGCGTGACTCCTCTCAGCATCTCCATAGCCCATGTGACAGCAGGATACGAGAAGATCGGCATCACGCCTCAGGTTGACCTTTGTGTATCTGTAAGGCTGGGCGCTGATCGTATCCAGAAAGCCTCCGAAATACCGGCATGAAACTACTACCAATCCCTTGGATCTGCCGAGAACCTAGCAAAGTTAGGCACCCGAGACATGTCGCCCTGCAGCACAGCCACCGAGCTAGACCCTACATCAAACATCTATTGAAGCTATAGGCCCTGGAAAGTGTGGTAAAGAAAGCACACTATTGATTAGACGTGTCACGACATATCATCTAGATCCTCTAATCTACCACTCCTCACTGATCTCGCCCACCACATCCTAGTTCTACGATTGTTCGTCGCGTCGCTTAGAGTTCGCCCCGGGGGTTAAAACCGCCAGCCAAAACGGAGTCGGTAGATGGCTGGATTGCCCTGAGCTTCAATGGAATCCTGTTGGGCGTGGCTGTCTCGTTTGCACTCCACTGCAGGGAGTAAACTCCACTCTCGCTTCGTGTTGTGAAGAAGTTCGCATTCTGTGAGTCGATCAGAACATAATTGCCGTAGAGTTTCAGCGTTTTCGTATCCAACCGGGCAGAATCATCTGGATCTTTGAACCCGACGTTCCCGCCAGATGTTCCTGATATGGATGGCAAAGTAAAAACCATAGAATCAAAAGATGGACTCCTGGATTCTGTACGGTTTGCTTGTGCCCGCCAGACCGTCGGCGTTTCCTCGGGGATAGTAACTGCGCACGGTAACTGTGAGTACAAAGAGGCACTCTATTTGCATTTGATGTGTATTCATGAAAGTCTTACAGTAGATAGAAACCGTCTCATTTGCTGTTGAGAGGGATCGATTGCCTATTTCGGCGCTACCTGTTGACCTGTCAGGGTTGTTTATCACTTGCTTAAAATCTCAAGGGGGACAAGTTCTTCGACACTCACCATCGGCGTAGAACACGGGCAAACCGCCAATACCCTCGCCATATGCATAGAGTCTGAATGATTGCTGACATGTTTGGCCATAGACAAGGTTGGCCAGTGAGCAACCGATCAGGAAGAGCCTAGGAATCAGAGACCAACTAGATTGGCATGTTAGTACCTACTGACATCGAAGAATGTTGCCGGGCTCACCCCATTGCGTTGTTTTCTTTGTTTTTGCCGCTCACGGTAACTTAATTAGTCTGCTTGTATGGAAAGAAGTAGAAGGCGAGGATTGATCAGGTTGATATATTCTTACCTGGCTCACTCATTTACGCCTCACGTAACCAAGGGCGAGTCATCTGCGACAATCCGATATTCTGTACGACTTCCTATCCTCCCAGGCAAGTGCCAAGAACATATTACATCGAGGCTGAAATTTCAGGCCTCCCTGTTACGAGTCATATATGATGGCGGCTAATGGTCCCCCGAGCCTATAAGGGACGCCTGGTACACTGACTCTCTAACCGATCCGTCTGCCAAGCATACTGTTCAGACACAGAATGTGGTCCACTGCGTGGCTAGCTGATCAGTTGTCTAAGTTTTGTGTGTTGCCTAAGTAGTAAAGAGGTGTGGTTGGTAGCTTGATATTGGGTATGATGTTGACGAGCCAATCCCGAAACCCGGTAGGAAGCGAGTTCACGAATACGATGTGCTGGTTGCTGCTCGACCTAATCTGTACTGCGCCTCACTGACAGGGTTCTCGATTTTTGCATAGGGGTACCCTGTTATTAGAGTGGAAACTTGGACTCCGAGGAGTTACGACGTCTTATAAATGTGGTGACATACTCCGTTCCAATACTCTGGAATATGGTGCGAACTTGGAGTCATAAGTGAACGCGGCTCTCACAACGGAACGAGCCATGATGCTTGTTAGCTTCCTCCTTCTGGCATATGCATTATGCGGGACGGCGATATTTCTCCAACCTAATCACAACAACAAAAGGGGCCTGTCTATCTCTGATGCCTCTCGAACACTCAATACAGCAAGGTACCACAACAAATGGCAGGCCAAGAGAGCGAGCAACTCCACTGGCACCTCCACATCTTCAATTGCATTGCCATCAGGAACTCCCTGTGCTGGAAACTTGCCAGAGGACCGTTCCAAGTGGTGTGAATATGACATCGACACGGACTGGTCAGAGGTTGTTCCTGATACGGGTGTGACTAGGGAGTATTGGCTAGATATTGACGAGATCGCTGCCGCCCCAGATGGCTATTTACGAACTGTGATGGCTATCAACGGCAGTATCCCTGGACCGACTATCTATGCGGACTGGGGGGATTATGTCGTCGTACATGTCACTAATCACCTCCATGAAGCTAAGAATGGCACCAGTATCCATTGGCATGGTATGTGGCAAAGAGGAACAAACGAACACGATGGGGTTGTCTCCATCACCCAGTGTCCTATAGCCCCCGGCTCATCGATGACCTATCGTTGGCGAGCCGAGCAGTACGGCTCGTCCTGGTATCATTCTCATATTGGTCTCCAAGCCTGGAACGGGGTCTTTGGTGGCATTGTCATCAATGGACCTGCTACGGCGAACTATGACGAGGACGCCGGCGTGATGATTCTGAGCGATTGGACGCATGACACTGCAGATGAAATGTATCAATTCGCACAGGTCTGTGGCCCGCCACAATTAGATAATGGATTAATCAACGGAACCAACGTCCTCGATACCGGCAACCACACCGACGGATCCCGGCTGAAGCTCCAGGTGACGGAAGGAAAGTCGTATAGATTGAGGCTTGTCAATGCAGCTCTTGATACAACCTTTGAATTCATGATCGATAATCATAAAATGACCATCATCGCGATGGACCTGGTGCCCATCGAGCCATACACCACATATAGTCTAACCATCGGCATGGGTTCGTACTCCCACCCCCATGGTCTGACAATATACTAACCGTGACAAAAGGCCAGCGATACGATGTAATAATTACAGCCAACCAAGCATCGGTTGCAGATTCGTTCTGGATACGCGCGATACCACTACACGCTTGTTCGGAAAATGCTCGTGGCAACAACATCCGTGGCGTCCTGCACTACGGAGAGACACCGAGTATCCCAGAGACTCTCCCATATATCTACTTAGATGAAACATGTTACGATCTACCGGCCTCGGTTCTGGTGCCACACGTACCGAAATCAGTCCCTGCCCCAGACTTGCAAGAGATGGTCGACGCCGACACCCGCCGTAACGCAAAGGGGCTTTTCCGCTGGTACCTCAACAGCACGACAATGGAGATTCTATGGGAAGATCCCACACTACTCCAGATACGAAATGGCTCGTCGGCATTTCCAAACTCCAGTGCCGTCATCTCGTTGCCGAAAGCGGACCAGTGGTTTTATATGGATATCGAAACTCGCATACCCGTAGACCATCCGATTCACCTCCACGGACATGACTTCTTCATTCTTTCCCAAGGGCAGGGTGCCTGGGATGGGTCCTCGCGCACTGAAAATCCGCCTCGCCGGGATACGGCAATGCTGCCGGCGAACGGGCACCTGGTCCTTGCTTTCCAGACGGATAATCCCGGGGCGTGGTTGATGCATTGTCATATTGGCTGGCATACTACTGAAGGGTTTGCGTTGCAATTTTTGGAGAGATCTGATGAGGTGATAGGTGATATTGATTATGACCTCCTGCAGGACACCTGCGATTCTTGGGTTACCTATGATGAATTGTATGGGATCGACCAAGAAGATTCGGGTGTTTGACAGTTTGAGAGATACAACCAGTCGTTTCGTCACGGTATGTTGGTCAATGTCAGCTAACGTGGAGAGAAGTGACCGTCAGGCTAATTCTGGTTCATATATAATGTAAGGATGCCTAGGCTGAATATATGGTTATATAGTAATGTGAAGAAGTTCGAAGTAACGACGAGAAAAAAGTGGTATGAGCGTGACTTGGGTCTGTGAGAGCTTAAAGTAGGTAAGATTTTACCGTTTGTTGGTACAGCGGATGAAATCGAGGTTTGGATATAACGGACCATCAACGAATCACTTGACCAATGAAATCTGTCCTGTACGCCCCATTATAGATTTAAACCAATCATAATATCTTTCAATGCCCCGGATAATCTACTAGTCCGATTCCGAGATTTTACCGTCTTCTCAGTTTATGCGGTAAAATATGCCGTCCTTCTCATTGAAGACGGTAATACTGTATCGTTTTCGTCATTTTATGCGGTAATATCCTCCCGTCTTTCCCATATGGTGCGGTAAAATACACTGTCCTTCGCATCTAAGGCGGTAATATAGTACCGCTTTAGAGAGTCACTTTAACCGCTAATACTGTATCTTAGGATCACCTCTAAGTTTTAGTACCCTGGTCCCTGGGTACCCTAGAGATAGTGAGGTGAGCGAGTTCCCCTTCAAAAGTCGAAAATCTGATCTATTGTCCGTACGCTCGATTTAGTCCGCGGTACTTGTGCCCATGGCGTGATGTAACTCCTTGTGCGTGGTCAGGATTGTTTTGTTCTTTCATCCCGTCACGGAACAACAGTTCCCCCTGAGGGCCAAAGCCTCCGTACTGCAGCCTGTACTGCGGTGCCGCCAGGGTCTCACTTCCCCCTTGGCTGCATCATGCTATCTTGGCCAGCCGTATGCTCTACCATCGACAAGTGTCAAGTTCAGAATGGCATTTAGTCCTTGGGTTGGGCGAATGTGGCGATTTCCGACGATATGGTCTCATTTCAAGAATTGGATATGTTCTTGGGGGTCTTCAATGTCACGCCTGATCAGGCGTCCTCATGTTGACGATGAGGAAAGGGTATAATATATTCCCTCGACCTGTTCACCAAACTTTTCCTGACAATTCAGCAATAGGGGGATATATAATTAAAGCCAAGCGGCGAGCAATCAAATAATATTGAACCCGATAAGGGCTATTCCTATATACGGGACGCTGAAGGCGAATTTATATCCGGAGGAATCACTGGGATTGTGGAGCTTCTTGATGATGGAACTGTACTCAAGGCACCGTTTCCAGATTCGGATATTCAAAGCCATATCGAGGACATTGCCAAAGAAGCCGACATCTATCATCGTATTGGGCCACATAAGAGGCTTGTTCGGCTACTGGGCCATTCCAGCAATGGCCTCGTGCTCGAATATATGAAAAACGGTGATCTCAAGTCATATCTCCAGGCTCATGATTCAATACCAACAAGACTAAAATTGAAATGGGCGTATCAAGTCGCCGAGGGCGTCGACCTCTTACATAAGAACGAGGTGACCCACTGTGACATAAAACCGCGCAACCTTCTGTTAGATCCAAATTTCGACATCCAAATCATTGACTTTTCAGGCTCTTCGCTAAATGGGTCGAAACCAGCCTCTGCTGAGGGAACCCGCTTTTATCTTCCACGGCACTGGCACGATCGGCCCACAGTGACTACAGATCTATTCGCATTAGGATCGACCCTGTACGAGATTTTTCAAGGTACCAGTCCCTACGACGAGATTCCTAGTGATGAGGTAGAAAGGCTGTTTACACAGAAGGAATTCCCTGATGTCTCTGGCATCCTATGTGGAGAAATTATCAAACAATGTTGGTTGTCTCAAGTTGACTCAGCGGCGCATGTGCAGAATGCCATTCAGGATATCCTTTCCCGCACAGCTAACACCGACTGTACCCCTCATCTCGGTGGTTTGGGCCTTTGTCAGGATATGTTGACAGACCAAGTGGTTTTTCCTTAGGATCGGAACAATCCACGCCGCTCTGTCTTGCTTGGAGACATCTATTTATAGTTTTTGAAGTTGTGTCGCATGTCGACGGACAGCCATGATAATGCATCGTGGACACAAGGATTTCGCACATTCTAGAAATTTTGAGTTAGCAATTATCAAATGTGCTTCATTTGAAAGTGTAATACCTTGAATAATCTTCCAGGTCACAAGCGGGAAGGCGCTGATAGAAGATGTGAAGAGGACAACACCATCCTCAGGGCCTGTTTATGTGTTGCTGGATGAGAAGCGGTGGACTGATGAGAAAGGTACAATGTATACCCTACTCATGGACTCTTCATTCTACCGTCCTTTGTCCATACACTTACCAGGCTCTGCCACTGGCATTGTGAGCAGTCTCGTCTAGTTACTATGACAACATACAGCACAAGCAGAGCACTTGATTCTGCTGGTTAATTGAGTAACGCAGCTCGGCAGATTGCCAAGGAACAAGACGCAGGTTTGCGAGACTACTATCTACACTGCTGATCTCTGTATTCGTCATATTCTGTGGCCTATGTGGATGAACCGGGTGGCGATAAGTCGGGAGGCAGCAACGCCATTGCGGTCCCTGCCGTTTCTTTGTTCGAGCACCTCTCTTTTGTCATGGTTCACCTTCATTTGATCTAACACTTTGAATACAATCTGCTGGTGGGAAAGGACATACATGAAACCTTACACTCCATTTTCTTCGTTTACTGAACCTGAAATCGGCAAACAATAATGATGAGAGCAGACACCGATGATTCATATGACATTCTGTCTATATTCGACTCTGTTGGATGTTTATTCATGAGCGATGATCCCTTTTGTATAGCCGAGTGAGTCCGAACAAAGAAGGCAGTATCCAGTCCTGGTGCACTAATTAGTGAAAGCAGATCTTTGTACCACTTGGTCATTTCGAAGTGACCTTTCAACTTGTCTTACCCAGATGCTCCTAGGAAAAAATGAGTCCAAAAACCATATGATCCATGATTTGTTCCCTTGCCAAAGCCAACGGGGAGGATTCACATGTAAAGCCCGATTGACAACGGAGCGAGCATAATCTTCATTTTTCATAGCACCCTCTGAAGACGGTTCAAATAAGCATGATGAACCACTGACAAGAAAAAGCAGAGAATACCTTGTGAGTGTGTAACCCGGCGTTCAAAGGCATCGGAAATAGGTAGATATATGCTATCCTCTCCGAGCGTCCGTTTAGTCCGGGTTATTCTGCTTTTCACACCTCCTGTAACCACAATCATTACTTTAACACCGAACGGGGCTAATTCAAGTCGCAAAGTGTTGCTGTAAGCATGAAGTGCAGCCTTTGATGCGTTATAGATACCGCTAAAAACATAAGGAATAACGGCGGCCACTGAGCCGATGTTTATGATAGTTCCCTTGGCTTGAATGAGTAGAGGGGTGAATTCTCTAACCATTCGCATCACGGAGAATATATTTGTCTCAAAAGTAGATTGTATATCGTCATCCGCAATATCGACACAAGGAACGGTGCAGTCTAATGTTCTTAGTTTGGATTTTCTCACGGGTCATGAGCGCGGTAGGTCCGAATTGAGCTACTATTGAGACATCAGGGATACATACTCTTGCCTCTGTAGCGTGCGTGTATATTAGATTGGAGAAATATGGCACCACAGGGGATGGGAACCTTTGTCAGATATTACATACGCATTGTTTACTAGAAAGTCTAGCCCATGTCCAGTGAGCTCCTCGACTTGTTGTCGCACTCTCTGGATGTCTTCCGGCGACGTGACATCGAGAGTGAAGGTTTTGATTCCTCGCGTCGCCAAGTCTTCCATGGAGCTTAACTCACGAGCCGTGGCAAGAACAAGCAGCCCTTTTGCGAGAATTCATTGGTCAGATTCATTAACCCCTAAGAATTGTGACTTAAAGACGTCACCTACCTGCATCATGAAATGAGCAAGCAAGAGAGTGTCCAATACCGCCCTTGGAGCAACCTGTGATTAAAACTGTACGCGGGCGGTTTGCCATTCCAAAATAGTCTACCAAAGATAAAAATGACTGGGTGTTGAGAGAGGAATCATTCACAAGGAGGACCTCCAGTATTAAAGAAGTAGAGTGTTCCGAGCTTCATTACTTGTCAACTGATATCAGAACGCGCGGTGTAATTAGTAACTAACTCCTCCTCGATCGCATGTGATCTTTCCCCGGGCTTGCTGAGACCTTCGGGATTCGGGTTCAGTATATCGGCACTCGGATCTCATAGTATGGGCCCATGCGACCAACCTCGAGACCCGCGAGGCATGACTCAGTACCTAAGACTTTATTAGGGCCAAATCGTCTCAGTGGTGACCATATTGAGTATAGTATAGACTAGTAGGACTACCCGTCCAGAGAGAGATCACAGTAACAATGATCGAACCCTTTCCATAATGATCTCCATTGACCCGTAGCTCCACTTCTAAAAGTATATCTATAAATACTAGTAGCATCTCTGGGATATCCCATAATATTTAGATTCTCACGGTGGCGGCTGTCGCCAAACTCAATGCCATTACCCTTTAATACGGCAGATTTTGTTGCTTCGTCAAGTAAGCTACTTCTCGAAAGGAGAGGTTCGAGATGGCCACAGCAACAAGGGTAGTCATACTACTAGCTGAGCCATAATACATCAGTTCAGTTGATGGGTGGAGAGTGGTAAATTTCTAAGATATCTAAGCTTTGTAAAGAGTATCCAGAAACCCTTCAGTAAACTGGCTGATTGCGGAATGGTCAATGCTACCTCCTACGCCATAGAGCGCTGCACTCTTGCCACGCTGCTGTACAATCTGTTCTCCCTCCCCTTTTCGCTCCTCATTCCGCATTAATATCTCCTCGATGACCTCAATCAAGTCGGTGATGAGGCTATCAACAGCTTCGGATGTGGGTATTGTAAAAGCGCAATGGATAGCCGGTGGAGATTGCAAAGCATTCAGATGCCAACCCCGAGCATCCATGGCGTCAGCGATGTCGTAAGTTTCAATTTCTTTATTTGTGCTCGTGAATGCGATGACGCTCGCCATCGGATGCCCGATGATTCCAATATGAGGGATTAAGCTGGGGTGTGTGAGTATAGCGGTTTCAAACCTCTTTGCTGCTCCCACGATCTGGCGGCAACTATTGATATAGCCCGACACGCCCATCTTCATAAGTGTAGCCCAGGAACTTGCGATGAGTGAGCCCGGGCGAGACCCTGCCATCGACGGAGACGCATATGCACCGCCGGACCAGTTCGGGAATATAAAATATTGGTAGTTTCGATATGACCGGTTGCGATACAATAAGACGGAGCTACCCTTGGGAGCGAAACCATACTTGTGGGTGTCCACACTAATGCTAGTGACTCCGGGCTGTCGGAAATCAAAGCCTCCCTCATCCTCGTACGGAGAGGGAAAGCCCGCTTTCTTCAAGAAAGCCATGACAAGTGATCCCAAGCAGCAGTCCACATGGAATGGAATATCATTCTCCGTTGCCAGTCTTGATATCTCTGGGATGTCGTCAACAATGCCGTGTGGAAAGTTGGGTGCAGATGCAACTAGAAGAACGGTGTTTCTATTGATCAGTCGACGGATTTCGTCGACCGATGCCTTGTACTCAGGTGCTGGACATGAGACAAGGTGGAGTTTGATTTTAAAGTACTGGGCGGCTTTGTAAAAAGCCGCGTGAGCAGTACTCGGAATGATCCTGTCTAGTCAGTAGGGCAATTAAAAATATAAATGCTGACGGTAACTTACATCTCAGGGTTTGTGATGCCGCGCTCTGCTGTAGCCTTCTCCCGAGCAGCCAAGCATGCCATGAGAATAGACTCCGTGCCACCGCTTGTGGTTACGCCTGCACCATCTTCGGGGGCATTGAAAGCGGTTAGGAGCTGTTTCCTTATGTTAATCACTTGCACGAGGTTCGGCCATTTGTTCACATACCATTGCTACGATTTCCGCTTCCATCTTTCTGACTCCAGGGAAGACATCCGGATGGATTGGATTCGAGACGCTGAACTTGCCAATAGCTTTGGTTTGCATGTCTAGGAGCTCGCTGCCTCCATGGTAAACCGCGCCGCTGACTCGACCGTCCTCCCATCGCGTATGGTCCAAATTTTGCAGTTCCTCCAACTCTGCCTCAATTTCTTCGAAGCTCCAGCCCACTTCTGGAAGACAACGGTTCTTCTTGGCAGCATTCCCTTGGCGGACCAACTTTTGCGCCATCATGTTCAATATTGGGTCCATACTTTTGTCCACCCTTTTGAAGATACGAGGGGCTGGTGTTTTTTTCGGAGAAATCCATCCCCAGCATAGCTCCAGAAACCTGTTCATGCTTCCGATAACACCATAACAAGTGACACTGCCATAGACATTATGAAGAGTTTGGAGGACAAACAAGACGCAGACTAGTCGCGAAACAACATCGTACTTTGTTCCCATGGGCTGCGTGAAGAGCAACGACAAGGACTTTGCAGTCTGAGTAAGAGAAGACATACTGGCACTCAATGAATTTATTTTGAGCTCTAGTCAGTCAAAAGTGAATAGGAAAAAGATCATTATTCTCTATTCCCTGTCCACCATGGATTAAATACCTCGAAGTGGGCTTGGCTGCGTGATGATCTCATCGCACTGAATATTCTGTTGTTTCATTCGAAAGCCGAGAGCCGAATGGAGCCAACGGAATTTTATCCATATCCGAGCCCCGAATATGTGGGATGTCAGAAAGTGCGAAGTTCATCCTGGCATAAGAAAATTGCAGTCGTTTAGAAGTTCTTCTCATTGTTGAAAACTTACTATTATTAAAATATCTCAGAGCCGTTTCCCAACTTCGCCTTCTCAAGTCAATCAGGAAACAACAAGATGCCTTTCTCCCATCACTCACATTCTGGAGAGTTTTGCCCCAGCCATGCACAGGATTCTTTAGAACAAGTCATCCAGGAGGCAATTAGGCAAGGTATGCGGGTGTTTTGTTTGAGCGAGCATATGCCGCGTGCCGATGAGGAATTATATGACGAAGAAGTAGGTCTTGTTGATGACTCGTTATCTGCATTGCCTTTAGTCTAACAGATTTTAGATCAAAGCTGGCGTAACTTCTTCATTTTTACTTAGTAACGAGGAACGATACTTCTCAAAGGCAATTCAATTGCGGGAGAAATACGCCTCTCAGATCAAAATTCTCGTAGGCTTCGAATCGGAATGGATTGAAAGTAATACTTCACTGAGGCTGATACACGAATCACTGTCCAAGTATCCTTGGGAGTTTTTCGTTGGGTCGGTCCACCATCTTCATGGCATTCCTATTGATTGGAGCCGAGAGCTTTACTTGAAGGCGCGGGACATATCCGGCGGCACAGACGAACGCATGTTCGAAGACTACTTTGATTTACATCTCGAGATGTTGCAGAGTTTAAAGCCCCCGGTAGTCGGTCATTTCGATTTAATTCGACTTCATTATGATAGTACAAAGTCCTCTACAGAGGGGCTACGCAAATGGCCGGGTGTTTGGGAGAGGGTCGTGAGAAATCTTGAGTATATCTCAAACTACGGAGGGCTTTTGGAACTCAATTCAGCTGCACTGCGGAAGGGGCTCGATATGCCGTATCCTTCAGCAGAGATCTGCCAAGTAAGAATAATCTCCTTTTCCGAGACTCGCGTTATCACTACAGGACTAAAAGGGGACAGGAATTCTTGGCCATGGGTGGGCGATTCTGTCTTTCTGACGATAGCCATGGTGTCGCTCAAGTTGGGGCCAAGTACCACGAGATGTTGAAATTTGTGAAGGAACAGGGAATCCAGAAGCTCCACTTTCTGGAGCTTGCCCCTGAAGAAACGAGTGAGGCGGTTGACTCGAGATTTCCACGGACGGTACAGAAGAGTTGTTCTCTGGCAGAGGTGGAGGAATTGGAATACTGGAAGCGATGAACATTGTCACGCGCTTATATCCCGCACTAGGCCTTTTCTAAAGCTGTCAGAGCAATTTACGCGCATGTTTAATAGAAGCTAGAAAACTATATGTCAATAGTGGCGTTTCTGCCTCGTGTCGTCTCGGGACTCGGTCATCCGTGGTAGCTATCGGCGACCCCTTAGTTTAACCGAGGATCCCCGTCAAGTTCTAAAAGCCTTTGTTTAAGAGTCGTATGATTGCCTTAGTCCAACTGCGTACCGGGATACTCATGTCGTAGAATATGGAGCCCCTGAATAAAGAAGCTCGCTGCCAGGACACACTTCGGGTAGAAGGTGCGATATTGGAGCTCGACAAGGAGGGACTGACTATTAAACCCGATCAAAGTACTACGGCAACCCCAATATAGTCACTCTACGGATGTGTTTGTCGGCTAACCATGCTATAGACACGTTTACCCGTCGAAGGATATGCAGAATTCGATATTTACACCTGCTTTGGGCTCAGACTAACGTCGATGAGCTTACGATTCAACATGCGAGAGAGCGGAAAAAGATAGTGGAACCTATGACGAGGGTGTTTTCTCTACGCAATTCGGCGACCTCTTCCGCTCGGTTAGGTGCCTGGATCCAATTGCTTCTGCACCGCGCCTACGGTGAATCGAAATCACGAAAGAAACTGAAGATATTTTTGAATCCATGCTCCGGCAAAGGTACCGCCGTCAAATTGTACCGTAAATACGCGGAACCCTTATTTGCCGCAGCACAGTGCCAGGTGGACATACGAGAGACTTCTTTCTCCGGCCATGCTGGCGAGCTAGTGAGAGAGGACTTGGAAATTGACTCGTGGGATGCTATAGTCTGCTGCTCTGGAGATGGTCTACCACACGAGATCATCAATGGCCTTGCACTGAGAAACGATGCTGGGTATATTTTGAGGAAAGTCCCGATTGTTCAGCTGCCTGGAGGTTCTGGCAATGCGTTGTGTGTCAACATGTTCGGGACTACCAGCATTTCCCTTGCCGCACTCTACACCATCAAAGGGGTTCAGCATCCTGTGGATCTTATGTCCATTACGCAGGGGGATAAAAGACACATATCCTTCCTGTCACAGAACCTCGGTTTATTGGCCGAATGTGATCTTGATACTGAGGGAATGCGGTTCTTGGGTGGTAAGAGATTTGAGGTCGGCTTTCTGCAACGTCTTCTCAAGCCTCCCATATATGAGTGCAGTCTGGCGACTTATAGTGCTTCTAACCAATGCTCAAGAGAATCTCTGAATGGCCACCCATGCCGTCAGCTGCAAGAGCCAAATCAGCAAGGGTTGCCTAATCTACAATATGGGTCTGTCAATGATCCTGTTCCAGACAGTTGGAAGCTCGAGCATCGTGAAACACTAGGGGTGTTCTTCGCCGGTAAATTTCCTTTTGTGGATGCTACATCCAAGGTGTTCCCTGGCGCAAAGCCTAATGATGGACTGCTGGATATCTTAACGGTGGATTCTGGGATAGGGGCCAGAAAGCTTTTGCAATTATTGACAAAAGCCGCGAACGGAACACACCTTACAATGCCAGAGACCCAGTATAAGAAAGTGTCAGCCTACCGAGTCGTTCCCTCCAGGGCTAGTGGTGCCTTCAGTGTGGATGGAGAGAGGTTTCCAATCAAGCCATTTCAAGTGGAAGTCCATCCGCAACTGGGCATGACATTGACCACACCTTCTATAGTAGCCAGACAAGACGCCAACAACTAGTGGAGGCCAGCCAAGCACGGGAGCGGTACTTTCTGCTCATTTTTAGTTAGCCGTATATTTAGCTTTGTATTTAGTATTATCATGCTCCGTTATCTTTTCTTTTATTTTACCCTTGGAATCTCACTCCCTTTGCGATACAGCTGCCAGTGTTGTACCAATCAAACGAAATCCGGGGAAAGCCGTATCAAGGCTAGAGACCAGGGTTGGACGAGTACGATAAGCACGAGGCAGCAATATTTCCTAGGTGGAATGTATAACGCACGTCGAAATGGTCCAGCTATACGGCGGAAGTCGGATTTCGAAAGTGCGGGGTTAAAGTTCTGATTTAACCTTGTATTTTGTTTTCTGATAGAAGATCACTGATGGAATGTATATATCACAATCGATCGGACTGCACCCAGTGGTCTCTTTCGACTTTTAAAAGTTATTGCTTCAGTGTCTGTGATCTCATCACCATCCACTGTGTCTACCAACAATACCACTTATATCGAACCGCTTAGTCGAGTATCCTAGTCATCTTGACAGCCTGAGATCATGGTCGACGATGTGATCAGCAAGGGCACTAGCCCTGAGTTTGGCAAATCATTAACTCACGTTGGACCATCTTCTTGTGACCTCAGTCATGGGTATCAGGAGCCAATCGGTATGACAGTCTATAAACGCCGCTTCATGGGTGTTGCTCACCTGGCGCTCCTGAACATCGTTGTCAGCTGGGGTGTAAGTCGTTATTTACAAGCGATGGTCGAACAGAGAATCTAACTGCTCAGTGGGTTACATACCCAGCAGTCCCAGTAACCTCGGCGGTATTCTTGAATGTCAGTGTGAATGCAATCACTTGGCTTAGCACGGGCACTCTCTTCGCCTACTGTATCAGTGCACCGTAAGTTTGTCGGACCTGCCATCGGAGGATACGCCTCCGCGTATGCTTAGCTGACTGCTAGCCTTCTACCAGATTCGTTTTCCAAACAGTAGAGCGTCTGGGGTTGAGAGGATCCAACATGATCACCTCTGTACTCTTGCTAGTCGGGAATTGGATTCGTTATGCAGGGACAGTCTCAGTGGTTAAGAACTATGGAGTTGTTATGTTTGGCCAAATTATCATTGGCTTGGCTCAGCCGTTCTGTCTGTCAACACCCAGCAAGTTCAGTGAGAGCTGGTTTACGGACAAGGGCCGTACCAGTGCCACTGCGATCGCCACTCTCGCCAATCCGTTGGGCGCAGCTCTTGGGCAGTTTGCGAATCCGTACCTCGCCAAAACGCCAGATGACATGCCCCGCATGATCCTGATAATTTCCAGCATCGTGAGTCAGGTTGATCTCTGCCAATATTCTACGCAGAATCCTATTCTAATACTTTGTGACCAAACAATAGTCCACGCTGGCCATCATGCCTTCCTTTTTCATTCCGTCCAAGCCACCGACTCCACCTTCAACGGCTGCTGCAGTTGACCGAACAGGTCTGTTGGTTGCGCTCAAGGACGTAGCTAGAAAGCGAAACTTCTGGCTTCTCTCTTTGCCCTTCTCCATCTACGTGGCACTATTCAATTCCACCATCACCCTACTCAACCAAGCGGTTATACCTTATGGTGCCACCGAAGAAGAGGCAGGCATCGCAGGCGGCATTCTGATTGGTGCTGGGCTTGTGGGAGCAGCTATCCTCTCACCACTGAATGATAAGTTCAAATGGTATATGGGCACCATTCGGAGCTTCCTTCCTATCACCTGTGCTATGTACATCGCGCTCATCTTCACACCGGCCAGCGCGTTGGGCATATGGCCTACATATGTAGTCTGTGCAATCCTGGGATTTTCGTCATTTAGCATCCTTCCAGTCCTACTGGAGCTTCTGGCCGAAATAACATTTCCTCACTCCCCTGAAATAGGCAGCACGATCTCCTGGTTTGGTGGACAAATATTCGGCGCAGTCTTTATTATTGCTCAGTCTGCAATGGTCGCTGGGCCCTCTGCTAATCCGCCATATAACATGCGTTGGTCTCTTACGTTTGCAGCGATCTTGAGTGCCGTGTTCTTGCCAGCACCACTGCTACTGACTCTAGTTGACTCTGGGGCTCTACGCCGGCGGGAGCAGTGGCATAACACAAGTCTCGAAACTGCCAGGGATTCCGCTTGACTTCTTATATTTTAACAGTGGTCTCTAGTCGGCAAGGATATCTCTAAAGGACAGTGAGAATGATTTGTCACCGACCTGGACATACGCATATGTTGCAAGAAGCCTGATAATCAGCGAGGTAGTTGCATTTGCACATTCAACGCGAAGGCTCTGGGCCGCCAGACATAGAAATTTTCACTTTTTACTTTTTGCTGCTCGTTTCACTCGCCTCCGTAGACGTAGGAGGATACGTGCTGTCATCGAGCCAGCGCCGGGCCAGATGCAATGGAATCCTGAGCCCTAAGTCCCGAGTCCCGAGGCCTCTTAGGTAACCATGATATCTACGGGCGACCCACTGTCGTCCGATCTAAACAGAGATAAGTTATCTACGCCTTATCCTGGCCCTTTTGATCTAGTCATCGAGGAGTGAAACTTCACACCCAATCGCCACTTTCATTGTTTCGCGTTGATCTTAACCAGAGATAAGTATTATCTCTGACAGCCGAAGGCCGAGAATGATTCTGTTAAACTACCCACCAAATGCAGGGAACCCTTAACCCCGTTCCGAATCGCCGTAATTCCTAGGCAATCGTAACATCTCTAGGTGACCCATTGTCTAAAGATCTATATAGAGATTAGTAGTCTATTTCTTGGCTTCAGTTTTCCTGATCTTCGTTAAAATTGATGGTATACGTTGTGTGTCTTTCAAGACTTCGAGGATATATTCGCAAGTTTACAGCATGATGGCCGGTGTTGCGGAGATCTACTTCAACAACGTGACATTGACTAGTGTCCGCTCGATTTGGAAGGGCGACAGGCGCAGGCGATGGGGCGGTCCCGACTACCGAGTTCCGAGTGCCGAGACCCAATGCCTCTACCATCTCATCAACCAAACGCGACTGCCGAATTCCCATCCCCACTTCTCTCCAACACTCGGCTCACGATGCTTCATTCGCGGCTCTCGCATGTTTGCGATGCGTGCAAGGCGCGCAAGATTAGGTGCAAGAGCAAGTGTCATGTAAAATGTTTTACTACGGTAAAAGAGCTAACTCATTGTTGCAGAAACATCGGATCATTCAGAGGGCTGCGATAATTGTCACGTAGGTGGCAAATCCCCCCCCCCCCCAATGGTAAAAATGCTCACCACGTGGAATAGAAGAAAGGGCATACTTGCATCTACAGTCCCTTGAAGAGGAGATTCAAGTCTCAAGATCTGAGTCCACGGCATCGGAACCTGCGCCAATCTCAAGGGACTACCCGTGATCTGTCGGAGACAAGGACATTGGGAGTTGCTACGGCGCTGTCCTCCGCTCCGTCCGGCGGAAACCCTTCACAAGATGGTAGAGACGAGTTAACCTGGACACGAGTTCCTGATCCCGTTCAAGGATTCTCACATCGACCTCTCTACGTGGACCAATTGCTTCAAACTCGGCAGTCAACCGGACGCACCCAGAACGCTTCGTTTATCTTAGGAGTAAGCTTGCCTTCTCGAATCTTCACCGAACTTAATACTTATCATTAGATTCAAGGCCGACGAGAACTATTGTACGTCATCCAGAAAAACTGGGTCCTCATTTGCGAGGTCTTGCTTAATCTTGTACCACCAGTGGCCAGCTCAAGCATGAGTTTCTTCTCCGACAGCCGATTAGACGCTCTTTCGGCATGTCTAGGTAACAATGCACTCAGGTCTCTTATTTCGAGAATATCTGGCATGGTCAACTCCCGTGTGCAAGTGCTCAATCGCAACTTCAGACCGTCTAGTATTTGGAACCGACTGGGCGAGATTCCCGTTCTATCACCCGGAAGAGCACGCCATCTCATTGAAAGTGGGCCATCCCATGTATTGGACTGTGGGAGCAGGTGCTGATCTTCAAACGGCTTCTAGTCTACTTTGAGAATATCCACCCTCTATACCCCTTTCTGGACCGTCACGAATTCGAGGCCAGGGCATTTTCACCCACTTTGGATGATGATCTTGCTAATGATGTGGCTTGGGCAGCTTTGTATCACACCGTGCTAGCTTTAGGTTGCGAATTCAATGGTGGAGGCTCATTCGCACCTGGTGAAGGCGAAGCCTGGAGTCTTTTCAAGGTCGCACTTGATCTTTACCCAAGGGTGTTGCTACTAAATACAGACCTTCTAGAAGTTCAGGTAAGCGAAGTCATCCATTCTCATCCATTCCTCATCACGACGAGGGTAGATCTAACTTATGTAGTCAATTACGGCCATGGTAGATCTCAAGTTTATCTCACTTTCTTTCCAAGCGCATTCTTAACAACTGTAACAGGCCATATTCTGTCTCAACATGTCGGGCACTCAGATAGAAGGGAAAATTCTATCCGAGGCAGCAAGGGTTGCCCAGCGCGCATTCTTAAACAAAGCATCTACCGGCAGTGACGCTACAATTCGTAGCCGTGTTTTCTGGGTAGTATATTACATTGAAAAAACAGTATCGTTTCATACTGGTTGTACCTCGGTAAGAGATGTAGAGCCATTTTTGCCTTTTCTTTCCTCCTTTGAATAGTTTGCTGATGCTGGCGTGACAGTTTATTGTCGACTGCGATATTGGCTCGCCCATACCTTTAATTGAAGAGGCAATCTTCGAGGATTTTGACTGGTTTTTCACTTCAATAAAGTTCGCAAGACTCTACTCGCGCATATTCACTGAGCTGTTCTCTATAACTGCAACAAAGAATTCAAGGACGACATATCTCAGCACAATATCTGAGTTCGAAGAGCTCTTGGAGCAACAATGTCAAGCAATCCCACCTCGATTCCGACCTGGTGTTAAGTTGCGACCGCAGGCATTTTCACATCCCTGCGGACTTAACGCCGCTCTTCGGGTTCACTACCACTACCATGAGCTCAAGATAGCTCTTCATCGCTTGAAGCTGCATGTTACTCGTGACCAAATTGCTCCCCGGCCGTCATCGGACATGGCTGGCATTATGAACTCAGCGCGTGCCGTAATTGAAATCACTCGAGTCATTCAGCAAGAACCGTCCACACCGTTCTTGTATGTTACGTGCCCTGTGTTGTGCGTACTCTTGCTAAAATGCGCAGCGTTATCTTCTTCATGCCGTTTACGGCCTTGTTCATCTTATTCGATCAAATCATCCAAGATCCAAACCACGAAGATACTCACGGCAATCTCGCCTTACTCGAAAGTGTGACTGGCTACTTCAGCGCCCTTGAATATGCCACGAATGGGTATTTACCAGGCTCCATGCTGATGCCGTTTGCCTCTATTGCTCGGCAATTTCACTCTACTTCCCATGCCTCTCGTGGGGACAATGTCAGCAATGAAAACAGTGACAAGGGCACTACTTCTGAACAGTCCACGACAGAAATGCTGGGCGTGGATCCATCCACACATAGCCAACAAATACCCTGGGAGGTTAGCGCCGAAGACCTTTCAGTTCTGAAGTCTGCTTTTCTAACATCGATATCTGCTTCTAGGTCGTTGCCTCTCAGCCGAATATTGACTACTCATCTCAAATCTTGTCATCAGTTCCTTCGAATAATTTCATGTTATCGGACAGCAGGCTCACTCCTGGTTTGGAGATCATGGATCTCTTTTGTGGTCCTGCTCATGGCGCTGATTTCTTTTTCCCTCCAAATTGATGAATTCATTGGAGACTGGTTCAGATTGTATCACAAACCAACTTTGGATGATTCGAAAGACCAATCTATAACAAAATTATTCCAGCCCTGTAGAACGCATGTCATTAAATTGTCGACGCTTAAAGTTAACGTTGCAAAGTGCGAGATGCTATACGAACATATAAGATATATTTAACCGGGTTCAACTGGAATTCGCCCCGAGTCTTTCAATTGAGGCCCTAGGTTGGGGTACAAATGCGATAATAACCCCCACCGATGCAAGTATGCACAACTATTAGTAGCCACAACAGCTGCCTTCCTGCTGCCTATAGTGCTGGCAGCATGAGAGGCTGCCACTGCGACATGGATCCATCACGTGATCTTGAACGCAATGGATGTAAAGATCCACAGTCTTCTGCATTATGTGCATGCCCTCCTCACGCTGACTGGTTCTACCGTAGGTAAGATAGATTGAGGTAAAAGGGGGATTGCCAGTTGTTTCCATGGCTGGCTTACTAAATGCAGTGTGGAAGTCTATGACGTCCAACCAGCGATTCAGCGACAGTCTAGGCAGCCAAGAAAGTCAAAAAGTCACTCACTCTCAAAATTTAACGTACATAAAAAATCGCCTCTGCTGAGATGAAGAATTGATATTCCAAGGCACTGGTTTTGAAGCATGAGCCCAGGGATGCGGCACAGTCCCTCATGACCTCCAGCCAGCCCTTGTTCGTCGTTCAGGAGGCTCAATGTTTCTACCAAATCAGCACAATCTACAATACCTGCCCACGCTATCTCTTTTATGCGCTGCTGATCGCAAGCTGTCTCACTCGCTGGACAGGATGGCTTGCCGACGTTTTCTTAGGCGCCGCGGCCACATATGCAGGCACTGCAGCAATCGAGGCATTCATTCTCCTGGCCAGCCCCCAGAAAAAACCAGAACCGGAGCTAGTCACCATTCCTTTCATTTCCAAGAACACCACGTTATGGAACGATTTCCCTCAGCTGATTACCGAAACAAATCAAGTTCTCGTTCAGCCTGCTTCTCTGGAGTTCGACGCTGATGCGGTCGTCGCAATCGTCGTGACGGGATACCTTGTTTTCTTACCGCTTCAATGCTGGTCTCGAATTCTGACCCACCAAAGAGCACGCAATCTGCTATTCAGTCTTTGGAATGTTCTGATGCTTGCCGGTGCTATCTGTGCACTGGTATACGCAGCAAAGAACTCTAGCGCCCCGTCACAATATATGTTCTGCTATCCAGACCTCCCGCCATTCGACCAAACATCCAGCGATGGCTGGCAGCCGTCATGGAGACGATCTACGTGGAACGACAGTGTTTGGGGGACTTTCTCCAACTTCTCTCGTTGGGGCCAGTTGGGCGACATTTGTTTCAATCCTTGCTTCAACTCCAGTCAAATACTCAGAGAACCCACCTCTCTTCAATCCTGGGTTGCAACCAAGGACTCCGAGCTTGCACATCCCCAAAAGTTCTGGACGAAACTAGCTTATTCAAGACGGTATATCTATAGCCTGATTATCCTCTGCTTAGTGCTTAACGTCGTCAACTTGGCGTACAAGTTCCTTCCTTATCGGTCGCAAATTCCATCCTCTAAATTGGTTGTGATCTGGCGAGAAAGGAAGAACATCCTCAAAGGACTCAAAAGAGAATTAAGCGAAGCACGTTCGACTGCTAAGGAGCAACTGGAAAACAAAGAAACAGAAACGTGCCCCAATCCCATCGTCCGAAAATCACCTTGGATGCGCGCCCGACCATTCTTCAGCGCCATATTTCTCAGAGCATTGCTGCGAGTTGCGGTGGATAGTGCAATTCTCCTTGGTCTGGTCTTCAGCATGGTCATCAGCCCCTTTACCATTATTGCGTTTGTGGCATGGGCTGAGTGGACTATCTACAACGATGGTCCAGCGCAGGAAAAGCCGCAGCAAGTCGGGCAATGGTCTTACCTGGTTTCTGTTGGATTCTTGGTACTCTCTGCTGCCATACTAATGCTCAAGTACCGCCTTGCAACAACCTCTGAGCTAGACGAGGAGATACAGAAGCTGAAACGTGATTTACAGAAGCTAGAGATGCGAAGGGAATCGCAAGCACGGCGGCGCACGGCTTCTAGCACAGGAGATGAACATGATTCATGAGATGCTACAATGGGTCTAGCACAAACTACCAGTCCTCTATCCTCTCCTTTGGTTGGTAGGTGCGTGATTTAAAATTGTGTAAAAAGATTCTTTCCTGGCCTTCACACTGGCCCGTTGAATGGCAGGACTCGTATAAGGAGTGGTGGTGAGATCTTCGTTGGGTCAGGGCTTTTAGGGCTCAGAACAGGCGCCACAGGCCGGGAGAAAGACAGTGCAGGTACATGCTACAATAGTTGAGAACAAAGCAAATTCTTTACGGCAGAAGGAGAAGAACCGTCAGGGATCGAGGATGCATCTAGCCGTACAACCTTTCTTTGCTAGAAACAGTCAGCATCAATTGGCAATAAGGCCCATAGTCCCATCGCCGCAAGGCAGCATTATTCCACATCTCAGTATCATTGGTCGTCTACGTGCAATTACAAGAAGCCTTTCTGTGTCATAGTTTTTGGAAGGAGTTCCGAGTTCCGAGTCCGGAATGAGGAGGCCACAAACAAACTTAGCATCTGCATTTGGGTTCTCCACCCCCAACCCATGGTATCGAGTATCAGTATTCTAGATTGCTGAAGCAGGGTCATTCCACACACTCTGCGATCCATTTCTTCCATTCTAGACTACTTCATAAACTATTGGGCCATATTTTAGCCACCAGTTAAAGACATTTCACAGGCGTCCAAGACTGGAGCTTTATCATTTTACAGGAAGAAAAGTTTTGAAAATGAAGACTGAATGCTTGGGACCAAGACTAGGTTTGCAGACAAGTGTAGCCAAAAAATAAAAGGTCCTAGAAGATGCTCATTTCGACGGTGTTCGTATAGTCGATGTTGGCATCCACTCCTTCAATCCGGTCGCAGCAGGTACCAAACACACGGTCCCAAACGCGTGTTTGTTTGCCATAGTTATGACTCTTCCTCCACCCCTTTCTGTGATGAAGATCATGATCTTCAATGACCAATTCCGCGTCGAAGATCCGCATGAGCCAGGTCAACGGATTAGGCGGCGATGCATGGAGGCGAAGACCGCTGTGTCCAGCCAGCTCTGCAAAGAGGACGTAGAGCTGACATATGTGCCACTCATAGAAGCCCATCGGGAAGCCCATGAACTTCATTGTAACATAGGTCATCAGGGGGATCCCTGCGATATCAAAGAACTCTTGTTCCGAGTCTGCGTATATTGTAAGAAGTGGATTGGGATGCTTGGTAAGGTGGTGCGTGCGGTGAAATTTCCAGAGTCCGTTTACATCGTGCATGACGCGATGGTACCAGTAAAACCAAAAGTCAAGAATGATGCCGTACAGACTGACTTCGAGGGGGAGCCATCGCCAGTTCATAGACGTTGGAGTTTCATTTGCCGAGTAGGTAAGATAGACTATCATCATTGGGCGAACGAGGCTGGCCAGCATGACAGATGTTAGTACCTTGGACACTCCCACGTCGGGGATGCCATCACGCTCGTGTTTGTCGCCGTCTAAAAACCCATAGGTATGGCCAAGCTCGCGTAGTCCTCGGAGTTCTCGGCTGGTAAATATTCTGTTACTGTAATAGTAGAAGCCGAACGCCACGATGGGGCCGAAGTTTTGGCCGGTAAGGTATACAAAAAGTTGGTGGACGATGAGTGGGATGCTAGCGTGAAAGATAATCCACCGGTGGAGAGACCAGTCTGAAACATAAGGTATCTTTTCCTCTTTTGAATGAACGGGGACCTTTCTATCAAGGTCAACATGGTAAAGGTTTGCATGTTCGAAGAGTTTGTGTGATAGTGTCCACTGGCTTCGATCCCATCGGCGCCATGTCGACCTCATCGAGTCTTTCGGGTTCTTAAGTTGTTCCATGGTGAGTCAAAAGTATATTCGTGATTATCCTAGATCAAGGCATGGTCGCATGGGCAGAAAGGATCATTTTAACATGAATCTACTTTGAACAATGTCACGAAAGCCGAGGGCCGATATTACTGCACATCGCTAGATATGTATTGCTTGTCTTCACGTGGAACCTGCTAGTGGCCGGTTTCCAACAAGCATCAGGATTGGCGTGGATTGGACATTCGCAACTCTTACCTATGAAGGCAGGATTTGCGGCAAGTCTAAACCCCAAGGGCCTTGGTTCGACACGACACTGCGCCAAGGATGGTCCACGGACCAAAAGTTGCTCCGAAATAGCTTCACCTCCATATCTGATGGAAATAATCCCTGAAACCCTCCATCATGGTAGCCTTACTGCTATGCACGAGCAACACTAGTGTTTTCTCATTTTTTCAAGTCTCCAATCATGATTTGCGCATCTGTAGGCTCCTCTTATACCGAGCCGGTGGAGCCCTTCAATCGAGAATTTCCATTAGACCAAGGTATCTAGGTCAACTGGACACTATAGTGCGCGGTAAAGAAGCCGGTGATAGAGTGTACCTCTTACCAACAGAGAAAAAAGAATGGAGATAGAAGCACTCACTCTTTTCTTGAATGCCTGACTATGCGGCGTCACAAGGGAGCTGCCTTGAGGGAGTGGATCTCGTTCTTGGCGTTTGTATACCCTGCTCTTATTACCATCCCGTCGAATGCTGCCTGTTGACACTCTGGATCCTGTACGATGCATCTTGCTTGCTTCATGTTGTGGGAGCTCTGCCACCCAAAACACAGTATACAGGCAATGTTCATTGGAGCGTATCTGCCCTTTGGCTAGAGCATATGCACCAACCCTGGCCTTTACCCTGACAGAGGGTTTACCCTTCGGTAAGATTTGCAGTATAACAACAGCTAGGTACTAAGGTTATTGCTGTAGAGCAAATAGTAATCCAACCACCCACATCTTAAATGTTGGATTATGCCAACATTGGCCCGCGAGAGAGTAGGGACAGACAGAGGAGAGGTTTCGATGTTGAAATCCAATAACTAAGGGTGTCAGGTCGAGAACGAGTTCAGAATTCAGAGGAAATAGGTTTCAAGACCTAAATCAAAAGCTCGATATCCATCAAGAATAGGAGAGAGAAATAAATGGTTCCGCAACAATAGCCACTCCAGTCGAATATGTGAAGGGCTGAAAATGTACTTGAAGTGAGTATCGAGGGGGTCTAGAATAATTATGCCCAGTATTGGTAAGAAAGTGCTTTCTGTTATGTAACCCTAGTTCCCACGACCTGTGGTGAGTGCCATTCAGCGCCTGTTAGCATATCACCTGCCAACCATAGGGCCAACCGCGACCGTGCGACTAAGGGGAAACACCATGACTAAGGGATTGATAAAAGTCATTAATGCCTCAACTGCTTAGTTCATCACTTTTTATACCGAGGCTGCGCATCGTTCTGCATTTCTCGAAGGCCCTGTTTGCGGGTGGATCTGTGGGGTAGAAGATCTAATCAATCTGGGGTAGGTCGATCGGCCAGTTGCCAAGGCAACGTCTAGCCGCTTCTGACATGTTATATCAGACTTGCACGACAATGTCACAAATAATCATTCTCTCCTGCCTGATGCTGTATTCTGCCCACTAATTCCCTCGGCACTGTTCTCACAATACCCTGATCTCTCGCTATACACCTCAATCGTCGATTCTGTCGAATATGCAAGCAGCGCCAGGGTAAGATATTCAACTATGGGGTCTGTGGCGCTCGAGGCTAGGTTCAGGCATCTGGCCATAGCGGATGAGAACGATCACCATGGTGTGGCTAAAGCGCAGGAAAAAAACAAAGTGCGTATATTACAACTACCCTGTGGTTAATTTTGGGGCACAATTAACGACAGAGATTAGGTTGCGACGTCTACTACACATCCGTCAACAACTCCTTCCAAGACCAGACACCTTCTCTCTGTTGTTGTGTCGCAAGAATCAGATCAATCTGTTGAATCAGAAGATGAGCTTGCGACTACAGATGTCAAGCCAGAAGCCAAGGCCAAAGACCCTCCTCATTCCGATGCAGCCCAAATAAAGGCGAAGCAATCACGTTCACCACTTCGGCACCCTCTCTCCGTTCTATCACAAGCGCCGAACACCGCTGGGGGACAGCACCCCGTCAGGCTTAGCAAGCAACTGTTGCCTAAAGTGTTTCATTTGGGAATGTTCGAGGTCGGTCGTGCACTGGGGAAAGGGAAGTTTGGACGCGTATATCTTGCTCGAGAACGCAGCACCGGTTTCGTTTGTGCTTTGAAGGTACTCCACAAGAATGAAATTAAAAATGGAAGGATAGAAAAGCAGGTGGCCCGTGAAATCGAGATTCAGAGTAACCTCCGACATCCCAATATTCTTCGACTCTATGGTCACTTTCACGACCGAAAACGGATAATTTTGATATTGGAGTATGCTGGCAAGGGTGAGCTATACAAGCACCTGCAAAGAGAGGACCGTTTTCCAGAGTGGAAAGCTGCACAATACATTGCGCAAATGGCGAACGCTTTGCAGTACTTACACCACAAACATGTTATTCACCGGGATATTAAGCCCGAAAATATCCTCGTTGGTATCCATGGAGAGCTAAAGATGTCAGACTTTGGCTGGAGTGTCCACGCGCCGAGTGGCCGCCGGCTCACAAAATGTGGAACATTGGATTACCTGCCCCCAGAAATGGTCGATCCCAGGAAGTGTGATAAGCCCTATGATCAAAACGTTGACTTATGGTCCCTGGGGATCCTAATGTATGAATTCTTGGTTGGAAATGCTCCATTTGAGGATACACCTATTATGACACAAAGAAGGATAGCGAAGGGAGATATGACAATCCCTTCCTCCGTCAGTCCTGAAGCAAAGGACCTTATCAGAAAGGTAAAGTAACTGTTGTCCCGCAGCCCACTGAGCAAAACTAACAGCATTGAAGCTTCTTGTTCTCGATGCGGACAAGAGAATTTCCCTGGAGAATGTCCGCCAGCACCCTTGGATTATCAAGTATTGCTCCAAGGATGCGAAGATCGAGGAGAAGGATGAGTGACTTTGCTGCAGGATATATATATATCAAGTTAGCCATCTAATAGTAATCACATAATATCATCTAGGCACTTGATTGATGTTTAGATCCATCGGTATAGTGAACGACTAGTGATCCATCCAATCGACATTAGTCCACATTTAAAGTTTTATAATGAGCCAAAATCTCATAGGAAAGAAAAAGCCTTGTCTTGATAGTGGCTCCACTATTTACACCTCCAATGGATACTACAAATATACTTGATATTTTATGTTAGGTGGGGTGGGCGATTGGATGAACAGACCCCGCATCCATGACCCCGGCACATCTTATCAATTACTCCACCTACGTGAGTCTCCAGGTAGCCGCCCCCTTATATGACGCTGGTTTTACTAGAGTAGCGTAGAGCTAGAGTAGGTTAGGTTAGGTTAATGGCGCATAGATATATTGTTCCGTCCATGGTTAACCTATGGTTAACCTAGATATGAACACTACATGGACTGATTGTGTGCTATCAAGCTCTTTAGATTTATTTTCTTACAAGATATTCAAAGAGCCTACTTGTATCTGCTAACCTAGGGCCTATGTTCTTGGTATGTGGAAAAATGTAGCCAAGTTCATTCTCGACTGATCAAGTGAACTTGACCTAAACAAGGAAAAGAATAACGTCGGATTAAAGTTTTGAGTGCCACAGCTTGAGAGGATTGTACGCAGTATGAGATGCTGATCTGCAGTAACACAGTTGAGAAGCGAGTGGGCAGTGTATATCGCTTGAACAGGTTAAGCAAGTGAGCAGACCCTAGGAGATCAGTCATGCTGAGATCCTTTTCGGTTCTCAAGTCGGAGGAAAGTTAATCGACAAATCCAACTATTCAGAAAAGAAGTCACCTGTTTCACACAGGTATATCTATATTTGTTCCCTGGTAATTCCAGTTGTTTCTGTAATTATATATTTCTCTGAGGGCTCGGAAATAAGAGGTGAAAGTTGGTAGATGAGTGAGAAGGAACATCATCACCTTTGGCTACCGAGATAACAGAAAAAGTAGAATAATAAAGGTAGAGAGAACCAGGATAGAATACTGAAAGACAGAAAGTTAACCGGGGAAAAGCTCTATACCACAACAGCCCCCTTCAGTAAGCGTAGTAGCGTGTCCAGATCAAGATAGTGACCTTATCTGCCTGATTACATGACCACGAACAGCGAGTATCTTCACAGTTTGTTCGTTCCGAACCCTTTTTCCTAGATGGTCTGGACTATGTTATTCGGAAATAACTAATGAGAGTCTTACCTGTTGCAGGACCAAGAACTATCTATACGTGACGTATTAGTTGCGGCAATATTGTGACTAAATTTCATAACACTATTTTCACGAATGAGTAACCAATGCTATGTTCTGATGCAGTAAAAATAGTATCACAGGTACATTTGCATGTACCCTTTGTGCGACTCTCTACAATTCCATAGAAACAAAGATCTTCCATTCCAGACAAGACAATGCGACCGAGGATCCGGCAGTCGGCAAGTCTAAAAGTGGACCATGACTCGACAGCCGTCAATCATACCTTATCTGGAAAACACCAAATTCCTCGGTTTCGAGTTTCCATATTTACGGAGTACGTCAAGTTTCAGATAAAAGATCAAAATTTTCACTTGTCGAAATTAGAATAGAATAGCCCAGGTCAATCCCGACCGACATCCAAACCATGAAAAAAATTATAATACAGCAGGTCATATCATAAGGGTATTAAATATGTCCTGCCCGATGCATCGCAAGACGAATCGCCGAGAAAACAAGCACATAGACAGATCCCTCCCATTATTTACCAGAAGCCAACCACCAGGAAAAAGTATCTAGGCAATAACACCCATCAAAGCCGAGCAGAAGACCATAGCCAAGAGACCAAGTCCACCCTTGGAGACAGCAGGCTGGATGGCATAGCCGGCGCTGTCGGAGGAGGTAGAGGAGGCGCCGCTGCCGGTGGAAGTACCGGTCTTGTCGCCAGTCTTGGTGGAGGACGGGGCGGAGGCCGTGGCTGTGGCGGTATCGTTGCCCTTGCAGTAGAACTCGCGGCCGTCCTGGGCGCCCTCCTTGCGCAGGCAGTCCTTGAGGTCGCCGACACTCTGGCCTTGGGCGAGACAGTAGAGGCCGCAGCCGTTGTCGAATTCGGTCACCTTGGCGGGGGTACAGCACTTGTCCATCACGTCGGAGTAGTTTCCGGTCTTGGGGAGAACACAGGCGGCATCCTCGACGGGGACCTGCCAGTAGGACAAGGTGTTGCAGGCGGTGGCGCTGGCGGCGACGGAGGTGGTGGTGGTAGACATTTTGGAGGATGTTGTTTGGGTGAGTCTTGAGTTGAACGAGTGTATTCGAGTAAAGATGTAGACTCGAGATGAAAACGAAAGACTGGGGAGAGAATAGCTTGATAGGAGCAAGATAGGAGGCGAAAGGATCAAGGTGAGACGGGTGGGAAAGTCAAAACGAGCTTTATATTTATTATTCTACCTCAAGTAAAGAAAGCGATGGGCTGACAACCAGTGACAGGCTCAACGCTAACTGGTTCTCGCCTCTTGCTCCACTCACTCTTTCTGGCTTGGCGTCGGGAGCCCGATTGGTGATCGGCAATCCCTGTCTCGGTTGTTCCATCATGATTGGGTTTTATTTATATTGACCCGGTGAAGTTACACGCGAAGACGACTAAAAGTACACTGCAGGTGACTTGGTGCCATGTTGTTGGGTGGTTGACCAGAACAACTCATGGTACATCCTACAAGGTTGTTCTTGTTTCTTGTCTGCGCCTCCTTGCATACGTACTACGCAGGCATTTGGCAGCCCTATCTATGACTGAAAATTTTGCAGGGGAAAAGGTTTCCACGGCTGGACCGTCTCCGACACTCCGCCCCAGACTGGTCACATTATTGGCAGGACCCCTTCTATGGGTCCCTTTCTTTGTCCCAGATTTCAGATTTTTAGTCTCCATACCCCGTGATTCATCCGGTTTGGACTCCGCCACATACGTAAATATTTACATAATATTATGACTGGCGTGAATAACCGAGTTTACCTATCGTATTGGGGGAATTCAAAACGGCAGTGGTCAGCCAAGCAGAGGTGTTCTCTTCCTAATTCATCAGGCAGAAGCGAGTCCCCAAGCCCACAATATAACGAGTCACTGCCGCTCCCGTTGCATGCACTGTACAACGCCCATTGTGCAGTGACTTCCCCCGTATTCCACACATCCTCGTCAATCCATGCACAATCCATATATTCATTAATTCAGAAGAGGCCAAAAGGTGATTTAATATCTAAACTCAAGCTGAGTCGGTATCGACTTCCGAATATCCATACTTCGTCAATAACTCCCCCTCAGCCCCTCTCCATGTCCTACCCTGTAAATGCCCCAGGCAGAGCTGCTTACCCTCATTCGGATAGTACAGCCAACAAGCCCATTTATGCCACTGGCCCTCCTTCATCTGCTGTCTCGCCTGCTGGCCAACCTTATCCTCAATAAACTCACCCCGCCGCATCGTCAGCCGATTCGGGAACACCCGCATGAGGTAATGCTCCGTCGAGGCAATATGCGGTTTATCAAACCAGAAATACAGCGGCGTCAACGGCACAGATACCTCCGGCTGTGATGACGGGACGAAATCCCGCGTTAGATCTTGAGTCAAGGCCCGCAAGGCCGGGAATTCCACCACATAGGGCTGCGTCGCATACGAGAGCATGCGCACCGAGGGAAACGACACGTATTTAACCGGCGCGACTTGATCTGCGTCCGAGCACTCCATGATCTCCAGTAACGGTGCTAATGGAATATCGGCGACGAGCGCCCAGTCATGTTGCTGGACCCAGACGTACGGTGTCTCACAGACCCGCAGGGCGGAGCGCACGGCCAGACCGAACCCCAGACGCGCTGCGGGCTCGATGAACGTCACTTGCTTGTCATCGGTCTGTGTGATGGACAGATCGACCACGTTGCTGAGGTTGTTGAGACCAAATTCGGCCTGGTCCTGCCATTCTTGCATCACGTGGTCAGAGCAGCCATCGGGGGATGCATATTCGCGTAGCATCAGTTCCTTGACATTTTGTTTGTAGACGCCGTAGTTTGCAGCTACTTCGGGCGTGGCTTGCCCCTTTTTCAGGCGGGAGCGAGGTCCGACGCGGTCAAAGGTGTCAAAGACCACAATGACCCGGGCACTGATTAAGTCCGTGCAATGGCGACGGAAAGACTGCAGTACGGAGGAGATCAGTTCCGTAGAGGGGTTTGACGGGGTGGGGGAGGTCGTGACGATCACAGTCAACTGACTGGATCTGGGCACCATGGGTGCTTCACGACAGAGGGTGAATGCCTCTATTTCGTTCTTGGATTGACTGTATTGTATAACGCAGCCGGATGAGTGGGCGAAACGGTCGGGAAAGTTTTTCCTTAGTTTTTCCGCTCCGGCCGTACCATTTTTCGTGGTGAAACATTACAAAGTTAATTGAATGTCATGGTGATTGCCTGAGGCACCAGTTCCCGATCAGGGAAAGTAAAGCGACTGGGCAAATGGTGAACTATCTAGTGGGGCATGGAATTTAAGGGCTCTACGCCAGATCAAACGGTTTCTATGGCAAAAGACATCAATTTGCCAGTATTTGCAACATTACCAAGACTGGAAGAATGGGAACAGTCATATCAAGGTAGTTCACAGTGGCCTCTACACTGGCTGAAGACAACTGGTGATGTCTCTCCTATTGGTCCAAGCCCTAAGTCGACCGGATTCCTAACATGATTACAGCTACTGTTCGTATTTTCTCTGGGCTTTCAAAATCATTTGTCTCACGGATTGTGACAAGCTAATGCATTTATACAAAATTTCTTGGAGCCATACGTGCCTTGATGACCGTCTAGTACGTCAGTTCTAGGACAATCCATTGGAACTGTCAGTCAAGATCTGTCAAAGTATGGCTTACTTCTTGGATGACACGGTTCAATTTTATGGTCCTGGTGGAGCTTTGTTTCCTTTTCGACTGCGCGTGGGACTCTGTTCATATCAAGACGAGGTTTCCGGCCAGTGAGAGCTGTGCCTACATATAAACAACCGTCTTTCCCAGAAGTGGTTCTATATTGAACCTCTCCATGTCAATGTCAGCGCTTGACAGCCAGCAAATATCCCTGTTAGTGCACGGGGATTCTGTTAACCACAACCTTTCTCATTGACTTCTCTCCTCTGCTTACTGCAGTGCCCCTTAGAGCTTTAGGCAAATTATTGTACGGAGTTATAGTTGATATCAGGCAGAAGCGTTGGTATTACTCATACTATTGACCCAGTCTGGCCTATCTGTCCGGAGGACTATTAGCACAATAGTCCTCAGATTCTTCACTACACTCAGGTTTGAGCTTCACAACACCCATCTCATCTCAGTATATTATAACTGCATTCTGGGCCATGACTACACTTCAGGAAATGACAAACTCTAATACTGCCCCACCATAGTATCTTCAGTCCATACCGTTCGAAACTTTCCTTTCAGCTGCACTAAACAAGTACCCTTGCTGTCCCCACACCTTGAGGGCTTCCAACCGTAGTTTATTTTGCTCCTCTCGCGGTGGAGTTGGGTTTGACTTGCCACGTCCAGAACGAGATTCCTTTGTTTCAACCAATGCAATTTCATTAAAGTGACATACCGTGTCGAGGTGGCATTTCGGCTGCCTGTGAAGGTCATACGTCCGATACTCTGCATTAGCCCATCCGGTTGCTATCCCAACAGGGAGGATGTCAGTATGTAGGTAATCTTTTAGTGCCGAGTTCGGAGACGCAAGAGACTGACCTTCTTCCACAAAGCTATCTTCCCAGTCTTCCGTCAAGAAATGCAAGAAGGCACCATGGCTGACAACAACAATTTCCCTCTCGGGCCTGCTTTCTAGCCATCGTCGAACGGCCTGCGCCCGATCTTGAATTGCTGGAATCAAGGGCCCATACCGGCCATTCTGTCACGATATCAATGTTAACCGTCAATGTCGCAGTCTTTCTGTGATAGATCGTATACAACGTGTCAATGACCAGGGTTCTGAGCATACCTTGCTGTTCCATGAGCTTTCAACGAAGCTGTAGTCGATCGGAATATTGAGATTTGCGGTTTTTCGCATCAACTCTTCCGGTTCGCTTCCGATATCACAAGGATAATCGCTGATCTCCTGAAGGTCAGGTAGGAGAATTAAGTTTTGGCTGGGTTGGTTTTCAAAAACCGGCCCAAAGCTAATGGCCGCTGACGAGATGGCGCGACATAACGGAGACGAGACTATAAGCTCGACTTCTGAGTGAAAGGCAAACTTATCTCGGAGCTGTCGACATTGCTCTCTGCCTTTATCAGTCAGAGGAGGGTCTGTCAGATCCCAATACTCTCGACCGACGTTGTGAAGCCCCTAAGTTATCAGCATATCTTAATAAGTGGGATCAGATAAATCATCCGAAGAGCTCGCACCTCTGCATGTCGGACTAGATGGATCCTCGGCGGCATTTCGTGATGTGTAGGCAGGCGCTCGTTGGCGTAGGTAATGCTAGCAAGTTGTTGCTTCAGTCTGCCGATAAAGGGGGGCTTCTTAAGTGGCGCTGTGTTCTCTTATCCGATGAAAAACATATTGGAGCAGGTAAGCGCAAAGATTCAGAGCAGATTTGTGAATCTTGCCGAATCAGCTTGTCGCATATCCGGGCGCCCTCCTGCGCGGTTGTATATCTGAAAGCTTATTCATACCTCTCGGCTTCCTTTTTCGGATTAGGGGGTAGAACGGGAGTTGTACTAGGCCTGGGTAGGTTAGTCAGCTATCTAAATAAGTAAACGCTAACCAGCTCATGGATCGAGGAGCGAGTTTTTCCGGTTTTTCCGGGTCGGATTGACCTCAGTTGGCGCGAGTTCGGGGCGGGTGCCTGTCAAAAACCCAATCCAGCGCCGGGTCGGGAGCGGGCCCTAGATCTTGAACCCGAACCCGCCCCAAAACTAACTCTACGCATAAGTTATAGGTATTAGGTATACCATAGGACCTTTCCTTTCAGCTCAACGAGTTGCTTCGATTGTATAAGGCATTTTGGTAGTATAGCTGATGTTTGAATCATCTACGAAAATAAAGCGCGTTCAAAGTCAGTATACCTTAATCACCCCTTCTTACAGAGCTGACTATATATATCTGAGCTACTTCGGTACTAGAGAGAGAATAATTTTCGCAGAGGCTCTCACAAGTCCAGAATTACAACCATCCTTGGAGCGTATTTTCCTCCTAGTTTGACCATCATAGATCATCTCCCTAGTTCTTTGCCTATGTATAGTAGACAGGGAGAAACCTGTATCTATTGTTTTTACTGGTGCTTCCCGAATCAATAAATCCATATTGGGTAATAAAGAAGTACGGTATAGAAGGGCATGGACTTTGAGTTCCGATGGGGGATTTAGCGTACGTACCCTGGCTGCCGCTCAAGACCTTAGGTAGGTGATCTACGTTAGTCATTCTCGAAACCCGCCTGAACTACAAACAAACATGGATCATTTCACGACGCCATTGCCAAGGCTGTGGTGTAGGTGATTGAGCTACTTTTCTCCGAATGAGAGTTTCTCTTCTACTACATACGTCCTGGAGATATTTCATTGTTTATTAATGAGATACGGACCATGTTTTTGTTGGGGGTATGGTTGTCATCAGTTTCTACTACCTCTTACGGCAACGAACGAACACCGCAGTTTGAGAAGCCAATCAGGACTATTGTGGAGGCATACATGTATATCATTGACGCATACCTACAACTGAATGCAGTATATTATCTATATAGATAATTAACACAAAGAATGAGAAAAGTTCAGAGATCCCGAGGCAGTCAGTGTGAATGGATGGGGATGTTCAATCGATCTCCCCTCACCTTGGGAGTAGGTGATTGAAGCACAGGTCGGAGGCAACTTCTAGCTAATGGAAGAGATCTAAAATGAAAACCCAAATAATCCAACACATAAAGGTGTCTTGGCTCAAGTGATGTATTCAAGCCTCGGGCTGTATTTCTCACCGAAGAAATCAACCCTTCCATCCTCGTCCAACACCAGTGCACTTTTATCAGCTTTAGAGCGCTTCACGACACCGTTAGGGCCTCCGTCAGCATTACACAAGGTCAGTTAAAGGACAAACTAGAGGAAATGGGATTCAAGATGAGAATTCTGCGGGTGGGATATAATCTATCACCGAGAAGACAAAGGCAATGAACCGTTGAACAACAAGCATGTGTTCCTTCAAAGCGCCTGCTTTCTGGATTCACCCTCTGCTTTGTCAGGCATTTCTACTTCGTCCCCGACCACGTTATCGCGCTGGTCAAGATGCACATTCTTCAGAAAGAACATAACAATAAGCATTGGTGATACGGCACACAAACCACCAATCGCCAGGAGCCGTTGTGTCTCCCGATAACTACGATCGATAGCGTCCCGGGCTGGCGTTCCCTTGGCATACTTCTTCGCTGTGACAATTGACTGGAAGATAGCCATGGCTTGCGGCTTCAGTTCGTCGGGAAGATATGTCCGCAATTTTGTGGGAAGGTTGTTTCTCCATATTGCTCCTGATATGCTGCGGGATATGTCAGCGCATGATGGAATTGCAACATATATAACCAAAGGATATTGTTTGCATAATGACTACAATACGTACCTGGTACCAATCGCCCCACCAACCCCCATCGATGCGAAGAATACAGCGGTCACAACAGATATCTCTTGCTTGGATACTACGGCTTGCGCTGAGACCTGCGATGCGGTTTGGTAGAATCCTCGACCGATACCGATTAGTGCTTTTGCCGTGACGAATGACGCCTCGTTGCCCATTCTGCCATCTCCCATATCGATCAAATACAGGAGAATGCCCATGCCAAGGACGCACATAGGAGCTCCGATTAGCACCCAGATTTGCGACCGCTTGCTGTATTTCATAAAAAACCCAGCGAAGATGCCTGAGACCTGGAAGGATACGCGCAGGGCATTACTATGGTGTGTACACGTTAGAGAATGACACTGGAGAGGAGGAACTGTGTACTAACTCGATCCTAGTTGCATGTCCAGCAGAATAGCCACCCACCACCTGAAGGTAGCTACTATAGAAGACGGTGAACATGGAGTAATGGAGAAAGTCTAACGCTCCTAATAGGCATGCAGCCGCAACCGTCTTACTCCTAACCATTCTGTACGGGATAAATGGTTTCTTGGCCACGAAAATATCCCAAAGAGCAAAGAGAACGAGGAGTACGATACCGACAACAAGTAATGCAATGAATGTAGCACTCTGCCAACGATCACTTCGATTCGCGCCTGTCAAGGAAATAGGGATCAAAGTCAAGCATAACCCTGCCAGGAGAAGAAGAGCACCTGGGAGATCGAGCTGAACCCATAATAGCTCATATGCCTGTTTCCACCATGGCTGAGAGGCATGTAGTCCGAGCTGAGTAGCAAGGCGTTTTTTTCCAAGGCCATTTTTCATTGCTCGATGTTGGTGGTAGAATACAGAACAGAGTAGGGGAAGACCACAAACAGGCAGTGCAATAGCCCACATACCCCAGCCCCAGCGCCAGGTGGAGTGGTCCAACACGGATTGCCCAATCGTCGTGCCGAGGTATAATGTTGGGATGGTGGATATTGAGTCGGGCAACGTTGACCATAGAGCACGGTTGATCAGGTTTGTAACATCAGCAATAAAGACTTGTTGCGTGAGGCCGAAGCCAGTGGAACCGATGGAGTGGAAGACTGCGGCAGCCTAGTGATAACAAGTCAACTTTGCAATGATTCACGATACCAAATGTGCCTCCAAGTGGCATTTGAGTGTCCGATGAGGCTTCATCTCACATACAGCATATTGTGATATATTATTGCATGCAGCATAAATGACATAACACAATGTAGTGATCAATATCGAAAAGGTGAACATCTCCCCTCTTCCAAATACCTAGTTTTCGATGTTAATATTGGAGCCTATTTCTATTGGGATGGACCGGGATAAATCCACAAAAGGAGAACAAGGCCGTACATCTCCAAGCTTAGCGATAATAGGGTATGCAGTAATACTTGCAATATTACTAGCAACTCTTGCAGCACTCATCGAGGAATGGCTCTTAAAGGAACTTGTGGTGTAGGGAATGTAAACCTGGCTGGAATAGTCTCCAAAGTGTGTCGCGAGTGTATATAGGAAGATACTAGGGGGCGATCCTTTAGCTCACAGTCTTCTTTCACCTCGTTACGATCAATACATACCCCATGAATGTAATTATCATGCCCTTTTTGGACCACGTCTTTCGTAGTATTGCTGCTCGCTGTACTCCTGCTTGGGCACTATCGGCGGTCGAACCGGTCTCAACATCGTGCTTCTCAGGTAGGACCTCGGTTATTTGATCGTCTGTATGTTTGTTACTGTTGGATATTGTATCCGGAGCCCTGCTTGGTTGTGATTGGGATATAGTTTCCTGTTCCATTGGCGTACGTTCAAACCCGGGAATATAACAAAGGAAGCAAAGTATTGGGGAAGGGAGGAGCTGTGTGACATAGAAGTGATACAGAAGAACAAAAAACTTTGTGTCTAGCCGAAGAATAAAAACAAGAATGAAACACGGAAGTGTTTACGTTATAATATAGCTAGGCGACGGCTTCCAGTTACATTTACCTGCCGTCTACCTGTACTGCTAGGGCCAGTGGTAGACAGACTTTTCTGACCCGGAATGGCACCACTATCCCAAACACCGATTCTATCTACCATTCCATATCCCTACTATCACCTAACTCCAATTCTTCCCGATGATCGGTACTGTTTGTCGAGGTGAGTAGTCGGCATAAATCCGGATATCGCGGCTTATAATCCACTGCCTCGTATCTGATGATCTGATTAGATTGACTTCCAACGCCTTGCCAAGCCATTTACCTTATAGTGGATATAGAGCCACGATTTCTGTTGGACGAAACGGCTGAGATACGAGAGCCAAGAACCGTTTACCTAATGATATACCAAAGACAGCAACTAAGAAGCTCAGCCAAGAAGATGCTAAAATTCCATTCAATGAGCTTGACACACAGTGTAGCATTTTGCACGTGGCAGTCCCTCACAATACTACTGTTGCCTAGCCCGGCAGGCTGGCTCCTACTTCCTCATGAAGCGCCACTGGTTTTGAGGTTGCATGCGAAAGGTACTTCATAAACACACACACTGTATGCTAGTGATATAGGAAGCGACAATTCGCGTATCTAAACCTTTGAACATGCTCGCACATGCGCCCAATACTCTGCAACTGGAGCTGAAGAACTCCGATGGTGATACCTACCAGATTCAAGTGGCGTGGCCTCTAGCGTGGGATGATCCTAAGGCCCCGGGCCATAGCGCCTCTATCATGTATGCTATTCTCAAACTCAGAAGTGGTATCCGAAAAGTGCACTCACTCCTAACACTTATTCTAGTTATGTACTTGATGGCAATGCGCTATTCTTCACAACAGCCGAAGCATCGCGCCGTAGCGCAACGCTTCCTTCAAGCGACAATGCAGTTGTGGTAGGGATTGGGTATCCAATCGAAGACAGGCCATACAGTCCGCGAAGACATTATGACTACACCCCACCATGTGATACTTATGTAGCACCACGCGGAATTGATGGTAAACAGCAAACTGCACCTCACGGCGGCGCAACACGCTTTCTTGAATTCCTTGTCGGTACTGTACGGACCACTTTGCTTACAGACGTTTTCTGTGGTCTATCCGTGATAAAGGAGATCCTTATCGGCCATTCTCTGGGCGGACTATGCACTCTACATGCATTGTTCCAGAATACAACACCCTTTGATACCTTCATTGCCCTTAGCCCTTCAATATGGTGGAACAATGAGTTTATTCTAGGAGAAGCAGAGCGTTTCTTGAAGCAACGTCAAGATGGTGTAGGTTCAGAGCCACATGCCACATTGCCTTCTTTAATGATTATATATGGGAGCCTGGAACAAGAGCGACGGTGCCACCCCTCCTGGAGCGAAGATAAATACCGGAGAGTGAAAGTCTTGTCGCAGGAAAGAAAGATGAAAGACAACGCTGATGCGCTAGCGAATCATTTGCGAGAAAGTGGTCAATTAAGCAAAGTACGGGTCAAGGAATATCAAGATGAGGATCATGGGAGTGTGGTTGGTGGTGGTATTAGTTGGGCAGTTGGGGCTGTCTTGGACGAAGGGAGATTCTGTTCCGATGAGGATGACTAGCTGGCACCAGGTCGAATCTTTGATGAAGTTTTGGACCTGCTCTCTGATAGCCCCATGAAAGCTACGTCAAGATCGATAGCTAGATGTATGGCTATCGAATATAGGAACAGAGAATCATCTAGGGGTTACTGTAATGGCTTTTAAACTTGGTCTTCTGGATATAATTTCTGGGCTTCGGAGTTGTTGAGAGTATACCTTCTAAATTATTTTTAGCTTGTTCACGTAGTATGTTGAATTAGTAAATCAGTAACTAGAAACAATTTAATATCCAAAGTATACCATAGAAAACCGTATCTTTACTATTACCTGAATGATAAGGTTGGAGATGATCTAGAAGAAGTCGAAAACCTATCCTGAGTCATCAAGCTAACGAATGTCTCAATTACCCACAAGCGTCACCGTGCAACACCAAATTGGAGAAGAGCATAGGATTGACTTGGACTAGCCATACATCAAACCATTATCCTATATTGCAAAACCAATCCATATGGTAAATTACGATACAAGTAGTTCTATGGTGAGACAAGATCTCTTCTAGTACTAGAAGCTCGGCTACCTGTTTTACCCCGATTGTGGTACGTCTATTGTTGTCATAGAAAGGATTTATGTCATCTGATATGGCACTATCGCCAGTGAGAACGATGGCCATGTTTTACGTTTCGTAGAACAAGGTCTCTCCATGCTCACTCACCGGCCCTGCGTAAAGCCCTACTAGTGTGCGAAGTTTTAACCACAGTGAGAACTACAGAATGTAACATTACATAAGAGAGATAAATATATCAAGTGTTGGCTATATTCATAAACATTAAAAAGGAACAGTGATGATAGTGGAAATTGATAGAGAAACGTTCTCGATGCACTACAGTTGTAGGTGAGGCTCAGATAATGGAAAGCTATCGTAGTAACAGGTCAGCCAAATGCAGCTAAGCCACTGTCTCGAAGGTTAAACACTAGGGTGACATCCCTTATTTGTCTTCATGCAGATAACACAGCTAGACCAACATAAACTAGCAGAAGACCTGTTACCATAATATCAAGCTCATGTGGGGACCAAGCTATCGGAGTCTGCCCGACTGGTCAGTGGTGCCTGTTCTGGAAGAAGGCGCTAAAATCGCATGATAATCAACTGAAGCTCATAGTAGGATACTAAAGAAGGTCCACAGTAACTAGTCTTGTATGGCATCCCTATACTTCTGTTCTGCAGTCTTCACTAATATGTGTGTTCCAGCCTGTATTCCTGTTCTTGCTTTGCTTTCTCTTGGGAAGCTGTATGTGATAGGTTAATAAGTCAGCCGAATAAAGACATGGCCAAGAGCTAATACTATACAAAAAGACAATACAGAAACTCGCGGGATAAACGCCGAGAATATAGAACGATCCGTCGGCCACCAAAAGCCACAGCCCACAACTGTAACCATCAAAATAACCCAACCGCAGTCGACCAAAAACCAAGCAAGCTTCCACATTTATCATGCCATACGATGCCATGCGACGCCAAAAAGCAAGGCCATAAGTGTGGAGTGCGGATACTAGCGCGATAGCCGGACTTATTCCTGCAGACTGTACCCCGCCGACGGAGCTCTCACCGAGGAGCCCATTTTCATATGTGGATGGAGAGACTATAATGATGCAAAACTCGCCAAGGGGAGTCGTTATGATAGAGGATGTCAAGACGTCCGACGAAGCCGTGAGAAGCAAGGCCGGGCCCACGAGCCAGTGCTAGCACAGACATGGTTTGAAGCCAAGGTGTGAACCCTGCCCTTGCTTTCGGGGCCTCTGTTGTTGGCCCCACATTTTTAGTTTCACTTAGCGTGGGTTCCTGTTAACCTTATATGGAGTATAGTTCAAGACATGGAGCAGGTTATCTAGTAAAAATCCGAAAATCTTCCGAAGATAGTGGGAGGGGTATTCGAAAGTGTTTTGGCCGTAGGGCTCCTGACCGCTACTACATAGTATGGTGGGAGCGTTGAAAATTATTCCTATAGTTCTAGGGCTTATATTACTATAGTACCAGTGGGGATGTTGTAGGGCTGTGAGTTTCTTATTAGGGGGTACCAAGTAGATGGGCAAATGGATTCATCTTTTATATTCATGTCCGAGGATTCTGTTCTATTGCATGGAGTGACTGGCGAAGGTATTCCTGCACTGCAGTTTCTCTGTCGGCTTGGCTGGGCAATACATGTATAAAACGTTAATGGTAAACGGCGGCCACCGAATACAATCAAATAGAGTAAACATGCTTATAATTAAGGCTATCTACTACCCCTCCAAGCTGTAGGCAGTCACTCTGATCGTGTCAGTACCATACATCTAGAATATAAACCGGCTCCTCTTTCAGAACTAGCCCATACACCGTGCAGTAGGACTGCGATCCTTCACGTTTAGGGGCCTTGGCGGATTTGAAGATCAAAGGAACACGGAACATGACTCCGATAGTCTCAGGATTAACCCGTTCTTTCTTCCGAGATATGCTCGGTGTAGTTTGTAAATTATAAATGGAGCAGTCTTCAAAACCTTCACGCAGGTCTTTTGCCGTGAAGCTGTATCAGTGCCACGTATTCCAGTTAAATGACCATGTCTGACACGATTCATCTAACAGACTATCTCTTCCGACGTCTCCGCGAGGCCGGCGTACAGGCTGTCCATGGAGTCCCCGGCGACTACAATCTTCTGATGATGGATTATATTGTCCCAGCTGGGCTGGAGTGGGTTGGGAATTGCAACGAGCTTAATGCTGGCTATGCCGCTGACGGGTACGCGCGAGTTAAAGGTATTGGTGCCCTAGTCACGACATTTGGTGTAGGAGAGCTATCTGCCATCAACGCCGTTGCGGGGTCCTATGCTGAAATGGCTCCGGTGATTCACATTGTTGGGACACCGAAGCGTGCAATGCAGATGCGAGGGGCTAAGCTTCACCATTCCGTGTGCAGTGGGAAACCAAGCGATTTCACCATGTTTGCAGAGATGTACACTAAGATCACGGTGGCACAAGAGAATCTCTGGGATGCTTCAACAGCCCCTGGCCAGATTGACCGGCTGATCCGGGAATGTGTCATTCAATCTCGGCCAGTGTATTTGCAAGTTCCGGCAGACATGATTACCGAACCCATCCCTGGCGCAGCTCTTGCTTCTCCTTTAGATCTCAGTCCACCTGTCAACGACCAGGCGGCTGAGCGGGAAGTGTGCGATATCATTGTTGAGAGGATCAGTAATGCGAAGCAGCCATTCATCTTGATAGATGCCGGCACATCCCGCTACGGACTAGCGAATGAGGCGGATGAGCTGGTCAAAAGTACGGGATTTCCAACTGCTACAACGCCCTTTGGAAAAGGCATCGCAGATGAGACTCTACCAAATTTTCACGGCATCTATGCATCATTAGGAAAAGGGACGTATGTGCCATATGTCGAATCCTGCGATCTGATTATTAATCTCGGGCCCGTCCACAGCAATGTGAATACCACGTGTTTTACCACAATTCCCAATCCCAACGTGTCCATTGTGTTCGACCAGACCTGTATCACCATCGATGGCAGGGTCTACAACATCTTCCCCAAAGGTGTGTTGAGACGGGTACTCGACCATCTCCAGGATACTATGCTCTCCTTCTGGCGATACCCACAGTTACCAGACCAGCGACCTGCCCTAAAGCGCATCCCATCAGTCCTCAGCACAGGTGCCCTGACACAAGACATATTCTTCAAGCGCATGTCACACTTCTTCCAGCCTGGGGACATAGTCCTAACAGAAACCGGCACCGCAAGCAACGGTGGACGGGACTTCGTCTTTCCTCGAGACGTGAGCATGATAAACTCCAGTGTCTGGCTATCGATCGGCTACATGCTCGGTGCCGCACAGGGGGTAGCCCTAGCACAACGAAATATGGGCTCACAAGGGCGGACAATCCTCTTCATCGGTGATGGCAGTTTCCAAGTGACGGCACAAGAGCTGAGTACCATTATTCGGAAGAAACTGAGTGTTATTATCTTCCTGATTAATAACGACGGCTACACCATCGAGCGTTTGATTCATGGGATGAATGAAGAATATAATGATATTGCCATGTGGCGGTATCTTGACTCACCTTCTTATTTTGGGGCTCCCTCTGATGATTCATATCCTGTGTTTACTGCGAGGGTGCAAACGTGGGGGGAGCTTGATGGTGTTTTGTCGAGAGAGAACTTTCAGCGCGGCCCGGGGCTGCGTATGGTGGAGTTGATGATGGGGGTCTCAGATTGTACGGAGTCTTTGAGGCTTTTTCTTCAGATGTATGCGTCTAGGAAGGAGCAAATGTAGTTTGATTGAAGTTTTCCACCTTTGGTGCCTAGAATGTAAATAAGTGATGACAGTCTATAAGGGAGTTCCAATGTTGATATCATGAAAGGAACATTGTGTATGGAGGGCGTAGACGCGAGACTCATAGATAGTCGCAAGGTATCAAAGGAACCCTCTTCAGGATATAGGTATAACTCAGTGACCTTGGACACTGTGTTAGAAGCTGCATGAACATATGCAATAGTTGAAAACAGAGATCAAAATCCTGGAACTTAGAACAGCTAACCGGAGGTGTGCAGGATCAGTCAAACAAGGTGTAACACAGAACCCTCTCCCTGAAGCCACAATCCCACCATATATCAAGGCCGACCTCTTTCGCTGCGTCTTCATACTTCATAGTCGATAACACGTCCAACCGTACCTCAAACAATATAATACCCTAACTAAGCCACCCCTACTCCCACCAACCCAAAGCCAGACATCAATCACCAACCCCCCTTCTAACATCATCCAAAACCCCCCAAGCCCACCTATCCCTCCCCCTCATCCCCCCACTCCCAACTCCCAACCCAAACGCCCTCGAATTCGCATGTCTCTCCGAAAAAACCGGCCCCCGCCACCCCCTCTCCCTACAAATCGCAACAGCAGCCTCCAACAAGCCCCTCCCAACCCCAACGCCGCGATACCCCAACCTTACAGTCCAAGCGCGAATAACACCAACCGTAGTCCCAGCCTCAAGAACACCCATCTTCGTTCTCTCGGGGATAGATACATGCTCATCCAGTTCAGAAAGGGTGTCAACAGCCCTTAGAACCAGCGTGCCTATGATCTTGTCCCCGAATTTGGATATGAGAATTAGATCCCTGTCTCTGGCACTAGTTTCTGGGTCTTTGGAAGTGCGATATTGGTGGTGGCTGGGTGGTGGGTTTGAATTAGACTGGTGGTTGTTGCTGTATAGCCATCTCCATGTTCCAATGCGTTCTGCTTCGTCGAGGTAGCCTCTTGTGGTGTACCGTGTGAATAGGAGGATGGTGGCTATGCTGCCTGTGCTTGTTGTTAGGAGGAGGGGCCAGTCCGGGGGTGTTTGGTAGAGGTGTTGTGAGAGGAGGAGGATTGTGAGGGTGAGTAAGGTTAGGGTTAGGGGGTGGAAGAGGATGGCGCGGGATGCGGTTTGCCGTTGTTGGGCGATGCTGTCGGAGATCAGGTGGAGGGAGGTAATTTCTTCGGGGATTGTGTGGGCGAGGGTTGTTGTTAGGTGGGGGAGGTTTTGGTTTGGATTGTTGGATGGAGGCATTGTGGTGGGCGAGGGTTGTTGGTGTTTGTATACGAAGGTAGTGAAGGTATACGGAAGTCGAGGTAGGTGGTGGCCTTAGGATAGTCACTGATGAGAGCATAGTTACGCCATGCACAGTTTCCATATTTGTGACTTACTTATGCCGTCTGAATAATATTTATGAACTAGGTGGAACGTTGATTATTTACATATTGGGGCTGATTGTCGCCAACAGGTTGGTTAACAATATAGTATCAGTTGATGTTGACTAGAACATAGTACACTAACTAATTTAACGACATAACTAAACGCTAATAACGAGATACAAGTCTGCCAATTTTCCATTGCTCACTCCGCTTGTCTCTCTGCCTCACTGGTGGTATTCTCATTCTTCGGTTGGGCAGGCCTGGCCTCCACCTGGCTTCGAGACTCCCCAGTAGACTCAGACGATGTTTCAAGTTCCTCTCCGGACATCAGCTCCAGTGTCTTGCGTTTTGTCTCAGGAATTAACAGGGACGTGAAACACCCGCATAGCATGAACAAAGCGAATATCTGCATGACGTGATTCAACCAGGGAGTATCCGATGAATCCTTGCCCTCCTTGGCTCCTTTATGCGCCAGAGGTCCAAAAACACACTGTGCGATGATTGCTCCAACCTTCCCCGATGCTGCGCTGATCCCATGCGAAGTAGAACGGTACCGCGTGGGGAAGCATTCTCCAGGAACAATAAATGTCGTTGCATTAGGTCCAAAATTGAAGAAGAATTGCGCGATGATATATAACCCAAGCAAACCGTTGTTCGACCGTTTGAGAGGTTCATACGCAAAGCCGATGACAATAAACACAATAGTCAGAACAACAAATCCCATCAGTTGAATCGGCTTGCGGCCTAGATAGTCCACGGTCGCAACACTGACCCAGTATCCAGGGATCGCACCAGCGCAGATTAGAATCAAATTTCCCACTGCATTGCGGTAAAAGTATTCGTAAATATTCTTACCACCGTTCCAGCCGATGGCCGTGAGAATTATCGAGTTGTTGAGACCGAGACCGTAGAAAGCTGCAACCCTTAGCCATTTTACTCTTTAAAGGAGACCAATATACACACCAACGTCAAGGAAGAACCATGAGCCCGCAGTACCCAGTAGAACCTTACCGTTCTTCCACTTGAGGAAATGGGACCAAAAGTCCGACCAGCCGGCTTTGGGGGTGACCAGAACCACAGCTTCATCCTGTAAAACAGCGATTCGCCTGACCTCATCCGGGTGACCTTCATGCTTTCCCTCAATATAGGCACGGACGTCAGCGCCCGCCTTTTCAATATCTCTAGCAACATCAAAGGTGTAGCACGGTGTCTCTGGGATAGTGAGTCGGTAGTAAAGAGCAAGACAAGCCGGAACAGCCCCAAATCCAATCACAACGCGCCACATCTTGTCAACGGCCAGTTGGCAGACCCCTGAACACTTCGCTACGGATGCTGCAGACTCCAAAGATCCTTTGAAGCCCACTGTCACGATTAAAGCAACAATAGCAGCGCCAAACTGTCCAAGCCCTTGCATTGCGAACACGGCACCCATCATCGCGCCTCGGTGCCTGGTCGTTGCGAACCTACAGCATTCTGCCATCAGTCGCCATACAGCCACTGATAGTAATGACTTACTCGGAAGTAATAATGGAGGACAGCGGGTAGTCACCACCAATACCAATCCCCATGAGTACGCGCCAGAAGACCAGGATACCGGTGATCGAGACAGCAGGAGAGTCCGACGCGAGAGCCTGGGCCAAGGTCGTTAAAATGATGATAATCAATTCAATTCCATACATCCGCTTGCGCCCCACAATATCCGCAAGCCATCCAAAGAAAAGTTGCCCGAGGACCGTACCCCCTGAGGTTGACACTTTTATGGCGGTGTCAGAGTGATACGGAATCTTTCCAGGACGTGAAATGGCATCTTGCCAGTACACAATGCCCAGCATACCTGAGCAAAGGTTGATGGCGAAGATGTCATAGGAATCTGTGAAGAACCCGACACCAGCCACAATGACCGCCCGAGCGTGCCGCCAGCCAAAGGGGGCGTTGTCGATCTGGGCAAGTGCAAGACGACGACGTTCGTTTGCATCCTGGGTATGAGCCAAATCAGCATTGTAGTTGGGAAAGGCGGAATTGCCACCAGAAGTTAAAGTAGTCATCTCGCGTGCACTGAAATGCTACGATTCGACTTTTCAAGTCGGGATATGAGAGATGACAGGCGCCGGGGGAGGTATGCGAGAAAAGTATAGTATATATAGCTCGATATAAAAACGAAACGCTATTAGTGATACAAGCAAGAGGCAATAACTTCACTGTAAACAGCCTCAATCTGCTTACACTCACCACCAATAGAACATGCACATGGCCTAATGAATGGCTATGAAAAGATTAGAGCAGGCACGAGGAGTTGCCCAAAAGGGAAGCAGTAACCCTAGGTTGCACGTTCGTGGCGTCTGGAGCTCCTGAACAATGCAATCAAGGTTTCTTTAAGACGTGAGGTCAATCCGTAATTGTCCAGTCATGCCACAGGCTCCATGATTGTATTTAGCCGTGAAAGAACTAGGTCGTTGCTTCGAACGGTGGTATGGGAGATAAGAGGGACCTTTATCAGCGGAAGCCAAAATAGACTATAAATACGGGATAAATGATACTAGCGATGACTTCATCCATTTGATCAATACAGAATTTGCGAATTGGAAGCCCTCACATGGATGAGGGTTTGAAGAAGTATGGATCGTATTCATGAGTGGCCTATGGAATGAGTCAAAGAGAAAACCTGGAACTCTCTTAAGAGTCTTATTTGATCAGCGTAGAACCACGGATGTTGCGCCGGTACCTAAGCAAAGGCGACCGACAAATACCACGCATAGGGCTGCGGCCCGCATAATGGGACACGGTGCTTTCTTTCTGTCAGGACATGTGCTTATACCAGAATTTTATAGGGCAATCAACAGAGCATGACTCACAGATCCTCAAATACCAGGGATGTGGCCTTCTCTGAGTCTTACATCATACGGCGTCCCAGAGCTGTCCCTTTACTATGTAGAAACGCCAGTGGCGGTTCTAGACCTGATCTCGCAAGGTTTTTCGATAACCCCACTAATCTGATTCACGGACCTTGGCTCCGAAACTCCTCGTATCCTAGGAAATACATCATGGTGAAACCAAAGAAACTGAATTATTGTGTTAGGAAAGGAAGTTCACATACGCTAAAGGCCTAAGGAAATATGATTTCCATCCCATTCAGCCCTAGTTCAGTGATCTACGCGTTCTGAATTTAACCTTCAACGTAAGGCTGCTCCTATCGCTGACGGTTACTACTAGTAGGCACAGAAGGTATATCTGACACTTGTTATGATGCATTCCGAATATAATTATTTATTCCTCGTGTCCCCTTCCTCAATAGTCAGGAAGTAACAAGCGACTCAATCCAGCCATAATTGAATTAGTCTGCTAACTGAACAAAGTGCAATGGAGACATTGGTATCATTAGTTTATACAGTTCTAATCTATACTTTTCCCTAGTCTATGGGGCTTAATCTATACTTCTAACAACAGAAACAGACAGGAACATAAAGGAACATAAAAGAACATAAAGGAAGAAGCAATGAGAATCACGAATGATCAGTCACAGATTACAGCCCGCGCTTCATCTTCCAGCGCATGATAAAGGAAGCAAACGGAAAGAAGGCAATAGATACGGCGATCCATGCAAAAAGGATGCCGAAATCGAGACCGATGCGGGAATGGGTCCCGAAGAGGATGGTACGTAACGCCTCGACAACTTCTTTATATTAGTGCTAGGAGTAAATATGCAGAGAACGGACAGACTTACTGCGATGCAATGGCCATGCGTAACCCCATCGGAAGAATCCTGGGGCTAGATCCAACGCATAGAAGCCGGTGGCAACGTTACTGATGACCCAGAAGATCAGGAATAGCGAGCTCCAGGGGAATCCTAAGACCATGGCCATATTCTCAAGAGGAAATCCGAGAGCACTCATGCCTACCCAGTTCAACATCCAGAACACCACAAAGGATCCATGTCCATAGGCATTTGGATTGATAGCAGAAACCGTGTCTGGTGCTGGAGAGTTGGTGAATGGGATCTGGAAGGCCAACGACACGAACGAGTAGAAAAGGGACAGGAAGAAATACGCTGCGAGGTTGGAACACACACGCCAAAGCAGCCACTGGGGGATCCTCAGCGGAGGATGGTTGCCTTTGAGAAATTGTGCATGAATCGGCATCAGGAATGGGGTATTAAAGAAGGCGATGATAATCAGGTAAATCAACCCGATCGTCACAGATGGTGTTGCAGCGGCCGGGCCGAATGGCCTAAGATCCAGAGTGTTGAATCCAATCGCTGGGTTTATCGCCTGGGGAACATTCGATATGTTCAGCGACTCTTGTACAATGTTCTGTACCCAACGTGGTCCGAATTCTGCCAGAACGGTGTTTGCAAAAGCCGTCAATCCCGGTATGATATAACTCGAATATGTCGTTTCGTCGCGAGCAGTGATAACAACGAACTGCGCGGCTCCAGTGGGATCATACGAGGAATTTCCATTCTGGACAGCGTCATGAAGAAGGGTAGTTGCATTCGCATTGACGATGATGGCGGCGTACGCATGCTCATCGTACACACCCTGTCGCACAGCCCAAGGATCATAGTTAAACTCATCCGGAGACTTTATCGTATATCCCAATCGGCCAGTTACGGGGGCTTGGATTAGCTTCTCTGCGACGTCCATCACGGCAGGTCCGACGATTGGTTTCGTATCGAGATATGGATCGACCATACCATCAAAGTTGACGACCCAGATCGTTAGCGAGTGGAGATTCTGTTCGACGCGAAACTGGACGGCCCAGTATAGAGAAAGGATACACAGGATGAAGACGCAGAGCGTGAGAACTATAGGACGGTACGTTTAGTAAGTTTTCACACCATTGTCATTCAGAGCATATAAGTGTTTCCACTCACCTGTACGCCCCCATTGTACAAATATCTGACGTCGAGCCGACTTCAGCGCGGGGTCAAAAAAGGAGACAGCAGTCGGTGGCACGTCGGCCTTGTCGCTGCCTTCGCCAATCTCCGTCTTTTCGCTCATCTCTGAAGGAGTTGTCGTTCAGGACTTTTCAGGGGATGGAGGAATAGCCAAAAGGACTCGGGGCTTTGACAGCAGCACGTATGGCGAAATACCGTAGTATTTATTAGCCAAGTCATTGCCAATCACGTCAACCGCCTGATGTAAAAAAAAAAGAAAAGAAAAGAAAAGAAAACTCGGGGTTTGAGACAATGGACATTCGGGATATTTTCTGAATCGGGCATATCCAGACTTGCAGCGAGCTAGATTCCGAGACCCTGATTGGATCGGACATTCGCCATGTTCTCAAGGCCGAACAAGTCACGTGAGATCTGTCGGGTGGCCAGCACGTGTCGATCTTATCTGATAGCAAATCGGAAGGCCTCCTGAGCAACGTCTTATCGAAACATCCCGTCGGATTTCTAACATCCAACGGATTTTGCGTACCGCGAGATAAACTCCGGTTAAGCTCCGTCTACTAGGACCAGCAATATATATCCCTCCATTGTCATGCCCTTGGTTCACTACTTTCTCAGTGATGAAAATCACGCCACTCAGCAGCGTTTCCTGCTGTTACGGAACTCTCAATTATATATTTGTCACTTCACATACAGATTGAATCCTCAGAGCTAAGTTAACCTTTGCTGCTGTCATAAAGCGTACCACTTCGGCTTACTGCATTACCTACACGATTGATCTATCTCGGATTTAGTCAAGGCCGAGGACTGTTCTCGTCCGAATGTCCGGAAATTCACGCCGAAATTCTTGGCCCCAACCTCGGGTATTCAAACAAGGTTGTATTTGTCAGACAAGAATATAAGAATAGGAAGGGAGAATGGCATCATTAAGCTTATGTAATACTTCTCCATAAGTAAACGTAACCTACACAGACATCAGGAAGGCTCCTTCTTATCATACTATGCTAGCAGTATGCCTATGCATTGATCATAAAAGCCTTAGCTCCCTTCACACAGCAAGCAACGCAATCCTTGTGAGCTACTTTTGCAGTCCAAACCCATGTCTAAGCCATCGCCAGTGCAAGCATCATAACCGCACCGCCAGCGACGCACTGAGCAGCGCCAGTAGCCAATGGAATACCCGCGTTGTCACTAGTGACAGCGGTAGAAGTGGGAGGAGATGAAGGTCCCACCGTAGAACTACCTGTATCGGAGGCGGTGGTCTTCGAGGCAACAGACCTTGTATCAGAGGCCGCTGCACTGGTAGAAGAAGATTCAGTGGCAGTGATGGCGACAGTGATATAGGGGATGGAGGAACTAGTCTCGAAATTCTGAACCCCGGTATCTGAGACGAAGGTACTAGTGGCTTTGCACGATGCGTACGTGGTGCTGTCGAAAGAGCAGCCCGCCGAGATGGTGCTACGTCTGTTAGTTTCTTCATATCTTTTCTCTGTGGTTCTTGGGCCACACTCTCTAAAGTTCTTGATACTTACAAGCCTGGAGTGGTGTAGGCAAACTCAAAGGTGGTGCTGCCCGCTGTGATGGTGTAACCACCATCTGGAACCCAGCACTGGTCATCATCTTCATCATCAAACCCCGCTGTAGATCGGGTAGCTGCACCAGTGGTAGCAGTGGGGGTTGCAGTTTCAGGACAGTTAAATGCCAAGGTAGTAAGGGGCCCACCAGTCTGGTTGTGGTGATTAGAAGTGTACTTCCTGCGTTGAATAGGGGTACCTACAGTGCCAATGAGTTTGGCATCGCCAGAAAACAACCCTTCCGGGTACAGGAAAGACGCAACATCGCTAGCGGCCGCGGCTGTAACGGTGACCAAGGAGGCCAAAGAGCGGGTGGATTGGAAACGCATATTGGTGCTCTAGCGTGTGACGGTCAAATAGGCCACAGATAAAAGATTATATCTATCAGGGGCTAAAGTAGAAACGGCACAGCTGGCGAGTTGTCCACAGGCGTTAGCGACGATGAAGATGCGTGGACGATATATCAATTGACGGCGAAAGGGACACGGCACTCCTTTGAGGGGTTGCAAAAGTGCAGTGATGTGACGCTACGAAGCATCGATAAGGCTGAGGCTCCGAAGTCTACCGTCATGGCTAGCTGCGGAGTAGAGTTGGTCGACTAATAACTGACTAACGCGACTAGACTAGCAAACCCCTCCATTTAATATCGAACAGCGTATGCGGGTGGGGGCCAAACGTTGGACCTCTGTACACCGTTGATAGTAGAGTGGCCTTGATGCGTTCATCAGGTTCAACATTCACCTATTCCTGACCAGGTATTAGGTTTAAAGAGAAATAACTGTGTTGTGACAATTCATCAGGACGCCTAAGACCCACCACAGAGGTTATACCCCTATTATATGTATGTTAGAGGCTTCAAGTGAGATCAGTGCCATTCAAACGCAAACCTGATTCATTACTTTGAAGAGGAGTCACCCAGTAAATACAGATAGCTCCTGGGTTAGCAAGGTCCGATGCTACCACTTTCATTCAGAAAAAAAGATACTCCCCTCCAACACCAAGTGTACCTCTCACATGGTGTCTAGCTAGAGTAGTATGGTCACCACTCAGGACCACCGCGCACCAGGCAGTCAGGATTACAGTGGCATCACCCGGAAAGGGGCCCACGAACCAGGCGTATTTGCATCTTCGAGCCCAAAAACAGGGGTACCGTCTTGGACGAGTATGGGATAGGGTCGTAATTGTAAAGGTAGAAGTTCATATTGTAGGTACTGTGCGTGGCTAGACGATCAGCGCCAGCGATGATACATGGAAAGCAGAGTATTTATGGGGCATAGTCACTGTTGAGCGGGTGGGAGAAATCCAGGATGTCTTTGAGACCGTGTCTAGCTAGAGACTGCTTGAGACAGGCTGGAATAAGAGAGAGACGCTTTGGAAGAAGTCGATTACGAATTTCTGGTCTGAAGAGGTCTTGATAGTTGCAACTGTTTTGAAATGTCATAGCGGGGATAGATTGCATTGAGCTTGGTGACAGCATGAGTTTATAGGATAAGGGATCATAGAGAGTGCGGATGGCGGAGAATGGTGCTCTGACGTCTAGGCCAGGAGAGAAATGGTACGGGATTCGTTGCACTTGGCCTAGAGAGAGATATCGGGGGTAGCCAGCGAGTGGGGGACTGCAATTCGAGTGGTAGTCATGGCGGTTACATAGGTGATAATAGGCTGAGTAGGTCTAGAGGTAATGAAAGTGGTCTTCGAGAACCTGCTATAATATCCGGATTTATATTTAGCCACTTCCCCGAAGTATACGAAATAGTATCAATTTATGTTAAATTTATATATGTAACAAATTATGGTGATTGGTACGTAACCCTCTTTTATAGTCTAACTAATGAAGAGATTATATTTTTTTTTAGTACACAGTACACGCTATCAGTGCCAAAAAAAAAGGTACAATAGTATATGCTGTCAAGTATGGTTGGTTATCTACTATTCTATTCACTTTTGTTTATCCCTGTATACACGAATATTATTCCAGAACATCAGAAGAGCATCTACAAGCTTCGAATTATTCACTTCAACCTCTGTAAGATTGCATGGGACCATAAATTTGGCGTACGGTAGTACTTTGATATCTAGGTTATATTTTGCAAGCTTTGGGAGCCGGGGCTATACGATTCGAAAAAGATAAGGGGCAAGGATGCCGCTGACGGAAAGAAGCGAAAATCCGTTGCCTCCTTTTCGGTCAACTTCGCTTTGAATCCAGGGAGATATACATTACAGAAATTTATTCATGTATACCTCCCGGTAAGGGGGATAGCAGCGCATCTTCTCAACCTCTTTGTCGCACTGAGCAAATGACTCGAGAGTGTTGTACCGAGCGATAATCAGCTATAAATATGGTTGACGATCCATTTTAGGAGAGCTGAAGAGATCTTCCCACTAACGTATGGAGGCATCACCTGGTGGCCTATCTTGTTCCTCGCCGTGACGAGAACCCACTAAGCATGCAGCTACCACCGAGAGATATGGCAATGGGTGGAGTGTTACTCGGGCTGAACAGAGTGGTGAAAGACCCACGGCAATAGGAGCCTACTTGGTCTAATTTAATTTTTGTGACTTGTCACTCCTAGTTGCCGAGTCGAACCGTTGGAGGGTATCCAAGCACCACGACTCGGCCGTTTCCTAGGCTGGGACTGGCCTCAAAAATACCCACTTTCCCTGGCCGCAAATCTCCTGCCAATTACGGACGGTTTGAACATGTCTGGATCCCAGCGCACGGTTGTGGATCCGCAATCTCGGATGGTAGCATCATCCGCCAACCATGAAGGACGGAAAGACATTGATCTCTGCAGTCTTGTCCTAGCGGCGGCATGATTTCAGCTCCGACATACCATCCACACATGTTCGAATGTCTGATTCATGGCCACTGGCACTAGCCGTATCTATCACGGTAACATTACCGAGTAGTATTGGCCAGCTGTTCTATCATATCTCTCAATCGATCGAGCCCTGGAAAAGGAAAGAAAAACAACAACAATACAACAAACGAAGAAATTTTGGCCGGGCGGCCGTACTAACTACGCTCGGGCTCCTCCAGACGTAGGGCCATTTCCGCGGAGATAGGATCGTATCAATTTATCACTAGGCCCTGTTTTAAGCAACATGTCTGTTGTAATAAGCATATCGGTAATACGGCAACCATATTTTGGAAATTCGCCCCTCGCGTGGTTGAGTGGGGCTAGATCTGTCGATTGCTCAGATGTGATGTGGATTCTGTCCGTCTCCGCTTCGTTCTTCTACAAAGAGAGATCATAAATAGGTGGTGCTCGGGTTTCTCGAAGATCCCAACAGCTTGGTTCTCCAATAATAGCTGAACAGGAAGTGATATCCGGGTGATTCAGTGATAGCACCTACTTTTCCCTACTCTATCCCGCTACTATGAGCATATCTTTGTTCTATTATTCTGCACTATGGTCATCCAACTACACCCCACCAATAGCTTTCGGGGAAAGGGGCCATAGTGCGTCCTCTGCGACGAACAGCCTTTTCCTGCCTCAGCGTTTGTACCTATATCCCACCTCGCGAACTGAGTTTGGCAAAGGTCATACTATGGGTAAGGATTCTTACCTACTGGATATCCGGATTCACCAATCACTTTATCGTTTACACTAAAGTATGTTAGTAGAACGGATAATTATCATCTATATGCCTCTTAGGACGTTTAGCCTGATTGAAATGGACTATCGTGGTTCTAGTGGCTTGAACGCTCCTGGAAAGCGATGGATCACCGGCAAGTTTCCATCTGCTAAGGTAGGGCATCATACGTCTTTGGGGTTTTACATTCTTTAGTATCTTTAAACATGTAACGAGACTTCATTCTTGTTGGTAAATACAGCCCCTTTTTCATGAGATCCAGTTGTTAAGAAACAATTGTGGACTTCAGTGGCATTTCACTCACCCAGGTAGAGATGGACTAAGTATGTTTGCCTGGCAGCCTATCCTCACCAATAGTTGGCGCCCCGGAACAACATGTGCAGGTCCTACATAATACCTATCACTAGTGAAATGGGAAATCAGACAAAATAAGTTCCCATTATTCCCCTCCCTCATGACTCCTTGCGCATCGAAGCTTAGATATGCTTCAGGCTGTATGCGTCTAGAATGGGGTACGTCTGTCAGCTTTCAGCTATTAATAAGTAGAGGCTGAGGCCATAGACCACCCGCATCTCAGCTCTGTTCTAATGCTCTAGAAACTCCTCCACGGGAAAGCAAATCGATGACATTGAAGACACACTTAGATTGAAAGAACAGGCTGGTCGTGCAAAGGAGACAATGGTTTGCTTGGCCCTGGCCCCCTCCCAGTTGGCGCATGAGTTAACCATACCACCATTTGAGCAGAAGTTCAAAACACCAACGCAGCAGACTCCCGATATCTCTTGTTCTTTGGATAAAGTACGTCAACTTTGCCTATTTGACAGTATCGTTACTGACCTAGAGTTATAGATAACAAAGCTGAGTCATCACATTGTGACCCTGACGGGGCAATCATTGTCATCCATACGCGACAGGCAAGATGGCAGTGGACTACCTGCGTCCGGTGTTATTGATGATATGATTTGCCTGCAACACATGCTCTCGGCAGAGCTTTCCCGATTATATGCCGCGCTGGACCGCGATGAGAAATAATCGACCAAATATACCGCTTTTAATTACTCTGCTGGAGATAGTGTTCCTAAATTTATCGGTTGAGTAAACAAGACACTGAGACTGAGGGCATTGCACCGTGCAGGCTTTTGAGAGTGGCACGACATGGGTGAACGTCAGAAACTTCAAAGCTATAACATCTAATAGCATTCATCTGAATCAGCACCGAACAGGGGATATGAAGATAAGATCATAAGCGCATGTATGAATGAGCAACCAGCTAGCTGTCTCCTTCCTGTTTGATCAGTAGCGCCGTATACCATTGATTAATGTTTCATCGGAGCCGAGAAGTGGGTTTCGTCACGAGGATTGTTTGGCAGGGGCTGGACCGAAATAGCCTTCCATCATGAGCATAAGCTTATGATCCTATTGAGTACACAAACTTTTGCCGACCCGAGAAAGTCCAGTGGAGTAAGGGACCGTTCGTCCAAGCTGACTTCTTTATGCGTGTCTAGTATGTGGAGGAGGTAAATCGCATGCAGACGTGGGCACAGGCCAAGATTGGATCTACGTCATGGCTTATGGCTTGGAGAAGGTTCAATAATAGTAATTCGTCAAATGCTAAGGGTCGAACTTCTGCAGTCCGAGCGTTTGTGTATGGTACGATTCTGGTGGTAGACCCACCTTCCTTCACAATACACTCATAGGAGATGAGCATTCCAGAAAAGAGCAGAAAAAGAAGAAGGAAAGAACAAAAAAGGAAAAAGAAGTTACAAAAGGGGGGGGACAAAGAGCTAAAGTGAGAACAATAGGTCTCAGTGCATCTCGGTGGACAGCAATGGGGGTTAATTTACTTCCTACGGGTCATATCGTGGCGGTGCTCAGGGATCTTCACCACCCGGTCACACGCCTGCCCCTGGTATTCCTGGATATAATCTCCGTATGACACTAACGACTCGGACTCTGACAAGAATTTCGCATCACTAATTTTATTGGCCGGCAACCGTTGCCGCCAATGGCCGCATGCATGTACTTCGTCGAGAATGATCTACACAGTTTCTTCTACTAGCTTAGGGCTCACGATAAGCTGCCACATGGCGGATGTAAACTCATCGGCGACGTCTCGGCCGGGGGGTTCGACGGGGGCAAATCCCGGCAAACCCCGTTGTGGAGGGCATAAATGCAGCCTTGTACAGCGATCTAAATTTAATCCAGACCTGGATAACAGGGATTTCTCACTCTCGGTAGTTTCAATTATCTAATATACTCTACTCTGGAGTAGTGACCCCCAATACTATTATATAATATATTGGAATTATCATTAGTAAAGATATTCGGAAACGGTAAAATAGAGCCTAAATTAGGGGGTATTAAAGAAGTATAGTCTCCAAATCAAGGGGTCTGGGCCTGGGGTAGCGCAGACTTTGTTTCAATGATTAAGTACAAGTTAGATTTGACTACTTCCTATTTTATCCATAAGGCAGGCCGTAGCTTTGGCCTGTGTGTCCATTTAGGAATAGTGAACCCCCTTTTGTAATAGCGTAGGGCTCGGCGGCTGTCCCCGGAACCTCAATTTAGCCTGCCATACAAGGGTCCACTTAAACTCACAAGTCACGGGAACCCCACTGTGCTTTGAAAGCACTTCAACGATATAAGCAATTGAGAATGGTGCGAAATTCATTGCGTCAAGAAGGTCTCACGCAAGAAGTATTGATTTTTCGGGTGTGCAGAGTGCAACGGCGAGCAATCACCGCCCCGAAGTGCACATTTCACCGATCAGTACGTACAAATTCGAGAAGCTACCCTTTGCGACACGCTACACCGCGTGTACGAAGTGTATCCCAGCTCATAGAGTTGTAGCAAAGCAGTAAAGGGAAACTCGACGTTTTTAACTACTTTGATTTCCCCCTGTAGAGTAAGTTCGACATGGCTCCCCTTGTAACAAGTACATCATATTGTGATTGATTGAACAGACTCAAAAGTCGAACAGCAAACTTGGCACTATTTGAAGACATGCGAATACTTGCCATGCATGACCCATATTTTGTCCTGTAGGTCAAGAATCCATTTGCTACACTGGCAAGAGCTCAACCATGTATTGGAATTTAATCCCCTTTGTCATGTCGCTATTGTAATCACCTAAATATGAAGGCCACAATATCGAATGAGGATAAGGATGCCTATGCATTCCACACGCAGTTCAGTAGTAATGGAAAGGGTATCTGCACTCCAACAACGTAGCTTACGCAGGGAACGGAATTGATTAGCACAACAAACACATTATACTTTCCTGGCAGTTTCTTTTAATTAATATTCCTCCTACGTCCTGCTCCGACTGTTATACCGACGCTAAACTACTCTATCAAAGTCCCAGATTTATCATCAATCCCTCTGCCAACATGCCCAGCAGGACGGTAGGATTTTGCTATATCATTGAAACAACCGATGCTAGTACTACAAATAACTCTAGAAGTTGGACTACAACCCTACATATTGCTATTCGCCGTTGACATCTTGCAGCCGTACGCCTTCTGCTTGCCAGCGGCGCCAATCCCAACGCTATAAACGGAAATGGATCCACTCTACTTTACGCAGCTGTCAGGACCGGTCATTATAGTGTTGTATGCGAGCTGCTTCGACAGCATGTGGATCTGACCGCTGTCGATGCAGCAGGCTGGTTACCGTTGCATTCTGCTGCAGAGGGGGACGAGGATATCGTACAGAACTTACTCAGGATATATGAAGATAATTTGAATAACATATTATGAGTGTATCAGGAGAAGGGTAGCAATAATATCAACCCTCACCTTGGGATTGATGCTTAGAATGCCCCCTTTGCTTGGCCATTTTTGCCTGGAAAGGGGGAATAAGATATTGCGGATCATTATCATCCTCTGACAAGCACCCTCCTCTAGTACCTTTCTATCTCTCAATATACGAGGCTTGCGACCCCCAAATGGTGATGTAGAGCGTCAGTGCTTTCTGAGAATGCCCCCACCTAATTTCGCGGACTAATTATCCAAATGTTACTTTTTGCCTTCGTTCTTCCTTGTGATTATCTTTTCTTTTGTTTCTCGCTGTGTTCTTTTAAACTTCTACTTTCTGTGCGTACAAGGTATGATTCGATTTTCAGGTTCAGCTCTACATCGGATGGGCTACATGCAAGTTCCAGAGTGGCGGGTTCGCGTCTTCGTGTTTTGATACCATCAAGGCAGAGTTTTTATTTTTCTCATTTCGGTGTCTATGTACAGATTTCGAGGACAGATTATGTGCTATCAGACATTGCTAATTGACGCCCACCAATATTTGATTCGCATGCATATCAAGTCTTCATCCACGTCGCTACTATTCTATAGACTGGGATACTATCAAGTCAATGTCTGACAAGTGTGATGACGAACGTACTCTGTAAATCATATCACAATCAGGACTGCAAACGCAAACCGATGGCGGATCTCAAATAAGTAGGTATTGAATATCACTGGTCAACAATTCCTGGCTGATCTATCTGTGGAAATACTAACAAATGTGCATATGAGCTACCTGGCCATATACGGAGATAGTCTAGGGTTAGGTCTACAGGCATGCATTCCCGAAGAGCACAAAGCAACGTGAGACTGGGTACAGCAATTACTACATACTAATCACGGTAAGCACCCTTTCTGGTCATCTGCCTTTCTAGACGTGTTAGCATGGCACGGTCTGTCGAGCCCTGTTTCTGAAGATCGCTCCGTACATGCAGCTTCCCTGCTTCTTTGGTTTTCCTACAACATCATACAAGAGACAATACAAGGCGAGCTTTCACCGGTGTGGCTGTCAGTAACATCGCCATTCCCCTTCCTTATATCATGAGGCATGCTGAAGTCGTAAGGGACGAGGCCATCAGGGCTGGATTTCGTCAATGTTGGCATAGGATGGCTACTCCAGCGTCCATAACAAGAATTCTGACGCTATGAAAACCACATATACAATCAACAGGCACTTTTCTCGAAGTCACCTAACCCTTTCCTGTTACTCAAGTTGAACAGTGTCATATGCAAAGTCCGGATCTTGAATGCTTACTGGGCCCCTTTCTGCTGCGGTGAATAAACAAGCAAGCGCCATCGGATCTTCCTCCTGTGGCTGGGCAATTAAAGACGAGTGAAGTTGATCTCTTCTGTTATAATCCACATCTTTCAATCAAGCAAGAACATACCATGTCGCACTGCCGGCTCAAACAGACGGCAAGGCCTTCCGTCGATCAGGGTAACTTTTGCAAGGGTGGCAGCGAAAGAGATTCAGAGGTCTTTTAACTGACTCTCTGCCGATGGAGTCGGAAACGTGTTGGTCCTGCCCAGGTACTGAAAGGAAGAGACCTCGCTGCTGGAATATTTGGATCATATGTTTGAACATCTTGATCTTCCGTGCCTCAATTTTATTCCTCCTATCACCACTCTCCATCCGGTCCTGTCTCAGTCATCTCAGTGATCGGGACAAATGGAAATCGACCTCATATTATGGTGACCTGATGCCGTTGAAGAGTGTCACGAACTGGAATCCAGGCTAAAGCATGATTACTACAGCGCCTATACTAGAGAGATTTGATATCCCGCGGGTCATGCTAACGACCAACGGCTCGTTACATGACTCCGAGACGCCCTCCATTATGTGCATACCCAAGGCGAAGAAGCCAATGCAGAATGGAGCAGGAGATGCTCGGGGTCTTTCCGATCCTGATCTCAGCGGAAGAAGTCCGCAAGCTAGGCAAAGACCCGGTAATAGCAGCCCGAGTCCCCGATGAGTTCGGCGTTGGGTCAGATGCATGCCTTGCCCAAACAGAAGTGTTCCATCTCCTCCACTGTCTTGATATACTGCGCGAGGCGATCTCCTACGAGCACTACTATTACCCAGAGTTTGGGAACAACCCAGATGCCCAGCACACGGCCCATATCACTCATTGTATTGACATCCTAGCCCAATTTATCAAATGCCAGGGCTCTGTCGACGTGATTCTGTTTGACTGGGTTGGAGGCTGGACCCAACCCTTCCCAGACTTGATGAACAAACATGTATGCCGTGGCTTTGAGGCGCTCCTGGCATTTGTGAACGAGTTTCACTGGCGACAGATGTCTTCCAGGCTATGAAAGGGCCACCTGATGGCTATCCAGTGCAGCCGGATCCTTCAATAGTGCCATACGTTTCTACAACTGTTCCCAGATGTTGATGTACCGCCTTGGTTTTATAAAAAGGAGAAATATCATTACTGATCATGCTGCTGAATGCGAAAGGGTATGCCTTTCGAGTGCAATGAAACATAACAAAGAACAAAAGGACATACAGTGACAGTCCAGAGCTAATTGACAGGGTATAGGTAGACTCGATATCGGAGTTGTTACCAGGATTTATAGCTGAATGCTGCCGTATATCCTTCCGGGAATGCACAATAATTGGAGCCGTCTGTGGTTTTCACACTCGGCTCTATTTTCGACGCTGTTGGCGTTGAGCCTTGAGAACTCAATAGATGAAGGACAGGCATCCTGACCAATTGTGGCATTTGTTCTGAGGCTTTGAGGCTTGTACTTATCATGTATCAAGCCAAGCTTACATCCTGTTTTCTTCGCGCACAGGGTACACGCCCAGGTTCTCTGTTAGACAGAAACAAGGCCAGAGCAAGTACTGGGATTGCTAAAACAAGCCTAGAGGGCGGCAGTGCTATCTAAGCGAAATACAAAAATCCAATATCTAAGACGAGCCCAATCACATCAGAATACTACACATCTGCTAAGCACCAAGAGCATTGTATTTGATGGGAACTAGGACTGAGCAAGAAGAAGGAATGATTAATAATGCCGTGAGACTAGGGTTGCACTATATGGCTCAAGTGATGTCTTGGATCCCATGTATATGACTCAATAGACTGACAGCTCATAATGCTAGTGAATTACCAAACAGATGTGTACAGGGGCGGTCATCCTGCCCACTGGTTTCCCCTGTGGGATTTAATGCTTAATTGGATTGCCCAACCCACCCAGTAGGTTCCAAACTAACCTCACTCAGAAATGATTGAGGGCTGCTGGAAGTGGGTCCGACGCAGATGCTCGTCCAGATTGTCTCTGCGGTTGAACGTTCTCATGCACGTCGGCTCGGGACATTCATAGGAATTGGGAGAGATATGCTGAGTCTCGACGTGCCGCTTCAATTCGGCTTTGCGGGTGAATACACCAGTATAGGTGCAGCCTTTCCACTCGCATTTAACAATGCCGTCGTGGCGTACGCCACTGCTGCTAGTGAGCTAGGCTTCTCAGGGGCTAGACAGGACCAAGATGGGAAAGGGAAATATACTTTGCTTTCGGTCCTCGAAGACGGGAATCCGGTCTTCGAGAGCGGGTCCTGGGTGCTGCCACTGTCATAGAAGGCTGCCGAATGGATGAAACAGTGTTGGGGCTCATGGGAAGATGATTAAACGCGAAATGATCTTCATTGCCGATCGCCTGAAGGTCAGATGGAGCGGCTGTTGCAAAGTTCAAAGGCGTGATATTATTTGGCCAAGTGTCTGTGCCACTACTATGGCTGGTATAGCACACAGTATACCCCGTTTCGTGTGAAGGCTGGCCTGAAAGTTCGTTGAGATCTGGGAGGAAAGGGACATTCTCGGGGTACGTGGACATGAATGAAGAAATGTTGAACGCATCTGGATTAGTATGGAATGTATGACTCTCGCCGTTACTCCCATTAACCCACGGACCTGCCCAAGTCTTGCAGTAAGGATTAAATGACATATTGACAGCACTGGATAGACGGAAGAGGGGTAAATATAATTGAGGCGATCCGACTTTTGCTAGAATGAGACTGGCAATCGAAGTGTGACGAATATGAGGAAAGACTCAACGAAGGACAAGGCTTTATACACAAACATGCCTGGGGTCGAATACAACCGTCCATAGTTCATTGCGATAGAAATTATTCAAAACGAGGAGAGCGCCGGTTCCAGCGGCAGTTCTGGCGGAATTATGCAGCCACAATATGACGGGCTAATCACCATGCGGAACATGTGTTCCAGGATAGGGCGATTAGGCACCGGGCCTTACCTTGCATACACTATAACTATAATTTACTGTGCGTGTGTGGGACTGCGGAACTGCCAGCACCACTGTGGAGGCTTCAGGTCTGATTATATTTTATGTACAGCTGACAAGATTCGTGGAAGGACAACGATATACGAACTTCCCCACCATACTTGCATATTTAGAAATGGCTTGTACATCCCTCAGCCTCATAGCCCAGCTCCCAGGACCCACCTACATGCAGTTCTGGCATACGAGTGTATCTATATGTATGCCGGGTAAGAATTGGATTTGCGCTGGGCGGAAATTTATCTGGTACGTGCCGCACGACAAGTCGACGACCTCATTCCCGACAGCAGGACGACAGTGGAATAACCGCCTCCCAAACGGCGGTGTGGACACAGGCACACTGAGGAAAACATCATCAACATTCTCTTTCAGTATTTCGCCACCCTACCACCTGCTTTCTGGATGTGGCCAGTACGACGAAGTACTCTTATTCTTCTAGACGAGTAGAACATCAAGAACTATACACAGAGGGCTCATACTATAGAACTAAATAGTAAATTAGTAATTATAAATTTATTTTACAAATACAGCGTGCGTGGCAGTTGGATTGATGCACGGTCATATCTTCAAGAATAATCCACTACTCTGAGAAAGTAGGGCCCGGGTTAACTTTCATCGTATTGCAAATTGCTGATAAATACTCCAATGCTGAGCACGAAGACGATGAGAGACCAATTAGACTTTAGTCATCACCATTTAAAGATGTTTCTGCGAATGTCTATTGCATCCAAGGCCTCTAACTTATACTCTGGTATTTGTCTCCTCCGAAGTATAGGATCATACCTGCAAGAGGGAGTTGGCGGGTTTTCTGTAGCCTCTTTCGTCTATTTTCTAGATCAGCAACTTCGGCTCTTTTCTGACGAATCGGTATTGAGTTAAGAGGCATGTTGCTGTGGTCGGTAATGCCGCCGTTATGAGTCCACCTTAGGCCTCTAGCGCGGCCATAATTCTTCGCACAGCCTCGCTCAGATACTCTTGGGGCTGTGAGAAGACTATTCTATACCATCCGCCATGCTCCGAGCCGAACAAAGAGCCGCTAGCTAAGAAGACTTTCTTCTGCAATAACAGTTCCATGACCGTTTCGCTAACATCCTCATCGCCCTTGACCTCAGGGTGGAGTTCGCGGTACTTCTTCCCCAGATTCATCCAAATAAAGAATGCAGCATTGGCTCCAGTTGAATACTCGATCCCGTTGCTCTTGAGCTGCTTCACAACGAAAGAATAATTCTCCGAAAGCTTCTCGCGGTTCAACCGAATGTATTCATCTGTGAAATCGACGTCTTCGAGCAGGAGAGATACCAGATGCTCCGAGACCCCCGATACATAAGAATATAGGCCAACGTTTCTTAATGCCATTAGCATATCACGATTGGCTTGTGAGATGATTACGCCCAGTCGGAGACCATTCGCACCAAAGTCCTTGCTCACGCCCCATAGTATATGAACGAGCTGGGGATTAATAATGCCTGTCAGATCGAGTGAAAGGGCGGATTCGAAGTCGACAGGCTTCGGACTCTCGTCGATGGTATTCTTCCACACGGACAACGCATATATTTCGTCACTAATGAAGTGCATCTGGTATTTCTGGCAGAGTTCCATCAACTTCACAAGCACGTATCTAGGGTAGCATCGTCCCAGTGGATTATGAGGATGGCAGAGTGCCAGTCCCTTTACCTTCCGTCCTGTCGTCTCCTGAAAACTCAACAGTGCTTGTTCATACTTCTGGACGGCCTCCAAACTGAACGGATCACAGTCATCGAAGCTCACAGGGACAACCGTTGCCCCAGGTCGCAGTGAAATATCCGGTATAAATGTCCCATAGTACGGTCTTCCCAGGAGGATTCCCTCGCCAGGTTCCGTTATAGCCCAAGACATGTGCTCGATTGCCGACGAAACACCGTTGGTAATGAACAGATGACTGGGCTCCACCGCATGCAAGGGGCGAAAGTGCCGGTTGATAAATGCGGACACAGCACGTTTTACTCTTGCTGACCCAGTAGGACCATCATTATACGTGAGTAGCTTAGCAGGCAAGTCGAGTTGCCGGTTGAGGAAACTCAACAAGTGATCGTGCATCAGAACATTCTCCGCAACGCCGACATTCACGTATCCATTCGGGTTCGTCTTTTCACACCATAGGTCGTTCACCACGTCCCACATCAGGTTCTTTGAGCCTGCTACTAGGGCGCTCTGTGCCCTTTGGGAGATGGTCGAATGTGTTGTTTCTGACTGCGACATTGTGGACGGTGGCTCGCTTAGAGGAGGCGAGCAAGGAGAGAAAGAAACGGATGTATTGGTAAACCAGACACCAAGTGGGAGAGGCACTTCAGAGGATATATTCTGGAATATCAAAGTTCTCTTCAGGCTGAGTCAAGGTGAAGAAAGGATTGGGTATACTTCCACCACCGACTTCGGCGTTATACCGCTTACGGACGGTTACATTCGGGTGGATCTCCGAGGAATGACCGAGAATTCGTTATCCAATAGCTTTGAAAAGATTGAAACTCGTATAGTACTGAGAGTCTATTTGCCAAGTGCTTGAACCCGTGACAATTCGACTTGCTCTATAGGCTATAATTATACAAGCTATATAATAATACGTGATAAATTGAGGGTTGTAATGAAGACACAACGGTCTTGATTCTAAAGGATCATGAACCCCAGAAAAATGAACCTGGACCCTGGCGGCAAAGTGCTGGTATCGAGCATAACCCCAACGGCTCGTCCTTACTTTAAAGTAAAATGTTTAACCTTGGTCTCCACTTCAAAACCCGAAGGCCAACAATCTTATCGGCGATCGGTGATTGCACCGGGTTACCGACGCGACATCACGGTAAATCTGTCAGATACAAGTCAATGCACACCTCTTTTACCTTGGGACGTTCAGATCTAAGATATAGGAACTACAGGAGACTTGCAGGTTCCCTCGTAGTGGTGCCGTGATTACATGCATTCTTTTGGTTACTGTGCTCCGGATACACATGAGGTTCACCTAGCCGTCTGGTCGCGCTACATAATATCATATTCTATCAGGTCTTTGCGATAAATCAAAACAAGAATACCAATTGCAGGGAAATGCTGCAGGGTGGATAGGTGGGTATAATTTGTAAACATCTATGAGGGCATGTGAGGAACATTCAATATATATTTTGGCGGAACAGATCTGGATCCCGGGCCACACTTCAAGCTAATGGCTTAACCTCTCCACTTCGAGGTCAACACTTTATTTAAACGATTTTAACCAACTATCTCAGCCATAGGCACGCGAGTATCCTATCTTTATTTGGGTTTGAATAATGCCATAGATGTATGTACACCACTAACTGGATCAAGTACAGAGAAGTCCACACATACATGACCCAAGCGCCCTTCACCGTTGCAAACGCTTGTACAAGAGGCGCGTAAATAATGATTGGATAGGGGTCGCCGCAATCCTCTGTTCACTTGTGAAGTACTATGTGTTTCTAGATATACGTAATGAACACAGTCTTAGTATGAAATTGGTAGATTTTAAACGGAACTTGCCCGTGTCAAGATCTTTGATGAATACATGATAAGAATTTTACTGCGGCAGACCAATGGCTATGGAAACAAATTTTGGTTGCGAATAAGGAAATACGAAGTGAAAAAGATCATCACCATGGCGCATTCTCATGTCCGCCAATTCGGACAACACATGAGGTGAAAACAAAAAAAGCATAGCGTCCCACGGCGGTATGTAATAATAATGACAAGGGGAAGAAAAGTAAGTCAACAGTGGAAAACAAGACACCGAATTAAAGAAGATACTCCGCCACGTCTGTAGGTGGGATGCTGGTACGAAAGAGGTATTTGTACAGACGTTTCACATAATGCAAATTCTAAGAAGCATTTACTCGGGCTTGCGTCCAACCATCAGGTACATGGGGGTGAAGAGCTTCTTCTCACCACCCGCCACGAGGCAGTCTCCTGCCACCGCCAAGCTGTCGGCGGTCTTCTGGGTGCCCTTGGGGGCGAGCCCAACCGTTTCCAAAGCGCCGACGAAGCGATGAGCGATGCCACGTCCCCACCATGTCATACGAGCGATGGTGAAGAAATCCCAAGGCGAGGTCATGTGCTTGAACGATCCGGCAAGAGGGTAGTACCAAGGAATAGCATCTGGGCGGTCAGCCAGATCTTCATGGTGAAGGACCTCAAAGCCAGCGTTCTTGAAGGCCTGAAGACCCTCAGACACCTTAACCATGTTGGAGATACCGTCTCCCTGCTCGATACCCAGACGGATCTTGCGGTGCTCGGCGTTGTCGTTATCATATTCGTCGGTCATAAGCCACTCGTAAACCCCAAACACACCACCAGGCTTCAGCACACGGAGGATCTCCTTATACACGCCCTCGAGCTCAGGAGCGTGGCATGTAGCCTCGATGGCATAAACAGCGTCGAACGAGTTATCGGGGAAGCTCATTTGCATGAAGTCACCCTTGACGAAGCTCAGTTTGTCGCTCAATCCCTCGCGCTCAGCATAGCGGGTGGCACGTTGAATCTGGTAATCATTGTTGTTGAATCCGACCACGTTGGCATCGGTGAATTTGCAAATCTCGCGCGCGGGACCGCCAACACCGCAGCCAACATCGAGGACCTTCATACCACTCTTGATGCCCATGGTGTGAGCCAGGTAGTGTTCATGACGGGCAATGGCTTGGTGGAAAGGCTCGCCCTGGGCAAAGCGGCAGAAATGGAAGGAGGTACCCCAGCCGTATTCATACAGATCGGTCGCCAGGTTGTAGTAACTGAAGGATGTTAGAAGAAAGATCAGTGGTATGAAGCTGGGCTTGGAATACGTACTGTCTGGTCAAGGTGGCATACTCGGCACGGCGAGCCTGTCAAAATCGTTAGACCACATGTATACGAGTTGTACAATCCAAGTAATCCATACCGCACGAATATCATCAGTCTCATCGGCGGCATCCTTGTTATCCCAGTGCTTGAAGTATTCCTCAACCGCAGCCTTCTGCGCAGCGGCGTCCTTTCCTCCAAGCATGGCAGCGAAGCCGCCCTGAGCCTGGGAGGATTTTCCATGGAGGACGCGATTGAACTCAGCGTCACGAGTATGGTTTTCTTGTTCCAAAGCAGTGGGGGCCATGGTGATGAACAATTGGCTTCAGTTGTGTTGAACGTTTAAAAAAGGGGTGGATTGGTGATGACGAGAATGCGGCAGGACAGCAATGACCGATCAGGGAACTTCTGAGTGATTTATACTCACGAAGAAACGAAAGGAAGGAAGAAGCCAAGTAGCCGGATAGGCAGCAAAAAAAAAAAGAGAGAGACGGAAATGAGAAAAGAAGAGGTCAAAAATAGAGCAGCGAAATAAATTCAGCAACCAAACAAGATCGACGGAAAGAAAGGAGGCGGAATTGCGACGATTTGACACTTCCCCTGCCAATCAGCTGGCCAGCCAACCACGCAGCGGCAGGCTAGGCCGAAAGGGACCATCCGGGGTTCTGGCCCTCGCGCCGGAAACACCTTCTTCCGGAACCGCGTTAAACCCCTTCGAGAAGGAACATGTGAGAAACCGTCGTATTCCGCGTATTCGATGTCGATGGAGATTAGAATCCACCTTGATTTGATGTTGCCAGCTGCTGGTGGACCCTGAACAACGTTCGCTTGGACACTTAATCTTCAATAATAGATTCTTATCGATGAGCAGCTCCCCACATACGCATTTACCTCGAAATTTTCCAACTTCCGTGCTCCGTTGAGCCTATCACGTGGGGCTCTGCCGTTATGTCAGCAAAGTAGCCACCTGAGCCACACCCAGCCACAGTTAAAACAAACGCTGCTATCGATAATCATTCTTTTGCCAGTCATTGAACGCCACCAACTCTTCACATCCTGCTTGCTCTGGGTACCCGCGCCATTTGAGCTAGGATAGCAGCACATCAATATGCCTCCTCCGCAGATCAAACAAGACTTGAACCGATCAGGATGGGAGACAACCGACTTTCCCTCTGTTTGCGAAACTTGCCTACCCGATAATCCGTACGTACAGATGCTGAAGGAGGACCATGGCGCAGAATGCAAAATTGTAAGTCAGCTCCGGTTGCAGAGCTCTGCATTGCTTTAGATCCTGCTGTGCTAACAGTTGAAAAGTGCACTCGCCCTTTCACCATATTTCGCTGGAAGGCGGACCGCACGGCACGCACCAAGAGAACCGCGATCTGCTTAACATGCGCACGTCTGAAGAATTGTTGCCAGTGCTGCATGCTCGATTTGTCATTTGGACTGCCGATTGTCGTCCGTGATGCCGCGTTGAAGATGGTTGCCCCGGGCCCCGAAAGCACAATCAACCGTGAATACTATGCACAGGAGCACGAGAAGGAAATCGAAGAAGGACGCGGTGCGGTCGAAGCGTATGAGAAAACAGACGAGAAGGCGCGAGAACTCCTCAGGAGACTAGCAAACAGCGAACCCTATTATAGAAAGCCTCGGCAACTCGAGGCGCCGCAGGATGAGGAGAGCGAGAAACCGTCGACGGACGCGCCGGTGGTACACAGCCGTTATGGCAATGGCCCAGGACCCATCCGCACGGCTGAGAGCAGGAGGGGTACGACTTTACCTGGACGAGGACGCGGAAATATGCGTGGTGGCCGTGGTGGTCGTCCGTTTCCCGGCACGGCTCAACTGCCACCCTCCCAAGAGGATATTCTCCCGCCTGCGGATCCTAATGTTACGTCCCTCTTTGCCACCGGTGTTGAGGATGACCTTCCCGAGCATACTTTACGTACCTTTTTCTCGCAGTTTGGACAGCTCCGCTCGTTAGTCTGCTCTCATCGCGCTCATTCGGCGTTTATCAACTTTGCTACTCGCGAAGCTGCCGAGGCGGCTGCGAAGCATTGTCAGGGCAAGGCTGTCATTCAGGGCTGCCCATTACGCATTCGTTGGGGAAAGCCTAAGCCATTGGATAACATGGACCGCGAAGAGCGTATGAAGTACGCCCGTGAAGGCCGCTCGGCCGCTCCGACGGTGAGAGCCTCGGGCTCAGGCAACAAAGCGATCACCGCTGCTGGCGAGGATCTGGGCAAGCAGGGCCAACCCCGGAGTTACGCTGTCGCCCCGCCCCCAGGTAGTGGCGAGGTTCAATATACCAGCATGTCTGGTGATTAATTACGCGTTCACATGTCCATAACTTCTCCTTATATTGTTCTTGGGAATCAGGAGGCTTTACTTGTATGTTCAAAGCAGGCGTTGTTATGTGTGTCTATTTATCTTTGTTACATTTATATCTTCAATCGAAATACCCCAAAAGACGCCGAAGGAGAGAAAAGTCGGGTATACTATAATACAATGCAAAAATGCAGGTGTTATCATGTGCATCCTTCGTAGGAAACTTCCACTCAGCGACACTTATGCCGAACAAGCCTTATGGATCTTGATGTCCTTGCCCGCATGCTTAATCGAATCATTGTCACCACGCTCAATATCATCGTGAATCCGAAGTTCTAGAAGCCGTAAGGGTTAGCCACAATTGATATCCAACGCATGTAAACCACTGTGCGATTTAACTGGTACGACATACCCCACTTGGCGGCTTCGTTGCCCTCCTCTTTTACTCCTTGTACAATGTTGTGCTTCAAGATGCTGGCCACTTCAATGGCATGGTTGATCTGCATGGGCGTATCGATGCCTACACGCTTATGTTCGTCGAACTGGCGGCGGGCCTCTTGACGAGCGGCGAGGAGTACACGAGTGTCCTCTGTGAGAGCGATAGTTAGCCTTAGAAAGTATTATCAAGCGAAGTAGAGTACTTACCATGGAAGGCAATGCGGGTAGCGCGGAGAATCTGACGGTAGGCGCCACGGGCGGAAAGGGATGGGGCAGCCATTTTGTTGTTTATAAAGTATTATGAATGGAAAGCTGCTCGAGAAAAGACTATAATCGTCTGATAAGTTCTCTTTGTGTTAAAGCCCGGGCTTTGCGGCGATCGCAGTATGATTCGAAATTTTGGCGATAACGGAATTGAGTCGATGCGACGACACAGATAGCCAACCAAATAATAAAGACAAAGGCCGTTTATAGAAGAAGGCTATAATCGATAACTAGCGTCAGACTCTGGGATCTAAAGTTGGGAAAAGGAGATAGTTCTTCGTTCCTGGCCTGGTCAATCCATCGCCTTCGATGACCTCCGAAACACCCGCCGCCTGATTGGCAGTTTCCAAAGCGGGAAGTCGGGGCAGAAAAAATAAAAAACGGCGTCTCAATTTTCTGCCATCAGCCCCCCATTCTTATCGCCAGCACACAACACTGGGTATCTTTCCCTTCTAAATTCCCCGAAGCACATCCAAGACAATTGCTTCGATTTAGTCAAAATGACTTCTGTCCAAGTTGTCAACGTCTCTTTGCCCGCCCTTTCTGAGGGTTGGTCTGCTGAGGGGGGCTTCAAGGCCGTGGGTACTCTCTCAGGTGCTACCCAGCGGAATCTGGAGCCTGTTGGCCCTCACTTCTTGGCCCACGCTCGTAGAGTATGTGTGCACTTTACCAAATTTGGTGGTTGAGTTCCTAGCGGCTCTCACTATTAGATATCGATATATCGAATCGGTGCTAACAACCCTCTAGAAGCGTCACCACCGCACTTTCTCCGAGGATGAGAGAATCCAGGCCCAGCAGAACGTCAAGAAGACTGAAGAGGAGGAGGATGACGAAATCTCCGAGGACGAAGACCCCATGATGCTGTCTCGGGACGCTAAGGACTGGAAGGTATGTTCAATGGCCTGTGTGTACCTTTTACGTTCAATATTCTAACATCTCTTTCACAGAGCCAAGATCACTACGCCGTCCTTGGTATTACCAAGTACCGTTGGCGCGCCACCCCCGAGCAGATCAAGCGTGCCCACCGCAAGAAGGTTCTGCGCCACCACCCCGACAAGAAGGCCGCCCTGGGTGACCGTGACGAGAACGACAGCTTCTTCAAGTGTATCCAGAAGGCCCACGAAGTGCTCTCAGACCCCGTCAAGCGTCGTCAGTTCGACTCTGTCGATGAAGCTGCCGATGTTGAGCCCCCCACCAAGAAGGAGGCCGCCAAGGGTAACTTTTACAAGCTGTGGAACCGTGTCTTCGACTCCGAGGGCCGTTTCTCCAGAATCCAGCCCGTTCCTAGGTTGGGTGACGACAACAGCACCTTCGAGGAAGTCGACAACTTCTACAACTTCTGGTACAACTTCGACAGCTGGCGTTCGTTTGAATACCTCGATGAGGATGTGCCCGATGATGGCGAAAGCCGTGACCAGAAGCGTCACACCGAGAAGAAGAACGCCAACGCTCGCCGCAAGCGCAAGAACGAGGACACTGCTCGTCTCCGTAAACTCGTAGACGACTGTGCTGCTCAGGATGAGCGTATCAAGAAGTTCCGCAAGGCTGCTCGTGCTGACAAGGACAAGAAGCGTCTTGAGAAGGAGGCTGAGGCTAAGCGTCTGGCTGAGGAGAAGGAGAAGGCTCGTCTGGAAGAGGAACAGCGCAAGAAGGATGCCGAGGAGGCCGCTAAGGCTGAACGTGAGAAGAACAAGAAGGCCAAGGAGGCCGCTAAGAACGCTACCAAGAAGAACAAGCGTGTTGTCAAGGGCTCCGTCAAGGAGGTCAACTACTTCGCTGATGGCGAGGCCTCCGCCGCCCAGGTCGACTCCGTTCTGACCGACGTTGAGCTTATCATGAGCAAGATTGATGCCGAGGAGCTTGCCGGTCTGGCCGAGCGTCTTACTGCTGCTGGCAAGGATGCTGCTGCTGTCAAGAACGTTTACGCCGAGGAGGCCAAGAGGCTCGTTGGTGCTGGTAAGCTCAAGGAGGGCGAGACCAAGAACTTCTAGAGTACTTATCTAGAAGGTACGACTTTGTCATGAACATAATGCGTCTCTAGCACAGGGTCCATGCTAGAGAGACTCGTCAAGCGATATGGGGCATAGCTTAAAAGCGATCTATAGATAGATAGATTTGGTTTTCAAAAGACTAATGGAGGCAACGATTTTGATGCATCTTATATTCTCATTCAGCTAGCGATTAAACAATGTTATAGACCCATTGACCATTCCGCAGTCCCGAAGTCGTAGTATAGCCCTCTTCAGCCTTTTGATAACAAACCCAACCTCCGAAAGAACACCCCGTATATCCTATGCCTAACTACATTCATATATCATTTATCTAATTGAATCGTTGTCTCATCCGATAAAATTGCATACCCATTCATTAATCTCATATCTCGTTACAAATAGAAGTAAAGTAGTACACTAGCCCTAACACAAACACCACACCAAGGAACCACCCCCGAATCACGACCATATCAACGAAACTTTCCTCCAAACAACATTCGACGTGCCCTTCCTTTCCTTCTTGCTAGCGTCCATCCTAGCCCACGTCTCCGCCTCAGCATTCACTTCATCCACACCGGATCTCAAATCCACATCCTGCGGGTTATACACCCACGGATCCTTCCTCCCAACGGTCAACCTATGCCCGAAATAAATAGCCAAGAAAAGGGGGATCCCAAGATACGCCGTCAAAAACCCACTAGCAGAAAAGTGGCCGGGGAAGAAAACAGTGAACCCATTACACAGCAACAGAAGGGTGAAAACAAACAGACAGATCCAAGCCGCGACGGGCTGGATTCGCGACCGATAAGGCATGACGATACCCTGGGCGTCGCAGGCGTTCCGGAAGCGCAGGAAGATGATGCAGCATGTGAGCCAGGAGGTGTAGCCGGAGGTGTTGGTGAGACTGACGAACCAGTTGAAGACCTCGCCGGCTTGCGAGCCGGCGTTGAGATAGGCCAGTAGCGTGAAACAGCTGCTGGCTAGGACGGCGTAGATGGGGAGCCCGTAGCTGGTGCATCGGGTGAAGATCTTGGGGGCGTTGCCGGCGACGGCGAGGGAATAGAGCGCGCGGCTCGACATGTAGAGGTAGGCGTTGCCGGCGGACCAGGCGCTGGTCAGGATGCAGGCGTTGATGATGGAGGGGAGCACGCTGATGCCGGCGTTGCGGATTGCGATGACCCATGGGGATGCGTTGGCGTCGCCCGTGTTCGATGTGAGGCCTTCGGCGTTGGAGGGACAGGTGACCCCCATGGAGAGGGTTCCGAGGATGTAGAAGACAACGAGGCGGCCGAAGTATCGGCGGGATGCTTTGGGGAGGTTCTTGCGTGGATTCCGCATTTCTCCACCCGTGAATACCATTAGCTCTGGGCCGAAGAAGAAGGAAAAGCCGGACCAGACCCAGACGTAGAGGAAGGAGGTAAAGCGGCCGCCGCTTCCTGAGACTATATAAGCGTTCGTTGCGCCAGGGTCGTTCCAGTAACGGAATCCAAGTCGGTCATGAGTAGGCGCTCCGCCGAGCATGATAACAAGAGATAGGATGATCATCCCAATGATCATGACTACTTTGATGCCCGCAAACCAGAACTCGGCCTCTGCGTAGACACCCACTGGACAGAGGTTGAGACCTATGATGACGACCAGAACGACGGTGACCCATACGGCGATATGAACGTTGTTTGGCCAGTAGTTGATGACAAGGCTGGCCGCGGTGATTTCGTATGCGACTATGATGCCGAACGAGTAGAAATAGAGCCAGCCTAAGGCAAACCCAAGGGATGGTGAGACGTAGCGGCTACAGTAGTATGCAATCGAGGACCCGGGGATGGGAAGGTACGTGCTCATTTCAATCACTGCAGTGAAAACGCCGTAAACAAGAAGAGACATCAATCCATAGGCAAGGAGGAGGAAGCCGGGTCCCCCAATTGCTAGTGCCTGGCCAGCACCAACGAAGAAGCCCGTGCCAATGGCACCGCCAATGGCCATCATTTGAGCATGGCGTGACTTGATATTTCTTTTGACCCCAGCTTGCTCAACATACTGGAATTGCTGGCCAGCTGAGCAACTTTCGACTTTTCCAAGACCAAGGGCCTCTTTCTTCCCAAGGTTGTCCTCATTAGCGTGTGGTAGACCTGAGGTCTCAGTCATTGCGAGGGATAAGTACAATACGTCTAGTCAAACAGGCAAAAGAGGAGGGATAGGTGTCAAAGACCCTAGAACGGACTGTTTGACCGGGCTACATTGTGATTTAAATGGAATCTACTGGTCTGCGCATGATACTCTCTCTGGCTCTTCTACCGATACGAGATTTAGCTTATCATGAGGCAACAGCCTTGTTTCTGACCTTATCTTTGTTTGATAAGGACATGACTTCTAAGACCTTCCCCAGACTGTCATATTGACGCTGTATTGATCGATGGCTGAGCGGCCAATCAAAAGTCAAACTGCGTTGAGAAAGTCTCCGCATCCCGTGACTGCGTTGCCCTTCCTGTTTGGGCGAGTATGCATCATTAGAGCTGGCGTCTTATCTTTTCTCCGCTTGGCCCAACCAAGGCCAGATGGAAAGTGAAGGAGACACCATCTTGTGGAAGCAAACACCTACTTGACGTTGTGTGCCACATGATTCCGTTTCCTCAGTGTGGGCCAGGAATATAGGTAGAGTCCACAGTATAAAAGACAACATATAGACCCCGCATCAACAGGCCATCTGGCAATTTCTCATCTACCACAAGAACATCAGTCAAACATACCAGCAGAAATGGGTTCTATCGGTGCACGAGAGCAAAACTACGACGTCTTGATAATCGGCGCGGGCCTTTCGGGCATCTACAGTTTACACGAGGTTCGGAAGAATCTTCCCTCCTTGAGCGTCAAAGTCCTCGAAGCTGGAGAAAGCGCTGGAGGTACCTGGTTCTGGAATTGCTATCCAGGTGCCCGCTTTGACTCTGAAACAATATCCTATCAGTTCTCATGGGACAAGGAGCTCTTGCAGGAATGGGACTGGAAAGAGACCTTCTCCGCACAGCCGGATACTCTGAAATACATTGAGCGAGTCTGCGAGAAACACGACTTACACAAGGATATTCAGTTCAATACTCGAATCAAGTCGGCACATTGGCAGGATGCGGAACGCACTTGGCTTTTCGTGGATGAGGCTGGTTTTCACTATCGTGCACGCTTCTTCATCAGTTGCTTGGGTGTTCTATCCAACCCGACACTACCTGCGATCCCCGGTATCAAAGACTTCCAGGGTCAGTCTTTCCATACGTCGCGCTGGCCAAAGGATTTCGACATGAAGCGCGACTTCGCCGACAAACGAATCGGAGTGATTGGCACAGGAGCAACCGGGATTCAAACTATTACAGAAACATCCAAAGAGCCCAGTATTGAATCGCTCACCGTGTTCCAGCGAACTGCTAATTGGTCTGCCCCGCTCCGAAACACCAAGATCACGCCCGAAGATATGGAGAAGGTGAAAGCTGAATATGACACTACCTTCCAGCGCTGTGCCTCAACACCGACCGGCTTCCTGCATCAACCCGACCCTCGCAAGTCTTCCGAAGTGTCACAGGAAGAGCGCATTGCCCTATGGGAGAAGCTCTATGCTGAACCCGGCTTCTCTAAGTGGCTAGGCACATTCTGCGATACTTACACCGACCGCGAAGCGAACAGACTATACTCTGAGTTTATGGCGAGCAAGATTCGAGAAAGAGTGCATGATCCCGTCGTGGCGGAGAGTCTGATCCCCAAGAACCATGGCTTCGGTACGCGGCGGGTGCCACTGGAGAGCGGATACTTTGAAGCATTCAATCAATCAAACGTTCACCTAGTCGATTTGCAAAAGACGCCCATCGAAAGGGTCACTGCGAATGGAATCCTCACTTCGGACGGCAAGGAACATGAGCTGGATATTCTGATTTATGCGACCGGCTTTGATGCAATCACCGGTGCTTTTAACGCGGTGGAGTGGCATGGAAAGAATGATCGACCGCTCATCGCCAGCAGTAACAGTGAAACAGGAAAGCGTGCCGTCTGGCTTGACCATCGGCCATATACTTATCTTGGGCTCATGGCTCCTTCTTTCCCGAATATGTTCATGGTGCTTGGCCCACACCAACCTTTTGGAAATATTCCACGGAGTATTGAACACGCAGTGCGAGTTGTGAATCAGCTATTGCAGTTCTGTCACAATGAGGGCTATACTTTAGTTGAGGCAACTGAGGAAGCTGCAGACATGTGGACTGAGCATGTGGTCGAGTGTAGTAAGGGGGCATTATCGAACGAGATTGATAGTTGGATGACAGGAATAAACACGAATGTCCCAGGAAAGACAGTTAGGAGTGTGGCACGATATGGAGGTAGTGCCATTGAATATCGCAAACGATGCCAGCAGTCTCGAGCGGCTGGTTGGGAAGGGTTCAAATTTGCACGAGGTTATTCGCTTTGACCACTCTAGGTTTCCGCAGGATGTTGTAGCGTTTTTCAATGAGACCATACCTGATATGAATCGTTTTCTTTAATTGTGTCCTCAGTAATGTTAAAATGACCACACTGCTTGATTTTGCTGTTAAAAAGCCCTTGGTAACCAGTGTTTGAATTGCAAAAGAGGTAACATTCTCTAAATAATTGGACTGTTCATTACATTTCTCACTCTATCTTAATCAACAATCGAAGTCAATAGGTGGGCCTCACCCCAGCAGTATCCAGGATCATTACATAACCTTGTTGTGATAATGGCATCTTTTGAGGTCAATAATTGTAGCATAAATGCATAAAGGAAGATCCAAGATGCGCATCTATAGTCTGATATTCAATTTGAAATCATAATTCCAGTACATCAGCAAAGCCAACCGCCATCAACATTATAAACAGTTCCCGTCACAAAAGATGCCTCGTCGCTCAACAAATGCACAATCACAGTAGCTATCTCACTGGCCTCAGCGCGTCGCTTTTGCACCGTTGCTTGCAGACCGCGTTTCACATCCTCCGGGTTCTCTCCCTGAGACATGGGTGTGTTTACAGAGCCTTGAGTCGAGTTAGCACTATCATCACCAGTCAGGAACAACAGCAGAACAAATATAGCCCTCACCTGGCGCAACACAATTGACTCTTATATGCTGGTTTTCCTTCGCTGCCGTTCTCGTTAATCCAATCACAGCTGCTTTACTGGCGCAGTACGGAGCAACCCCAGGCGAACCCATTTGGCCAAAGGCGCTAGCCGCAGAAACCTATGGTTAGAGTATTAGCAGATGCATATATCTATGGGACACTCTGTGAACAGACGTACAATGCTACCACCGGCCGTCATTGCCTTCAGCTGGGCCCTCAAGCAGAAAAAGACACCTCGTGTATTCACGGCAAAGTTGAAGTCCCAAGTATCATCGGTTTCTTCAGTAATTGGTTTGGCTGGTGTGATGACTCCAGCCATATTAACGGCGCCGTCCAGCTTGCCCAGTCTTTCTACTGTTGATTTGATCCATGCGTCAACTGACTGGCTGCTACGCACATCGACCACGGTGTACATATGCTTATCGCTTCCCGTCAATGACTCGGTAGCCGCCTTGACCGCCGCTTCGTTAATATCAGCGAGAGAGATAATGGCTCCACGGGATGCGAGTAGCTTCGCTGTGGCAAGCCCCATGCCGGAGGCTGCGCCGGTTATGGCGATCTGGTGCGAGTGGATGTGTTAGTGGTACATGCCGCAATCGGTGGTTGCATTGATACGTACGACTTTGTTTTCGAAAGATGCCATACTGCTTTACTCAAATAGTATAACGAAAGCTGTCTCTAATACTAATAAGTAGATTCAATGTTCAAACACTCTTTCACATCATCTACGGCCTTCCAATTAATTTATTACAGACACCCCTCTTTCAGAATTCTCCATGGCGGGGCTACCATGTCAACGGGGAAACCAACGCAGGTATAGGTTTCCCTTTATTTTTACAGTCATGTTGGCTTATCTCGCATGTCTGGACTGGCGAATGCTCTCTGGGAAGGTTTCCGGGAGTCATGTGGATCTAGACTTTGGCCCTAAGACGCAATAACCTTCCTAATCGTCCAGCTTCCCCACATGGCTTATCGCCCCCCGCATGCAAGACACGACACGATATAACCAAGTCACACACTGAGCATTAGGAAGTTAACCTCGATTGAACACCTTCCACCCTCAGAATGGCCACGGCAACTGACGAGCAAAGCACACAAGCCCACCCCGCCCGAACACGGTCATTCGGGGGGTGCACCACGGTAACAATTGCCTCCGCCACTGTCCTTCTGCGTGGAACTGACAGACTATCGTATACAGTGTCGAAGTCGACATGTGAAATGCGACGAAGGCCGCCCCACATGTGCCATGTGCCGGTACTTCGGGTTCGTGTGTGCGGGCTATGAGAAAGGCATCTTTTTTGACTTTGAGGGAGCGACGGACGAACGACGCTTCCGTCGGCCCTTGCTGACGGAGGCCGAACGAGAGCGTATGAGCCAATGGCTCGTGTCAAGCGTCCCGCCGGAGTCGGCCCTGCAGTTACTGACTCGCATCGACGATCTGTGCGAGAAGGCGGCCCCTTGCCGCGATCTTCAGGTGGATTGCGGGCCTTTCGGGGCGTTCAGATTGAGTCCATTGCCTTCCGCGCCGTCGCCGGAGATGGTCTCAGAGGAAACACCAGATCCATCTGCCAGTAGCCCGCCAGAGGACGTGGTTAGGTTCGACGATGATTTCACAGTCCCATCGGACCCCCCGTTAACGCCGCGTACTCAAAGAATCCTCGAGTCAATATTTGGCCCCCCGGAGCAGACGCCCAGCACAACATCACCGGATACTGAAGACATGGCCATGGATCTTTGTCGCATTGACGCCGTGCTCAATAATGCACCTCTATCTGATTTCCAGGGATTTCCTATAACAGCAGAACAAGAACTGCTGCAGAGCGCTGACCTACCCCAAATACCGCCACCGAACCCCTGTTTCTCGTTGACAACGACCAGCAAAACCGTCCCCCAAGATGTGATGCTCCTACTAAAGCACTATACAACAACAGTCATCAGCCTGATGACGCCCGTCCGCCACGCCAAAACACCATGGCACATTCTCTTCATCCCGCACGCCAAGACGTGTCTAGCAGCGCTCACGCTAGGCGAAGACCTGGACAACGCGAGCCTCACAGCGTTCTACGGCACGCTCGCAATCAGCGCCTTCAGCCTGGGCGGGCTTTCGCAGTCGCAGATGTGGCTCGCCCAAGGTACCGCATACAAGCAACAAGCGGTGAAACACGCCAAACTGATGCTGCGGACCGCGTACAACGTGCCCAAGGCAGCCAAGTACAAGTCCACGATGATCGCGCTTCTGACAATGGTGTATGTGTCAATGTTTTCGGTCGACCGCGACCAAACGGAGTATTTCTTCCTGGAAACGGAACGACTGATCCGGCTGCGAGGCCTCCAGCGGAAGAAATCCAGGAAGGTCCGTCTCCTCCACCACTGCTATGCGTTCGAGCGGTTCTTTTACGAGAGCACCTTCACCGGCGGCATGAACTCACGACAGCGGCATTATTTCCGTCGGTCTATTGAGTCGAGTGGTTTGGCGCAGTACAGTCGCGATGATCTTTCCTTCCGGCTGCGTGGCTGGGAGAATCTCGACCAGGAGATGCTGGAGGTGAAGAGTCAGGAAGATGGGGAAAATGATCTGCATCTCGAACGACCCGGGATCTTCTCTGCGACGCTGTACCCTGAGATCTTCGGCGTTCCAGAGCCATGGGTCCTGTTACTATCGTTGGTGATTCGACTCGGGCGGGAGAAGGATATCGCGGAGAGCCATGACCTGCCGAATCCTCTTACGCTGAAAGATTTTTCGAGCCGGGCGAAGGCAATCGAAAGACGGATTAACAACCTCGAGCGACCGAGTCAGGCACAGCTTGATGAGCATGTGAGCAATATGCTCGATGCAATGTATGACGCTCTGTCTATCTACTTCTACCGCAGGGTGTATGACATGGAAGCCTCGATGCTCCAACAGAAGGTGTTTGCCGTGCGGGACTGTTTGTGGCGCTGTGCAGATCCCAGTGTGCTGCATGCCTCCGCTGGGTTCATTTGGGCTGCGTTTATCGCCGCCTGTGAGGCTGAGGATGTGGAGCTGCAGATGTCGTTTGCGAAATGGTTCAAGGACTCTGCACGGCGAAGTGGGTTATCCTCGTTCCGGGAGACATTGGCTCGGGTTGAGAGGATCTGGCGGGAGAAGCGTTGTGGGAATGGGATAAGTGCAACATGGCTCAATTTAATGAAAATGGACGCTTCTTTTAGGGTAGCATAGGAAGTCATAACAACAGCCAGCCATGCATATAGCATTTGAATATCTTAATACCCATTCATTAACACATAGAACAATAGCATCATAACTAACGCTGCGTATACCCCCCGTCCACAAAAAGCGCAGTGCCCGTAACAAACGAGCTCCTCCCCCCAGAGAGATACACCACACCGTCCGCAATCTCCCTCGGCTCTCCCATGCGCTGCATTGGCACAGCAGTCGCCACCCTCTCCTGCATCGCCTGCAAAACCAATGGTGACTTGGTCGTCATCGGCGTCTCCGTATAGCCAGGACAAATGGCATTAATCCTCAGCCCATCCTTAGCATAATCCTCGGACGCCGTCCTGGTCAACCCAATAACAGCATGCTTCGTCGCCGTATAAGCAGTCGACAACGGGATGCCCGCGACGCCCTGGATCGACGAGAAATTCACAATCGACCCCCGCTGCAACGGCCGCCCATCAATACTCGACCGGATCGGTTCCTGGGTTAACATGATGCGCGCCGCTGCCCGCAGGACGAAGAACGTGCCCGTGAGATTGATGTCGAGGATGCGTTGCCAGTCGGCCGTTTCGGCGAATGCCGCGCCACCCTGATGCTTCATTGCGATTCCGGCCGCGTTGACCACGTAGTCTAGTCGGCCGAAGGTTTGCGCTGCGCTTTGGATTACTTCATTTACCCGGTTTTCGTCGGTGACGTTGACCGGGTAGATCTCCACGCGGCAGCGGGATGTCTTATCGGGGCTGAGTTGGGCGTTGATTTCAGCTTGCACAGCTTCTAGAGCTGTTTTGTCCAGGTCAAGCAGGGCGATGCCGCTGGCGCCGTCGCGCGCGAATGTGTTGGCGCAGGCGCGGCCGATGCCGGATGCTGCGCCGGTTATTAGGGCTATTCCGGGGACGTCCATTATGGGGGTTTGAGTATAGGTGTGGTATGTTGGTGGTTTAATGGTTTTGAAAAGAAATTGGAGGTTTCTGAAGGTATTAGAGCGGCATGGCGCATAAATGAAGGTCAAATAGCCCTCATCTGCGGGGTTCCTGCAAACACCTTCCTTATAATCGAATATCGAAGCCACGGCTTTTCTAAGATATCCCTATCAGCATAAACTTTCCTCAAATGATCTCGCATCTATTGCGGGGTGATCCACATGAGTCTGTTCCAAGCTTATTTGATCGTCTCTGCTGATACGAGCTCGGGTTTGGAAAGCCTCCGCTGCGTAGACTTGCCTGTGTGGATGCCAAGTAATGCGGGGGTTGGCCTCGAGTTGACAACTTCTCATGCATACAAAATGTACTTTCTTCTCGTAAAAATTACGTCAGGACACTGATGACTGTGGGGAGACGCGTGTTGTAAGATTTAACACCAATGGATGAGCAGAAAGAAGAGCTAGTAGCCCTAGTTATAGTACATAATGAAGTGGAGATCAGATGTTGGCGATTATACCTGTGGTTGCTGATATCGATATGCTCTGCGCCAGCGCATTGCTTATGTTAGTCGAAGAAACGGATGCTCGGCCAATTCACGCGCAGTCTTCCTCTCCTCCGGGACCCAGGCAAGCATTGATTTCACGAAGGACAAGAAGTTTTCCCTTTCCTTCTCTTCTAGGGAGGGGAGTGTATCTGCCAGGTTTCTGTTCGGAATCAAGTCCTTGTATAAGAACTCTCCTATCAGCTTGTTAGCAAGATCCATAAACTGGCTCTATCCCGGCTATGCAATTACCATCACTATTAAAGAACGGACCCCCAAAGAATTGATCACAGCTTTTGTAGATGGCACCGTCCGCCGTTGTGATAGGATGAGACCATTGGTAGTCGAGCATCCAGCGATATCTTGCGATCAGGTCTTCAGGTGGGGGACCGAGGAAGGCTATCATTTCTGCGAGATGCGCTTTTGCCTGGTATTTGCCGTGCTCGTCATGCACTTGACTGAATAATTCCTTCCCCTCGATCAGATCCCATAACTAGGATTTTGTTAGTTATTTGGCAAAGAGCACCAGGGTGCGAACGCACAATAACACCAAAATTCCACATATCCGTGCTCATCCTCCAACCACAACCAAGGATTACCTCTGGCGCGCGATAGTGCTCTGGCTGGATAGGATACAAACCACAGCTATCATCATCGAGCCTTATACAGTGTCCAAAATCAACAATCTGTGGTATAATATTTCGGAGTTGTCTCAGGGGCCCAAAATCGTTGTGACGCCGATATACCGGTCGGCCTATGGAGTCTATTTTGTACTCCATTGGTTGGTCGAACTGGTCGTTCATGAAGTCGCCCATCACCGCTGGGTCTTCAAATGAGACCATGATATTCTCAAGCTTCAGATCTACGTGACATATAAGCCTGACTTGCATTAGTTGATGGACCGACCAGGGGCAGAATTACACACCCGTATGTACTGTCTTGCATTCCGTATGAAGGTAATCGATACCCACAAGAAGAATGTAAATATAGGCCTTGATAGTCGGAAGAGGGATCATCTCATCCTTGAAGCGCCTCTGAAAAAGCCAAAGGGGCTCCCTCATGGGCTCATATGCGAAACACACATGTCTTCCTTCTGGACCAGTAATCTCGAAGGATTCTGAAGATGTTCGGAGAACTGCACGTCCACGATGGGATGAGTCTGTCTCGGCGATGTACTGCTCAGTTTCGCGTGCGACGTCAGCTGCGTGTGAGTTGGTATTGGCTATCTTCAGTGCTACAACGCCCTCCGGTTCGTCTTCATTTCTAAAGTAGTTTTAGCAATCTTTGCATTTATATAAATGATAAGAGTGACGATACCCCCGCATATCACGAGCAAACCATACGGTAGAGGTGGTACCCCAGCCAACCTTGACGAGGATCTGATAACGATCGGCGAGTACTTCTCCAGGCTTCGCGGGATAGAAGTCCGTGGAGCAGTATCCTGGGCATCTTTCTTCGTCCGCGGGCTCGTTTGGGGGTAAAAGAGGCCCAGGACGGGGGATTGGGAAAGGCTTTCTGCAAAGTGAGGAAAGCGAACGCATCAGTAAGCGTCTGGTTGGGTTCATTTTACGTGACTCTTCGTGAAAGAATATCTCGCCCGTTCATCTAGTGGTAGTGTTTCCACTAACTCAGTTTGAAAAGGTCAAGATATCAAAAGCTACGGTGAGGCAGAGATGCAGGAACCAGGCGTAGGGGTGTACACAACAAGGAGGCTTGGCGAGTGTAGAACAGCGGCCCATGCCACTAAAGCAGCGGGCGTTTTTAATATCCAAGCAAACGAACATCGTATAAAAGCACCCCATAATTGTTGTCTGGATTAAATTTGTATTCGATTTCAAGTGGTTCATCAAGCATGGGTCAGTCTCAGGAATATATTGGTCTAGAATCAAACCACATCCGCCATAGACCTTATGCCAGGGCTAGAAGCTTCTATCTGTCTAGTCGAGCTTGCCTTGAGGGCGTTGCAATGGAAGAATTATGGTGATACTTTCATTGATACTGTCCGGGAGAATTTTGGAATTACAACCTTGCAGGGGAAATAAAATCAAATGATATAAGGAAATTTGCGGAGTACCACCAGACTCTCAAGTTTTATACCCAAACACTGCTGAGAACTTGTATTCGAGTCTTGACCCAGACCAGCTACTGGCCGTGTTCCCGACCATTCAATATTTGGGGTTTCTTAATGCTAATAACGCAACAACATGCTAATATTTTCAAAAGCTTTGGCTAAACCAGGAGTGGCGAGAACTACGCGAATCACCACAGCCCAGAGGTGAAAGTGAAAGACAGAGCTTCGTATACTGATTTGAAAGGCAACCTTTATGTGCTTCTAGATATATTTATGTACAGAAATAATCATCATCTATCTGGTTTACTCGGGGACCGTAAATCAAACCATACAGTTTTTGTACGGCGGTTGTATCGTAGGCTATATATACAATGCTCATTGCCCATGCTTGAGCTATACTCTAGAGACTCGGGATCTTGAACGTATATTCTACCTACATATGTGTTACAAGTTGAGATTATCATTCGCCTGATTTATTTAGAGGATAACAATTGTCAAAGAATAAAATTTCCTTGGTATTGAAGTGGACAAGCATTTCAAATAAAACCATAGAGCTTAACCAATGCCAAGCAAGCTTCGGATAGATAATTCTAACTAGTACTGAGTATTTTGGAAACATCTCCCAGATCAGTCATAAAGCTTCATGCATTCTCGGCAGCAACTAAATCTCGAATTCGTATCGGCACTTTTTCATTCAAAAACTCCCGTGAAGACATTTCAGGAAATTGGGCACGCGACCGGGCGAACAAGCCAGATTCATGGATTGTGCACGTGACCAGGACGGACCCGCTCGGTCCAATCACCTGCCAACCTCAGCTGATCGCCTTCCTCTTTGGGCGCCAGTGGATGATCCCCCGCAGCCCAGTGAGCGGCCATCCATTGACAACCTGCGGAGATGCCGTCGTCAAATTCAAGTTACATTGAGATTGTCATGTACCTTGTAGGACGGAAGAACCCGATACTACTCCGGAGTACTATCGATGAAGTCGCATGGGCCATGCAGGCAAGGCCTTTGACCGAGCCAATCCTCGCCTATCCCCGCCTTTACAATTCTGGATGGCTCATATGTAAGGGTATCCTTCATGCATAAATAGGGGACAGGTCCGACTCCGGTCTTCCTTTCTCTCCTTCCTCAACTCCTGTGAGAGGAAGTCACATACCAATCAATTGTACGGAGTATTGTTCCTTCTTTTACCGAGGCAATAGAGCAATAGGCATCATGTTTACCAGGCAATCCCTCGTGGCCCTCATCGGGGGTCTATCTCTCGCCGCCGCCCAGACATCTTCGGAGCCCTACCCCTCATTAGAAGAAATCAGAGCTGCCCAGGCTACCGTTCTGCCCCATTCTCCTGTTTCTAATGTCAAGGGTCTTGCATTCAACCGTTTTGTCAACATTTGGCTGGAAAACACGGTAAGTTCGTGCTTGCGGGCAACCCAGACACGTGGCCGGGAATCATTCTGACTTTAATTCCAGGACTTTGAGTCTGCCGCAAATGATCCTCATCTCTCCAAGCTTGCCGAGAAGGGTCTTCTTCTCACAAACTACTGGGCAGTCACACATCCTTCGGAACCCAACTACTGCGCTTCTGCCGGAGGTGACACCTTTGGCATGGACAGTGGTGACTTTAATCAAGTGCCTGCCAATGTGTCCTCCATTGCTGATATGTTCGATGTGAAAAATATTGCCTGGGGTGAGTACCAGGAGCACCTACCTTATCCGGGCTACCAGGGGAAAAACTTTTCCAATCAAGAAACGGGTGCCAATGACTACGTCCGAAAGCATAACCCCATGGTCTTGTACGACTCGGTGACTAAGGACGCTACCCGCCTACGTCAGATCAAGAATTTCACCACGTTCTATGATGACCTGAAGAATGAGCGTTTACCTCAATACAGCTTTATCACCCCAAACATGACCAATGACGCCCATGACACCAATATCACCTTTTCTGGCTCTTGGACTTGGGGTTTTCTTTCCGAGCTTCTGGAAAATGAGTACTTCACCAAGGATACGCTTATTCTCCTGACCTTCGACGAGAGTGATACCTATGAGATTGAAAACAGGATCTACAGTTTCTTCCTTGGAGGTGCTGTTCCAGAGAACCTTCGGGGCAAGCAGGATGACACTTTCTACACTCACTACTCCATCATTGCCTCCCTTTCGGCCAACTGGGGTCTCCCATCGCTGGGTCGCTGGGATTGCGGAGCCAACTTGCTCAGCTGGCTGGCCGAGAAGACCGGATACGTCAACTGGGAGGTTGAGACCGGCAATTTACTGCAGAACGAGACATACCCAGGTCCGCTATCATCTGGAGAATACAGCACTTTTGATCCGGAGTGGCCTGTCCCATTGACCAAGGGGAGCTGCTCTGCTGGCCATGGCATTCTGCCCATTGTCCAGCAAACGTGGAAGGGTCTTACTGCCACCTATAACTACACCAGCCCTATCCCGTATGACTCTGTCAGTGGAAACAATGTCGGTGTTAAGTATAGCAGGAAGCTGGTATGTTGCTCCCCTCGCTGACACTTTTGAACTTTCATCTCCTTGCGCACTTTGCTAATGTAATTCTTTTCAATAGAAGAACGGAAAAACCGAGTCTGGTATCACTGAGTAAATACTCCTATGGAAGTTGCGGTCACTTTGTGCATATGGAATATAAATGTCTGATTGACTATATATCATTCTTGCAGCAGGTTGTTAGTGCTGCAATAACTACCAATTCAATGGAAGAGCAATCCTCCGACTAGGCACGACTAGTAGAAATCGTAGACGCATAAGATCAGAGATGCGCGATGACCTTATCTTATCGGAACCCCACAAATTCAGTGGCCCGGCGATTCGTCCGGCGAGTCTGGGCCAATCGTAGGGACTCCACCCACTCCACCTGGTCTTATCTTGGCCACATAAGGTATCACCGTTTCACCGTCTGCTGTTCTTCTCTCCGTTGACTCCTATCCGAGTCATAGTCCACGCGAACCCACCCCTCTCATTTCACCATCATGCCACCCAATAAACGGCTCCGGACAGAGCCGATTGTCCGTGTCAGGACGGGCTGTTACACTTGCAGACGTCGCAAGAAAAAGTGCGACGAAGTTCGACCATCGTGTGGAGGATGCGTGCGGAACAAGCTCAATTGTGAATGGCCGGTCAACATACCCGCCAGTGCGACAAGGCCAAATAGCTCAAATACTTTCAGTCAACAAGCTGTACCGGACCAGCCGGGAAGTCCATGCACAGTACGAACACAGCGTGACTCGTCGGGGTCACCGAGTTCACCATCCGGATCCGCGGTGTCCCCATCCGCGCTGTTGAACGGGTTCGAGGCTGCGGAGGCATTCTCACCACCGATGGATGAACAAGCTCTTCTAGTCCCAATGGGCTATTCTCATGCTACTCCGCGAAGCTCCATCTCGGGGCCGGCCTCGCCCACATCGATGAGCGTTGGGAACTTTATGCCCCGCAGCCTATCTATGCTGCCGGGCTATAGCCCTGAATCCTTTCAGCTGCTGAGCCATTACCTCGCAACAACAGCCGATGTCATGGCCAACGGCTCTACTCCCGTCAACCCTTTTCTGGTTCAGATCGTTCCGCTGGCATTCAGCAGTGATCTGCTTCTGCAACTCGTTCTCACACAGAGTGCGGCACACCGGGCGTTTCGGTGCCGCAACGACGCTGACGAGGTAGCTCAGAGTCATTACACCAAAGCTTTGCAGCTTTTTCGGAAAGGGGTTACCGAGTTTATCGATGGCAAAGAGTCCAACCCGCTAATGCTCACGGTTGGGGCTCTTGTGATGTGTTTCACCGAGGTACTGTTCCCATTACGTAAAGAAAACTAGTAGGCAGCTAACACTGCGATAGACAGCCAAGGGAGACATGAACGGGACGATCTTTGATCATCTATCAGCCGCAAATTCACTGCTAACACGACTCCTGTCTCTAAGCGACGCCGCCGTGCCGAAGGACCTAAAAGACTTTGTTATTGAATATTACACATACACCGCCGCCGTGAGCATGATCTCCATTGATGCGCGGGTCAGCCATCAGTTGCTTCTCAACTTCGACTTGGAACAGAAAGCTCGTCAGCTCCTTGAGTCGGAGTATGTGGGAAATCTCTGCGGCTGCTGGCTCGAGTTACTGCTCATGATCCCGTGCATCTTCGATCTGGGCCGCCAGTGGATGATGCTCGACGGCCAACCGACCATGCCAACAGCCGATGACATTGCCATGTTTGGGTCCTTGCAGTCCCAGATTATGCGATGGAGTCCATTTTCCTTCGTGACTCCTGAGGTCTTTTTGGCCGGTCGGGTCTTCCAACAGGCCATGTTGCTCTATCTATATACCTCTCTAGGGTCATTCTCCCGAACAGAGGATGGCATGCATCAGGGTTTGATCAACACGGCGATTACGGAGGCAATGTCTTATCTGAACCAGCTATCGGCGACTGCTCGCATCAACTCCGGTCTCTGCTGGCCGATCGCGGTGGTTGGATCCTGCTTATATGACATAGAACAGCAGGATCAACTACGACAACGGCTGACTACAATGGTAAGCACATTCGGTCTTGGAAACATGCAACGGACACTTCTACTGCTGGAAAACATGTGGCAAATGCCTCTCGACGAGGCAGGCCCGTGGAATATTTGCCGGGCAATGCAGCAACATCAAATCTGGATCTCGTTCGCATGAGGGTTGATTAAAAGGCTCTATTCATACAATACATCATGATTCATGAACTCCCGACCAAAGAAAGGTCTCTCTCCGTTTCCATCTATTGGCCCAGGTTCTTGGGAGCCTCAGTGGCAGGGCCCTCCGGAGTCACATAAGCCTTCGTCAGACCACCATCGACGACAAAGTCCGCGGCGTTCACGAAGCTGCTCTCATCGCTCGCCAGGAAGATGACCGCATGGGCCTGTTCAATAGCTTCACCGAAACGGCCACTAGGGAAGTGAACCTCGCGACGGAAACGCTTCTCCTTATCATCACCCAGCCAGTCTTGCAAAAGTGGCGTACTAAACGCTGTTAGCTCAAACTCACACAGCGCAAAGCAGGAGGAACATACTTAAGCGGAGCAGGGCACAAAGAGTTAAAGCGGAAGCCCTCCCGGGCGTGCACAATAGCCAACTCTCTAGTCATCGCCAACACGGCACCCTTACTAGCAGTATATGCCAGCTGAGGAGTCGCAGCACCCACAAGCGCAACCATGCTCGCCGTGTTGATCACGCTACCCTTCTTCTTACCGTGCTTCCGGAGGCTCTTCACCGCATGCTTGCTTCCGTACCACACACCCTTGACATTGATGTTCATCGTCATGTCCCAGATCGCCTCAGGTGTCTCCTCGGAGTCCCCATCCTTGGGGTGCATGATTCCGGCATTGTTGAACATCACGTCCAGGCCGCCCCAGGCGTCGAGATGTGCCACTGCCGCCTCGACTTCGGATTCCTTCGAGACGTCGACCACGCGGTACTCAACCTTGCCGTCGCGCTGGGGGACCACCTCGTTTACTTTCGCGAGGGCCTTCTCGAGGCCCGGTCCGCTGATATCGGTCATGAGGACGGAGGCACCTTCACGGAGCATGAGGATCGTGGTTTCGAGACCGATGCCTCTGCAGAGCATTCCTAATCAGCAATGACCGTGTCTATTTCACAGCAATTGTACCTACCCAGCAGCACCGGTAACGATGGCATTCTTTCCAGCTAATCTTCCAACCATTGTGTTTTCTTTGGATGTATAATTCGTTGAAAAGTAGATAATAAAAGCTTCTCAATTCAAGGAACAATGTAAACAGTTAATAGACAGTTACTTGACACAAAAAGCACAGAAAACCCCTTTTATAAGTTCACCCCGCATCTCGACGATACCCAGCAATGCGGTGAGCAGCACAAAGTCCGCTCCACACCGCGGTTACCTATCGACATTCCATTACCTACCATAGAAAACGATCCACAACAAGCTAATTCCTCATTGCCTCGGTTGCGATAAGGCAGTGATAAGCGTGGGGCTGTTGCTGCCCCTCGCGCGGTCCCGGACCGCGCTCAAGCACATTACTGGATTCGGTTTAGATTGCATTCCTGAGCAGAGCCCATTGTTGAGGATGCTCCTGCGGCACGTCGCATCGCATGCGACGGGTGCTTATTGGTGCGCATTATGGCTTTTTCTTCTGCGCGGAGCTGGAAATCTAGGGGCGCATGGAGTGCAGCTGCTTGGTAGCTCGGATCTAGACCACCGTTCCTAATATTATTAAGCAGTGTTTTCATGGCTGCCCCAGAAAACAGAGCAGAGCTCATAGTCGGTACAATCCCATCTGCGAGAATGCAGCGGCCGTGATGATACTTCTGGGCTGGGGTACAGTGGGGATTCACACATGTACACTTATGCTTGTCAAACTGCTAGCCGGGATGGCAGACAGGGTCGGCATCTTTTATATTTTTAATATTTTTCCTGTTAGACTGTATATTATGGACACAATCACCGCTGTTAAAGATATCTTGGTCACGCTGGATAGTTTTGTTCATACTATATATATTATCATTTCAAACCGTTCCTGGAGGATAGATCAAAGGGCTTAGTTCGATACACTTGCTATCAGGAGAAGCTGTATCTAAGGGGTATCAAGATTTCCCGGGTCTAATACACTCAGTACTGTCCCAGCTAGGTAGACCCGGATATAATTTACTGTTTTTATCAATTATATTTTTTATATACTGAGTACTGTCTCAAGTATAACCGGGGGAACACTCCAGACTTTTCAAAGCAATATATTGATCTTGTTCTAGGAATGTACTGGGGTCTTGATATTTAGGCCTTTTATTAGAGATGCGGTGCAGTGGTAGTTGACCAGATTAGTATTCGGGAGATAGGTTCGACTACTACCTAGTACCAGTATACCTGCAGAGTGGCCTATTAATCACAGTGTTTTCTCTGTATATTACTATCTGGCGATAGTTATAAATAAATCTATCCGGACTCAATTTACCGCTGCCTATGTGGCAACTCGATTGGAAATTCTAGATTTTTTGCAGGGTACTGTCGGGAATAGCTTCTTCTGAATGATTTTTGTCCGCGTTGGACTTATCTACTACCATTCTAGGCCATATCACTTGGACAGCAGCAGTCAGTTCACCGGCTTGGTGTCCAAAGGGCAGTTGGCCTGCAATACAGTCCCCAGCCGCCGTATCCCAATCACTTCCAAGGGGAGTATTCAGAACTGTCTTCCAAAATTACTTTCGTTATATTGCGGCTATTTATTGCTATACCGATCCATTCAACATAGATCTCGGCCTGCAATCAGGATCAGTGTTCCTGATATAAACCAGATCTCGACAGCGGTATAGAGACAAGGCACACTGGAGCGGAATATAGGCACACAAGCCTGGTCATTCCACTTTCTCTGATAGTAATTAGGCGTTCGTGGAGATATATAATCTATTGAAATATGCAGTCTCGGGGGTTGAGAAGATGGGAATCCCTAACATGCAGCTGATACCATCGAAATGAGTATCTTTGGGACAACACTTTATCCAGTTCGAAGAGGGATCCTCCGATAAGACGATGTCGTCAAGAGTAAAATAATAGAATTAGCCGAGGACTTATTGTTCCGTAAGAGGTATAGGAATTAGGCGAGCATCACCTTTAGCTTCGCTGTAGTGATGGAAGAAAAACAGTATATACAAATAAATTCGGACCGGGCTCTTGACCGAGACTGCGGATCTTGTGGTAAGCATGAACATTATTGAAACTTTGCTAGCCACAAGGCGCTCTCAATCGTATCCAGCATCAGCCGGAAAAGCCATGATATCATGCAGAAAACTGCCATAAGAAATGGGGTGCAAACGGAAGTACAGTATTGCCCTCGTCCATGTTGAATGACAAAATGCGACGGTACAAATCGACCATTTACTCGATTGACACCTGGCCAACAAAGATTTCGGTAGAATAGCCTTGGAAATTGCCCCATATATGTCATGTTTGGAAAGAGTGCAGAGCGCTGGCCCTTGGGCCCCCCCCTGCCTCTGCCTGAGTAACCAAGCATTCCCACTGCTGGACGGTGGTGGGTCCGGTGTTGCGTTGCAGAGTAGTATAGACACCCTAATCGTTGCAGATGATGGTACATCCGAGTCGGAATGAGATCATGTCTCGGATGTCTTCAGGAGGTCATCAGTCTGAGAACGGACAACGGTAATATTGAGCGATTGTGCGGTGGATATCCGCAGCCGGTGACTTCCAGCTGCAGCAAAACCTGCTAACTAACGTTCTTGACCCTTTTGACTATGTCCGGTGGGCCGGAACCCTTACGCCGTGTTTGAATCCGAAGATTCAGAGCTGGTTAAACCATTATTCTTTCTACCATGATTGCTGCTCTAATAGCATACAAATCTGCTGTAGAATTGGCCCTTTATTCTCCTAGCTCTTTTGTAGCGGCCATCTGGATGTGTGGTGGGTTTCCGATAACTGTCATGTCTGTATAGGTTACATTGCTGTGGCACGGCGATCATACTCAAAACCGTATGTAGTGGCCGAGCGGGCCGAAGGACAGTTCCGCTGCCCACCACCAGAAAGTATATTGATGGAACATGACAGCCAGCCCAGGAAGTGTTTGGTATGCACCGAGTGGAGCAAAGGACACTCCCTTCAGCTTGCCATCCCTGCTTGGATGAACCGGCCGCGGCCTTCGTCCACCAGTCGACGGGTTGTGATCTCCCGGAATGTAACATGCCGAGGGTACTTTGGCCCTGTTCTTGCTGTCAACGTCAACTGGACTCCTGGAGGAATGTGAAAGTGGGTGCATTCTGCTCTTTCCGGCAGCGCCCGTATCGGCCCGCTGATTCGAGGGAACTGAGCAATGACAATACGATCTACGGGTCAAAGGAGAAAATGAAACAGAAGACGAGGCGACACAATGTATTCAAGTAAATTCCGATTCATGACATATGGCCTTTGAAGATCCCAACAGACAACCCATTCGCCCCGAAAATGGCCTAAGCGCACACACGAGGTCCATAGATCACCCCAAACTTGCCAGTCAGATATGCGTTTACATTGAAGAGCCTATACATCCTACCATGGTCGGCTTGAAACCCTACAATGGACCAGCCTTTCGGCGCACTGAACGTTTTCGTCTCCCCACGTCTGTTACCAACCTCGAATATTCTTCCCTTCGCGGTTTCCAGACGCACATAGGAGATAAAGCCGTAGCTTATATCCCTGGAAAATGTCGCACTTTGGAGGAAGTCGTTCTCATCATCCATGTGAAAATCACTCGAGGTGCTCCAGTGGTAGCCGGATCCTGCATTGTGCGAAGATCTATTTTGATAGGTGAGCTGGAGAGCCTGGATCGACGACAAGGTGCTGTGAGTATAGCGCTTCACGGAGATAAGTGTCAGCCGCGTAAGGCGGCGAGGGTCATCAGGAAGACTCCAGAAAGACCCGTTAAGAGTGCCCCCCCAGTTGTAGGACGCTGGAGTCGAGCTGAATAAAGTACTGGCTATGTAGGCGATTCCACTCTCGGTCATTTGGCTATGATAGAGCCTGTGACATTGTCCGAGGGGTCTTTGGTTAGTGTGCACTGGCATCATATACGGAGCTAGAAGCATAGAGGATCAAGATAAAGGACTAAAGGTCGGTGTGGGAACCTTCAGCTGGGATAGAGTTTATATTAACTCAATCCTCTGTGTTTCTCTGGTTTGACAGCAGTGATGACCACGCTAGATCGAAGAAGAACGATGAAGAAATAGAAATTGAAGAGATCCCCATGCTCTATTTGAACCTTTCCCAGGAATTTCAGCAGCTTTGAGTACTTTCTCCACATGTTATAGTGCAGCATATATCACTATCAATACTGAACACTAATTGCCCACTAGACAAAGTCCAGCAAATAGTCAATCAGAGCCTCTATTCCTGCAGTCATGACATCACCTTCAATATAAAGATTGAGGACCGAACTAAGATCTCCGGAGCCACTGCAAGTGCCGATAAAGTCGGCGAGCTACCGAACCGAGTCCACCGGCACAGCCACTGAGACAAGTCTCTGGCAGTAACAGGCACCCATCATTAGGTAGCTGAGGTTTGAACGTTCAAGAGATAAATATCAATCCATAGCTGCCTTGTGGGCCAGCAATGACGCGTCGCGCGTGTCGATCGATCAAATTCGGCGGTGTTGTGGCGGTGCGCTGGCGGGAGCTGCCACTGATATGCTGACGTAACGCAAGGCCTCACGAACTATAAAAAAAATAGTTATCCTAATTCGGATTGAGCTGAGGATCTTTCTTCAGTTCTCATTCAAGTCCATCGTGGGTTTTCTGAACAATGAATTTATGCGATGTCTGCCAAACCATTGATATCCGAGACCTCTTGCAGGGTTTCCACAACTCCAAAGCCTTCTCGGTGAACGTCTCAACCAGCCCAGACCCATATCTCTCCTCCACTGCGCACTTCCAGGCTCATCACACCAGCGTCACGGCTCTTGAAAATGCCGTTGAAGCTGGCTGTGAATTGTGTGACATGATCTGGGCAGATTTCAGAATACGATCCTGCGACCATTCACCTTATGGTGGCGATAAATGCCTGTGTCAGAAATATCAAGGGCCGTTTCGCTTGGCCATCTACCAAGGGGTCTATGATTCTTACGCCCAGTTGATGGTTGTAGCCATGTCAGACAATGATAAACATGGGCGCCCGGACGGAACGTGGGTTGCGCAGTTGGATATATGTATTGCAAAGGGTAGGTACCTACTCGATGGCTGCGAGACTTCGTAGTACTAATGTTGAATAGGGGCAGAGATCCCGGAAGGGGACACACATCTCCTTGAACGTCTGGCCCTGAATGAAACGCCCGCAGATCTGCGCTCAGAGACGTGTCTCACCCTGGCGGCCGACTGGCTGGCTAAGTGCTCACGGGAGCACATAGAGTGCGGTACAGACAAAGACCAACCAGCCCTTCTTCCCACACGCGTCATTGACGTCGGCAACTCACTCACACCACCTCATTTACATGTCAGCGAGGACGGCGAAACTGAGAAATGGGTGGCACTGAGCTATTGCGGCGGCAAGGACTCAGACTTCACTCTCAACGCTTCATCTTTTAATAATCTTCGCAGCGGACAGCCTCTGTCGGACTTCCCGCCTAGTCTACGGGATGCTGTCCTCGTGACAAGAGCACTAGGAGTTCGTTACTTATGGGTCGACTCCCTCTGCATTTTTCAAGATGATCCCAACGATTTGGCGGTCGAAGCTTCGAAAACGAGCCGCGCTTTTAGCAATGCAGTAGTCACTATTGCCGCTACGAGTGCGGAAACGGTGAACGACGGGTTTCTGGATAAACGGGAACCGCATTATAACTGCTACTTCCCTTGGCGTCGGTACGATCACCCCGATAGCGTCAAAACATACCCAGTCATCTTTCGAAGCAGCAAAAGTCCGATCAACAAGGACCGGCCGAGGGATTCGCGTTGGGCCACGAGCGGCTGGACGCTCCAGGAGGAGCTCCTGTCGAAACGACTCTTGTATTATACAAAAAGAGAGATGATCTGGGAATGCCGCGCTGGGACAGCTACTGAGCCAGCAGAGGAACCCACACCCAATTCCACCTTGTTCTCAAAAGTAAAACACCTCCCAGCGGGCTCAGGTAAACTCGAAGATTCCACAAAGTCTGTGGCAGCTACGCACAAAGTTTGGTACGAGCTGCTGCGAGAATATGCAAGACGGCATCTCACATCCGACAATGACCATTTGCTGGCGATCGGTGCAATAGCCGAGTCCTTCCACACTCAGTTGAAAGAACAGTATTGCGCAGGTTTGTGGAGGGGCGATCTCCTATTTGGCTTGCTATGGAGCCTTCACTGTAGCAGTGGTGGCTCAGGACCGCCTGGTAAAATTCTTCGACGCGCCATGCTTCGATTCTTTGGCTACGATGACAAACATCCTAGACTACCTGCTAGGACAATACCGACTGGTGTTTCCAAAAATCACGGGCCGTCGTGGAGCTGGGTAGGAGCTGACACGTTTGACGGTTTAACCTGGCCCTCGCAGAGTACTGATACCCTCGACTACCTGGCAAAGGTCGTTGGTGTTGAGGTTCGCGACAAGCTTCACGGCGACTTTGGTCCCGTTGAAGACGCGGTACTAACATTGGATGCACCGTATCGACACCTCTATTTGAGACTCGGTGGCTATTCGAAGTCCCTGTGGAATCCTATGAATGTGGTACGGAGGGTCCTGACACGACTCAGTCCGTTGCCAAGGACGAGGAAGTTAGCACAGGTCGCCCTGATGAGGCCTGACTACCTCGCATCGACGACGACCGGCGGCTCTGTCAATGTTTCAAGCAGCAGCACGGAGTTCACACTAGTCCAACTCGCCAAAACGAATACAGGGACTCAGCCAGTGCTCTATCTACTCCTTTTACAGCGACAGACGAGAGAAAAAGCCAACAGTGGGGGGCCACAACGTTATCGCAGAGTTGGGTTGCTGCGGCTTATGCCTTATAAGCACGACAATGATAACTACATAGGGGAAGATATGACGGATCTCCTAGAGGGTGCGGCGTATCGTGAAGTGACCAAAAAGGAATGGCCTGTTGGGACCTTTATAATTGACTGAGTGTGATGAGGACTGATATTTCGTGCCAAAATTCATCCCACAAGTTTTCATTTCTCTTACTTTCTGCTGGGCTGTGTTTCGAGTCATCATCTAGTATACCCACATTATATAAAACTGCAGCCTATGTTCTTCTATTCCCTTATCCAAGATTATTCAAAGAGCTTCACGTAGATTCTAAGGAGCCCAGTGTTGTCTACTACCTAAGTAATGAAAACTGCAGGGTTCGATTTACTCGTACTATAATACACTAGCAGGGCTTGTTCAATTCAACGGCCTCAAATAACCCTATGGCCTTACGGACCAAGTCGAGCCGATTTCCTTCTTCTGATATATTCTTGTGTCATATTAGATCTCTTTTGCCTGAAAGACAGTGATTGTTTAGACACTAAATTATTATAGGAAACTGTTTAACAAGAGATTGTAACTATTTCACCCTGAAGTGTATATAATCAATTTATCATATCAGAAATCACAACATATACAGGTCTTATTTCTATCAAGCTTATATCCAGATTGCGTAGTATACTGATATCTCTCAGCAAAGTCATAAGCCCCATCTTAATATTTTCAATGCCCAGCAGCTTGATCCATTACGGAGAGAGCAGTCAGACACATTTCTTTCGTTATCTGTTCTGATTCTGGGTATTCAGCGAGTTGTGCAAGTCTCGTCCTCCAGAATTCCCATCGTGGCATGCAATAACCTGGATCTCCTTTCCAGAGCTGCCCGCGGACTTCACTATCACGGCATTCCCCTGCTTGACTGGCTTTGTAGATCTTGGAACCGCATAACTTAAACCATTTCGCGGCAGCAGGGACCAGGCTCATGACGGAAGCTTGAGCTTTCCCCTCATCACTTTCCAAACACAGCGAGATGGTGACCAGAGCACGGGATAGACCATCGAGGAGCTCCCCATTGTCTAGATAAATCATGAGTCCATTCAAGTTGATCCAGCGGCATAACCGTTCATCGTCCGGTCCGGATTCGCGGGGGTTGAAACCTATACCGGTCAGCCCGTTCTTTCACGATATGGGAGTAAGGGCGAATGAGAATGGGGAAAGCGTACTGTTCCATTCTTCAGACAGATACATGGAGAAGTGAGGCAGATCTCGCCAAGCAGGAGTGCCGTCTCCCAGCACAACATTGGCTGGAAGTTGGCGAAGGGCTTTGAGAAGGTTGACAAAGCGCTGCATAGGAATCTCCTCATGGTCGAGCTGACAGGCGACTTTGATCATCAAGTCCCAGAACTCAAAGAGAAAACTCTCGGGGCTTTCTTTATCGGATCCTTCGGGGCGATTGGCTGGAAAAAGGCGGTTGATTTGTTCTGCTGCTTGGCCTGCTGTCATGTCCGAAACTGGTGGAAGATAGGTGGTGAGAATCTCGAAAAGCTTGTCTTCGACATCCCATTCTCCTGGTACTCCTTCCCGTTGGAGATTAAGTGGGTTTTCTGGGTTCATTCTGATCGCTGGTAGGATTTTCTGGAGATGGGTTATGTGCGCGAGTCGATTATAGAATCGAGGACAGTGTTCAACTATATATACGTAGAGCGAGCCACCCCACTCGCTCTAATACACTAGTATTTTACGGTTAAATACAGTTGTTCTAGATAGAATAGGCTTTCCAAGGAATAGATTAACTACAGTGCTAACTAATTTAGTCCTCCCGAATTTCATATGCTCAAACCCTATTAAGCAACCCCCACTCCATTCTGCAACCCTAGGTAGTCTAGATATAATTTAGAATACAGCTCAGCCACAACACATGCAAATAGTACAGACTAATCCAATGACTTCCCCAGTGCCTAGTGTCACATAATCCACCCTACTTGCACTCGGCGAAGAATCTATCCTCCTTGGTCTTCGCGGTAGTATATTTCTTATGGCACATCACTCCGCAGAGGTCTCCGCCATTCTTCCGGGTGACGATTCGGCAAGCACCTGGCTCGGGCCTGGGCTTGGCTTGCTTGTAGTTGTAAACTTCCTTCTTTGCCTTTCCCTTGGCATCAAGCATGATGGGGAACTCAAGGAGCTTGGGCTGAGCACCACCCGCCGGGTTGCAACGTGGGTTGCCCCATGTAATACCATCCAAGTTCATGAATTCATGGGGGTATTTCCAAGTGGCGGGGTGTGGAACGAGCGGATAGAGCCAGTCGCGAACAGCAGGGGAGATTAAAACTGATTTGCCGTCCACAGTGCACTTAAGATCCTGAGGCAAGTTATTAATATGCTGTTCATGCAACAGGTTAGAGATAGTAGTTACATACTGCGGCACGCTCTTCATGAGTAATCTCCACTGGGTTGGCAAGAGCGACTCCAGCGAGGAGCGCAAAGAGGGCGTGAGCTTTGATAAGGACCATTGTGGAAGGACAATTTCAGACAATAGTAGTAAGGGAGTATCTGAGGAATGAAGGCTGTTCATCCATGACTTCCTGCGTCCTCTGGCCTGTATTTATAGCCATTGCGGATGTCAAACATGCAACTCCCTAAATCGCTGTAGTGATATTAATTCGTGCTATATTGGTCGTGGGCGAAGCATATCATCATGGCTGGAATCTGCAGCTGCATGGTATGTTACAATCGCGGCACGTTTCTTACACTTTGGCCCATATACTCGACCCGCCGGTCATCTTTTGGGCCAATTGATCATCCCTCGTATGATCGTTGCTTTTGGCAGGATTCATGGCACTCCTTTCGACTGGGGTAATACCACCACGGGTGCCTGCAGTGGAGTTTGCTTCTCTGAAAATCGCATCTTGTTTTGGGAGGTTACATTCCTATACATGGTTCTAAAACAACGGATAGACAGGGACAGTACGTCGGCTGCTGCCGATGCTTCGGTTGGTTGCCGATTTATAGGGTTAGCGGCAGCTTGTGCATAGCGTCGGCTTTGCCGATACAGTATTCTAGTGAGGTGGAACAACAGATAGAGTTCTAGAAGGATTTACTTTGGCCCCCAGTTGGGGGATTGTCTCTACCGACAAGACAACAATTATACGTACAGCCGTAAGCAGAGGTAGTAGTAGGCTATTGTTGGTATTTGATAATTGAGTATCTACTGCTAAAGATAGATAGAAGTTAAGATAGAAGGTAGAGGGGTTATCCAGTTATTATCATGTGGTACATATGCAGTATGAATTCATAGTAATAGCTATACGTGTACTTGCTGCGGGATGGATGCGTTCAGCTGAAATTGCATGCAAATCTGCAATACGAGGCAGGATCAGATCCTTGTTAATACTTTGAAACTGTCTACAGACTCTCCCGGTATCGTAGCAGATCATCCCGTTATTGAGGCCCGGCCCAAGCCTCTCATCCTGGGTGTCTCCAGGTTTTCCCCTGAATCATACGTCAGCGCCATTCAGCTAGAACAACCTCAGCTAGAATGATATTTCTTTCGTTTCCTAGATAACTAGAATACCAGTAGGGTTGGTTTCAGGTTCTCAGGGTGAGTGAGATAGTTGGTCCCCGTCCCTTTGTACTCTGACACACGCGTCCATCATCTCGGGCTAGATAGATATGCTCGCCAATTCCTTATAACTTAGACGTTACTGCCATTATATGCCACAGTTATAGAGATGAATTCCTTCTGTCGTCCTTGCCGAGGTCTCTCTTAACTAACCGAGCGTGTCTTGCAAAGACGGCCTAGAAGTCAGATCTACAACATATCAGGGCAAGCCATGGCTGCATTTAGACATTTTACTACACTTGTTGACTCTTTCGGCTAGCGGATTCATTCACATTGCTAATGTACCTAGCCTTGAATTCCATACTTTCTCTACTCAGTTTACTTAATCTATGTAATCTGCTTGAACTGTTTGTATGTAACAATTTCTATACTCGACATGATGTACTTAGAGTCTAGATATGGTAGACCAGAATAGCTTGCAGATTCAATAGTGAATCTCCGGTTCTCTACTACTTAATAAAGAAGATATTAAAATTAGTGGCTATGAGATAGTAAGACTACCTACCAAGAACATAGGAAAATCAATGCAGAGAAGTATTATAGATTTTAAAGTATATACTTCTTCAATACCCGTTATATATAAACTGGCGAAGGGGGCTACTGAATAAGGTTGAAGACCACAAGATGCTATCACGGCCTGGTGAGGGTACTGGTGTAACCCGCCAGACACAGCTTATAGATCTAAGTTATTTATTTTAGGATCCGTCTGGCAGACGCTAAGTCGACTGAAAGAGGATTAGAATGAAAAAGAATTCCTATTGATTGGTACCTGTTACGTTCAGATAGCGTCTCAGTAGCGTGCGGCTTCAAATACGCCTCATAGACTCGAGTCTTAACGACCATGTCTAGCCACGTTTCTTCTGTTAATGGCACCATGCTTTATACCAGATTCGCATACTCTATTGTATCCTTTCATGACGTAAGCCAGCAGCTAGCCAAATACCATAAGGACAGGGTGGTCACTAGTATACCTCTTATATATTCCTAATATAGACCACCCACAGAAGGTCCCATATCTAGATAGGTCAACACAACCTTGAGTACCACCATGAGCGAAACACTACTTTCCATCCTGACAGGAGAAATTTGGTCCTGGGACCCAGATGAATTCAATCAAATCATATTCAACAAAGACGGCACAGGCATAGTACGTCCAAGCTGCATACTCCTAACCTCCCAAACCAACTTTCCACAATGGCTAAAAACCACAAACCCAACAGCTAATCTGCCGCCTCGAGCTAGTCGTCTGGATCGCCGCAGAGTTCGAGTGGAAGCCCAAAAACCCAGAACACCTCAATCAGCCCATCGACCTACCCGTAAACCCCACCCAAACGCCCGTCTCTTCTCACCCAATTTAACATCGAGATGACGCTCACCACACGCCGTCCTACTACACTGGGAGATTCGATCAACCGTCGCGTCATAAATGAACAGCTCCTGACGGATGCGGCGTTCCTGCCGAAGGAATACACAGTCACATTGGAGGCTGGGCGATTTCTATGCGCGTCAGATGTTGGAGGTGGATATAGTGATTCGCCACGGTACGGGGCTCGTTTGTCCTTTGATAAGTCGCCGTATCCGCCGCGGGAGGAGTGGAAGGAAACGGGTGGCGGTGTGGGTGCTAATAGGTTCTGGGAGTGGAGGGAGTTTTGCTCAAGGAGAGTTCCTGAGAAGACGGGGTTGTTTTCGTGGATTTTGGGGAGTTTGGAGAGTTGAGAAGGTTGTATGTTGTGGTTGATGTGAGATTGGACGGCGGTTCTAGTTGCTTGGTGGGCTCTGTTTGGTTGGTCCTTGTATTGATATGGGCTTTCGATTGTCTAATGCTTTTAGTCTTGTTATGAGTGGGTTACGATTAGTTAATATTGTTGATTCTTAGAGACGCAATACGATAGATGTATCTTAGGGAAAGGGTATGCAGAACGATGTATGGCAAAGGCCTTTGCATGTAATGTCGGAAGGCTACGTGGATATTGATGCTCAGGATGACTTCTTTATATACGTATTATTCCGTCGTAATAACTAAGACTGCTCCTCCTTGATATGGAAGCTCTTCAACTTATAAAATCCATCAAACGCGTGTGGTCCCAACGTGCATCCAAGGCCGGAGTTCTTCCATCCAATCCAGGCCAGATCCTAAAATCAATTTCATCAGTATAGAAGCTTCCAAGTGGCATAACGACATATAAAGCAAAACGTACCGGACTCGGGTAATCACAGCGGTTGATATACACAGTACCCGCATCGATCTTCTCAATCAAAGCCTCTCCCGCCTTGATATTCTTCGTCCATACACTAGCAGTAAGACCGTAGTCACTGTCGTTCATGAGCGCAACGGCCTCCTCATCAGAAGAAACTTTCATGACAGGGATGACAGGACCGAAGGTCTCTTCGCGCATGGTGACCATATCATGTGTGACGTTAGTAAGGAGCTTAGGAGCAATATAGTTCCCTTCAGCGGGCAAAGACGTAAATGTGGCATTGGCAGGTGTGGAGTCAATAGCCCCTTTGGATAGTGCATCGTCGATGTGGGACTGGATATTCTTCAGAGACTGCTTGGAGATCACAGGCCCGGTTGTGGTGTTTTTGTCAGTGGGGTCACCGAGCTTATATCTATTTCCTGTTAGTCTCTCATGACATGTTTTGAGATAGACTAACAGGAGCTCTACTCACGTGCTCAGTTCCTTCTGTGCTTCGGTAATGAAGCTGTCGTAGACATCTGCGTGAACGTAAACACGTTCAATCGAGCAACAGCTCTGTCCTGAGTTGAAGACGGCCCCGTCGACAACCTGTGCGGCGACGTAGGCTATATCCGCATCTGGTCGGACGTATGCTGGGTCATTACCTCCTAGTTCGAGATTCACAGGGACGACACGGCGCGCCGTTGCTTCACGCAGGCGGATGCCACCAGCCGTAGAGCCGGTGAAGGAAACGAGCTTGATCTGGGGAAGCTTGACTATTTCGTCAAGGACGTCGAGGGAGCCGACGTGGAGGAGTTGGAGGACGTTAGTGGGTAGCCCAGCTTCCTGGAAGTATGATACGAGCCGTTCACCGAGGAGGGGAGTTTGGGGAGATGTGCGGAGAAGAACCGTGTTTCCGGCGAGGAGAGCCGGCAGAAGAGTGTTCACTGTGATCAGATACGGGTACTATAGATGGTTAGGTCGTGGCCAGATGCTGAATGTAGTCCAGGACATGTTGCCTTACATTCCACGCAGTTGAAATCAACGTGACGCCAAGGGGTTCCTTCTTCAGGAACCGTCTGAAACCGCTCTCTGCCTGTCCAGGAAGATTCTTCAGGCTGTCATCTGCAATACTGAGGAGGTAATCTGCGCGTTTGCGCATGGTGTCAATCTCCTTTGTGCAGTAGGCGATAGGGCGGCCCATTTGAGCCGTGAGCTCATTGGCAAGTGTTTCTTTGTTGGCATCCACTATGTTCAATGCCTTGATAATGATCGCCTTCCGCTCAGCAAGAGAGAGCTGCTTGTAGGACTGGAAGGCATTGTCCGAGGCTTGTGCAATAGCCCGAGCTTCGTCGAGGGAAGTCCCCGGGTGCTCGAAAATGACTTTGTTTGTGGCAGGGGAGAGTGTGCGAATTTGGTTTGCCATCTTGGGTGTTGTATGTGTGTTTCGAGATACGTGAGGAGATTGTGTTGCGAAGAGGTTTGTCGGCTACGCAGCTCAGATATAGGTAGAACGTTATCGATAACAGCGCGCTCCGATACCAGACAGCGCAAAGTGGGTGGGCGCGGTAATTCTCCATGGTGGATCCGACGGAATCTCTAGTCTGAGTCTGCACAGTTCACTTGAATTCCCCAGGATTCTGGTGGTCTCTTGCACATCTTGTACCCGTTATACTCGTAGATTTATGATAGACAGCTATATCAAGTTCACAATATTTGTCAAAAATTATATTTTACGACGTATCTCTATCTAAGTGCCACACCAATTACCAATGGCGCACCGTGTATTATTCACCCAACAATAAGTTTACAAGCAACCCTCGCAATAAGCTCACCATCGTGCTGGTTCCCGACTCTCGATAATCCATCTTTAGCGAGCTCGTCATCGAAGCGTCCTATCGCGTGTCGAAGCTTGATCAACTCCGTCGTCACAAACTCATCATACTCCGGATGACCTTGTAGAGTCAGAACACGCTGTGGCATATATAGCCCCTGAACCTTGCATCGTGGGCTAGACCCAAGATTGACGAATCCTGGCGGAACGTCGTACACAATATCCGTGTGCATTTGATGTATATTCTAATTCGGTCAGCTAGGAACTAAGAACCCCCCAAATAGCTTACCAATGACTCCTTTGAGAACAGCTGCTTCCCAGTATCACTTAATTGGAATGGTTCGACCGAGACCTCCCAGCCCTCATCGTTCCGGGCGACGCGTGCCCCGAGAGCACGCGCGAGAATCTGGTGTCCAAAACATATACCGATAATGGGCTTCTTGTGCTGCTCGTGTATGTCATGGACGTATTTCGTCAACTCATTCATCCATGGTACGTCTGCATACGCATCGTGTTCTGGACCTGTTAGAAAACCCTTGTGTTTAGCTGGGAAGACGTACTGCTGCCGGTCATCAACAGTGCGTCGAAGTCCTCCAGCTTGGGATATACAGATTGGTTCACTACATCCCAATTGGTTGTTTGAATCTCGGTATCAGTGACTCCAAGCCCTTGGAGCCCTTTGTTCAACCAACGGTTGAAAATCGCGCCGTAGGTCCCATAGCGATCAAGGACGGGGTCGATGGGAGTGTCAGTCTCCAGGATAGCAACTCGGATGATACGTGTCATGATGGCTTAACTAATGGATAGAAGTAATTCATTGTAAGTCTGGATATCGGCAGCGCATACAATTATACGTGAGAACAGTTGTAACAGGAATAAACACGAACCCTCATCTATCCATGAGTAAGCTGCCATTTAGGGTAAGTGGGGCGTTAGCTTTATCGATAAGCGCGGTCTTTTTTCCCCCGCAGCGCGGTCCGCGGTAACCATTCCGCAGTCCACATTCTCCAACGGCGGCGCGGTTAATATCGCACCGATTACTCTCCTACAAGACAGCACAATGAAGAAGGTGGACATTGACGTAGCGTCGGTGCGGTGGATTACGCCATGAGAGCTAAGCCGTCGCATCAAGGCTCGGTGGCTCCGCAGTCCTCTCCGGAATTCTTAAAAGCTCTGCCTCGGCCAACTTCTTTTTCAGATCCAATCTGTGAAGCAAACTAACAATCAGAAACAATGGCCTCAAACGTCACATTAGAAAATCTCTCCAGTCTCCTGGCAGATGATATCAAAGTCAAAGTCGCTGGCATTGACTGCGATGGCATCCTCCGCGGCAAAGTCATGTCCAAGGAGAAATTCCTGGGCATTGCGGAAAAAGGATTCGGGTTCAGCTCTGCAGTTTTCGGCTGGGACATGCAGGATGTCCTCTACACCACCGATGCGAACGTCGCGCCCAAGGACTCTGGGTATGTGGACTTTATCGCGGTCCCCGATTTGAGCACATTCAGGAGAATACCATGGGAGGATGACATCCCCTTTTTCTTGGTGCGGTTTATTCAGAACGGCCAGACTATCTCTGCAGATGGCCGGAATATGCTCAAATCGATATGCGATAAGCTCGCAGCAGAGAATTGCAAAGGAATGGCAGGTGGTAAGCGTCTTGTCGCTGCTCGTATCGCCTCGTTTATATCTAACAAGAGTAGTGGAATTGGAGTTCATGAATTTCCAAACCCCTTCAGAAGACGGATACAGCAGTGGCTCGCAAACCCAGAACATCGCAGCCTTCCTCGAAAAGAACACCCCTGGATCTCTGCGCCCTATAACTGCAGGCAGTTTCTCCTACAGCGCAACTCGACCAGTGGCGTTTAAAAAATACTTTTACGACATATTCAATACCTGTGCACAAATAAACTGTGGAATCGAGGGCTGGCATACCGAGGGAGGACCAGGCGTATACGAAGCAGTGAGTTACCTTGACTAGCACTAAACGAATGTGTCGCTTATTTGACAGGCCCTCAAAGTATGCGATGTTCGCGAAATGGCCGACAGAACATCTTTGTTCAAGTATGCATCCCTTCCCTAGTACTCCGGTATAAGCTAACAACCAAAGGCTCGTGGCAAAGTCAATAGGCATCGAGCACGGCATCACGCCCTGTTTCATGGCCAAGCCGATCCAAGGTCAACCAGGCAGCTCCGGCCACATCCACGTTTCGCTTTGCGATCTTGACGGCAAGAACCTATTTGCTCGAGAGACTCCGGACGACAACGCGCCATGGCCTGATGCTGTCGGGCTGTCGGATCTGGGCCGCCAATTCCTCGCTGGTATTCTGGAGGCGCTGCCAGACATCATGCCTCTATTCGCACCGACCGTTAACTCTTACAAACGGCTAGTGGAGAACTTCTGGGCGCCCGTGAATGTCAGCTGGGGCCTAGAAGACCGAATGGCCTCGATCCGTCTCATCACACCCCCGGTATGCAAGCCTGGCGCGACGCGATTCGAGGTCCGTATTCCCGGCGCGGACTTGCATCCCCACTACGCACTCAGTGTGATTCTCGCCGCTGGCTGGCGTGGTGTACAGAAGAAGTTGGAGATTAAGGTGCCTCCTGTGTCAGCTATGAAGAAGGATAACACGCGTCCAGAGCTACTACCAAATACTCTGGAAGAAGCTCTGAAGCGGTTCAACGCAGCGGATAGCATTGCACGCGAGATCCTGGATGGGGAATTTGTGGACTTCTTCACTGCAACTCGTGAGCATGAGTTGCGAGTGTGGAGAGAGGCCGTGACCGATTGGTAAGTAGATGGCCCGGTGAGAAACGTGGATAGTTGCTAACAGTGAATAGGGAGTTTAAGCGGTACATCGAGACGGTGTAAATAGATACTGGGGGCACAATAGACATAAATGTACTGTAAATAGCAAAGTATATACCTACGAATCGATGTTTTCTTACGATATCCCCAATATAGTGCAGTCCTTTAAATCATGACCTCCCATTTCTGTGGAGGCTTCTTTGCTGGGAAATTTGGGTTGAGGGTTGCAGGATGTATGTCTCATCTCTCTCTGTTATACCTCTTTGCTTTTCGGGGTTTACTACCCTGGTTATATATTGTCCAAGTGTGTATGGTGCCGAGCTAATAAATCAACCCAGGAAACTAGCCAGCATGGTATATTGTAAACGAGTAGCGAGGCTTACAGTCAGGTAGAGGGTGTATTTTTACCGTCAGCATGCTTGTATTACGCCGGCGCGGTTTGATGTTTACTATGCTGTTGATGAGGGGGATGTGAAGTATGTTGCGGCAAGTCAAATATATGAATAACGTGAAATTCGTGAAAAATATCCCATATTACGCTAATTAGGCACAGGCTGACTGGGTATATCATGAAATTACTCATTCTTCGTCATTTGCATCTTCCACCGATGCAGAGCCCTTGGACGGGGTAGGCGTTTGAGCCCTATCCTGTCCTTCTTCTTCTTCTTCCTTATCTTCCCCTTTGTCCTCTGCGTTGTTGTTCTTGTGGCTTTCGTTGCCCTCTGGTCCATGCTCCAATGGCTGTTTCTGAACAGTCTTTCCCTTGCCCTTGCCGTTGTCTAGCGGCTTCTCTGCTTCGCTCTTGAAGTATTCTGTTCCAGACTCCTCTACTCCAGGCGTCACACCGTCCTTGCCTTTCTTTTTGGCTCTCGCTCTGCGAATCAGTCGATTGTGATATTCTTTCCCTTCGACCTCGGGATTCTCCTGCAAAATCCGTCTAGCACCCTCCCGTCCAACCACGGGCAATCGATCAACCCCATGCACCCCGTGAGGGACAAGCTTCGGATCCAGCAATCCGACCTGGACTAGAACACTCGCCTGATCCCAGTATACGTGCTCCGAGTACAGCCTACCCGCCCGCAGGCTGACAATGCTGACGAGGATTACTTCCACCTCTTTATTTGTAGGCGGCACACCGGGCAACATCCAAGGCACCTCCTGCGTATGCTGGAATGTCGCGTGCAATTCATCAGCCACCCGATCAACCCCGATTGTCCGCGAGATTAACCGCAATCGCATGGAAGGCGGTAGCTGGCGCAGGAAGCTCTGCTCGTAGAACCGCCGCAAAGCGTGGTTTCCGATGCCGCCGCTTACCGTGGGGACGTATGTGACCGCCGGGTTGACGTGGCTCACGTATGGCTCCATGGTGTTAGATAGGTTCATGGAGAAGAATTTGGCTGTTTAGATTAATTAGTAGATCTATTTGGACCGACGAAAGACTTGCTTTCTGGAACACATACCTTCAAGATGTTCCTCCCATCTCTCCTCCAGGTCAACGTCCTTGTTGAACCCTCTCCGGAGCACTTGCAACGTCCGACTAAACGCCAGGTCACATGCCAGTCGATCATACTCGTCTAAATCATGCTCTGCAAACCCGGGCTGTACATACTCATATGTATATGCCGTATGCCCGATGTTCAACCGCTCACCAGTCCCCATGCCCGGGTTAATCTGCCGTGTACTCCGCTTCTTCTTGCCCTGCAGTCCCACCAGAGTCGGAATAGTCGTCACGTCAACAGTGGCACCAGCCAAGTGCGTCAGGATCCGGACAGAAGGCGGATAACGCGACCGCGTATCGGGGATATTGGTGGGATAATAGGCGACCAAAGCGCAAAGACGACTACAGTTGGTGGGTTTGAGGTAGTAGTCCAAGCAAAATGAAGCAGCGTCTCCGAAGGCTGGAAAGCGTAACATCAGCTATGTCCCTACTGCATCCGATACTCAAACAGGAATGGGCAAAGGAGAGAGGAAACTCACCCATAACCGCATAGTTCTCCCCCACCCCCAGTCCCTCCTTCACACTCTTCAGTCGGGCAACATATTCCCTGGTGTCACCATCATACGGAACATAGATCACATCGAAGCCCTCATCACGCCAGTTCCGCAAGATCTCCGTGTCGAAATCCGGTGTTTCAGCCGAAATGCACAATCGCGCTTTACCGGAGGCGTTGTTGTATAGGAAGCCTGTTGCTCCCGGAGCGTTGATGGAAATGGTGGCCATTTGCCTTTCTTTCCTTGGGTTGTTTTTGGTCCCTTATGGGAATGCTTTACCACGGGTGTACACGATGGAAATTTGGTAGCTCAGGAACAGTACCACGCATGAGAAGAATTGGGGTTGTGGTTGATATACTTAACTTGGTATATGAATGTCGGGAGGGTGGCATACGTCATGGGATGTCACACGGCATACGTCATCGGGGGAGGATCAGATGGTCGGGCGGTTCCTGTTCGTGGTAATTTGTATACATTTTATTATCCTATTTCAATCAATTAATGCAAGGTCTGTGGGCTTGTTTCATTGTTAAATTACCTTGAAAAAGAAAAATGACGGGGCTGCCTTTCGGTCCATGGGAACCCTATGATCTATCCCTAATGCTGCATAGCCGTCCAGGAACTGGAACCTTGTAGGGCCACGTGACTGGCGTTAATGCGTCCTGCTACAAGAAGGACCAACTCGTCCAAGGAACCCTACAACAGGCCAGCGGTGCTCCTGTCGAAACGTTCCCAGTCGATCAAGATCAGGGGTTATCCATCTTAAACAGTCATATCATTTCTTCCTGGCTGTTTAGCGGTTTCCCAACTGTCGTCTTCTCATTTCACAGTGGTGATGCTATAGGTATATCCACGCTGAACCTCCTCTTAAATTCATGGCTGATGGTATAGTCCTCGCGCAGTATCTCTTCTAATTGGCCGACGCAGAGTACACAGCACATCCTAAAGGCTGAAAAGTGCGGCGATGGCTGCACTCTGTATGTATGCTCCCAGTTACACTTTACAATACTCTTCGCTTATGGATAGAGTTCTAGTGCTCGACACTCAATGCAGAATGCAACTGGCCAATGGAGTCAGTTCTATGAAACTCATCACATTGATATTCATTGCAATGCTGTTTTGTTTGCATTCTATTTTCGTACGTCATCCGAGCCATCAATTAGACAAAGTCTAAATTCCATATCCGACCAGAGCATCAGTCCATATTCAATATCCTATACACCTGCAGGCAACAATTGCAATCCGCAGTCACCACCAAATTCAGCAGAGCCAACATCAAGATGAGTATGTACTTTGTCTTCTACTGCGTACAGGCGACTATAATATCTCACCGAATTTTCTAATGCCCCACTATTCAGATCAGATCAACCTGATAGTTAGAGATAGTGCCGAAAATCCCTCAACGGCCAAGCCGGTAGTCTCGAGTACCCACATTATATTGGACACATTTTTTCGACACAGCTAATGAATATGGGGGCCTTCATCAATGCGGCGACACTTGCTGTTCTTTTTGCGCAAATCAGTGAGCCTGATCCATCCATGGGGTATGTCCATGTACAGCGCATGTGATATATCAGATATCACATACAAGGCCTCTCCACTCCATACCAGACCTCGGAAACAAGAGAACGCTTAAACGATGAGCGTCAAGTCAATAAATTCTCTTGGCCACAGATCTTCCGTTCCACAAATGCATTTCATTGCCAAAAGAGATCAAAGTCAACTCTTGGCGAGTCAATTCGGTTTTCGATTTCCTGTTTCTTTAGCATTCAACCTGCTCCCTCCCTTGTCCTCGGGCTGCCATCAGTATGTATAAATAAAGATAACTCTACTAGTCTATGAGAGAAGGCAAAAGCCAAAGAAAAAACTAAAATGCGTTCTTCTATTCTCCTCGTCCTCTTCTCAGCGGCCGTGGGGGCAAAAACTGTGCCCAACGGCCAAACACTCACCCTCAACGGCATACCCTACTATCTCAGTGGGATCCCGATATCGAACTTCTCCCGCGATACTTTCAATAAAGCAAGTGGCGATGTCGACATCTTCCCATTTACGGTCATCCAGACTTCTAGCACCGTCGATAGTAGTTTTCTGAGTCAAACAGTTACCAATTTTACCCAGCAGGATGATGTATTTCAATCTGCATTTCTTCAGACCGTCTATTTGACATCTTCTGACGAACCCTTGAAAATCAACGAGCTGTCTGGCAGCGAGGTTTTGCACCAGTTCGATAATCAGATGCTCCTAACAGAATCTAATACTTCCTTGTCTACGCCCCTTCCGAGTGGACCTTACTTTGCTTCCGCCCGTACAGGGCACGTTTTCAGAGCTTATCGCCTCTACTCTGACGACACGTTGGCCTTCATCTCGGCCGCAATTAGCGATGAGAATGGTGGCTTTATCCCCATGACTGGAGTTACAGAGGGCGTTATGACGAAGAATGTCGCTGTCCCATCCCGTCTCTACTATACCCCTACTGCTGAAAAGCCTTTAGCTGGTCTCCGACTAGGCGTGAAGGATATCTTCCACGTCAAGGGTCTTAGAACCAGCGGTGGAAGCCGTGCGTACTACTACCTCTATGACGAGCAGAATATTACCACTCCCTCTGTACAACGGCTCTTCGACTTGGGTGCTGTAATGGTTGGAAAGATGGGTACTGTTCAGTTCGCAAATGGTGATCGTCCTACTGCTGACTGGGTTGATCTGCACTGTCCATTTAACCCACGAGGAGATGGATATCAATATCCCAGTGGTTCCTCGTCTGGTTCAGGCGCTGGCATTGCCGCGTATGAATGGTTAGATCTGGCTATTGGTAGTGACACCGGTGGTTCTATGCGCGGACCTGCCGGTGTTCAGGGTGTTTATGGTAATCGACCATCAACTGGAGCTATTACTATGGAGAATGCCTTGCCACTCTCGCCCCCGCTCGATACAGCCGGTATCTTTGCCCGAAGCGCGTCTTTGTGGTCAAAGACTGTCCAAGCTTGGTACCCCAATTTCAACCGCAGTTATCCATCCCACCCCAAACAAATCTATCTCTCTCGCAGCAACTGGGACGAGTACACCACGCCTGAAGCAAACCAACATCTCGAATCATTCATGCGGAAGCTCGAAGATTTTCTCGATGCGAATCGCACCATCGTCAATGTGACAGAACATTGGTCAGAAACCCACAACTCACCCTCTTTGATCAACCTTCTCAACACCACCTACGCCTACCTTGTTTCCGTCGGCCAATGGAATAATCTCGCCAAAGGCTTCTTTGAGGACTATGCCCAGGCTCACGACGGACGTCGCCCATTCATTAACCCCGGTCCACTAGCACGCTGGGAATGGGGACAAGCAAATGGTGCAAACGCATCATACGACGTTGCCCTGCAGAATATGACTATCTTCCGAGACTGGTGGTCGACGTCCGGCTACGGACGACCTGACAATGAATCTTGCTCAGAGGGCATCTTCGTCCACGCCTGGGCGACTGGAGCAGCAGACTACCGCAACCGGTACTTCAACCCCCCTGGTCCCCCGTTCGGATTCACAGACGACGATATCGCCATTTACGCAGGCACACCCGAAGTCGTGGTCCCGTTGGGCGAATCTCCATACAACAGTACCATCACACTGCATGAGGAGTATCTCCCTGTTTCAATCGGCCTGCAGATGGCTCGAGGCTGCGATCGGGCACTTGCGGAGTTGGTGGACGATCTGGGCAATGCAGGTATTTTGAAGCCTGTTTCTGCGGGTTCACGATTGTATTCTTCTTAAATAGATGTCGTTATGTGTTACATATTCGCTATATACCTTAATATATTTAGCTAATATATCCCACCACAATTGTGCAAAATCAGACTTGGCTCCGTTTAGAAGACCATATCCAGGCAGTCAAGAGTTGTATTAAGGATAGGCTTGAACGCTGCCCAAGCGGGATTATACAACCTGCGTCGCCATAGCAAACAACTCTGCATTCTATTCTGCATTGGTAGGAGCCGAGTGAGGCAACCTCGCAGATATACTACTGCAAACAGATAGAATGTTTGCAAGGCTAGTCGCGGAGACCTTGTATGGTGCAACTTATGCTTGACGCAAGAGGCTTGCTTGGAGATGATCAACTACGGAGAGCAATAGCGGCCACTCCGTCACTCCTACAATCAACCTTTCCTCCGTCAACTGCTTTATTCAACCTCTAGAAGTGGCCAGATGCATAATTGACGGCGAGCCTATGTTCAAAGATCTTATCCTGCTCCTCGCGCTCGGTAGCAGGGTATGTTTTCCATAGTAAAAGCTCATTAATGGATCTCATGTGAAATACAGGATCTATTCTAGAAGCGAGTGGTCTCGTAAGACGTTCCGCCGGATTCATTTGGCCCACCAATATAAAGGAGTCACTAGCTGAGTATATTTGACTGCTCTCTTTATACGATTAACGAGCTTAACATCACCTCCTGTGTCCCCAGGATGGCAACGCACCGCTTTGACCCCAACTTCACCGACAAGGTTATCAACGCGATGGGCCCCAAGATCCCGCCGCGTCTGCGTCAGCTGATGACAGGGCTCGTTAGGCATGTGCACGACTTTGCGCGCGAGAACGAGCTGACGGTGGACGAGTGGATGGCGGGCGTGGAGCTGCTGAACTGGGCCGGGCAGATGAGCGACGACAAACGGAATGAGGGACAACTGCTGTGGAATGTGATTGGGTTGGAGAGGTAGCTCATTCTCATGACCATATACAAGTCAGGGATGTTCTGTACAGGAATGCTGGCTAACTGGGACCGAGAAAGTCTCGTCGACGAAATCACATTTCACCCTCGCCGGCGAAGCCCACGACGCACCGACTGCCACCGCAATCCGGGGCCCGTTCTTCCGCGCTGACACGCCATGGCGCCAGAACGGGGAGGATATTGTTAAGACAAAGCCGGCCGATGGTGAGATGGCATTCATGCATGGGCAAGTACTCGATTTCATGAGCAAGAAGCCGCTCGTTGGGGCAACGGTTGAAGTGTGGCAGGCTTCGACGAATGGGTTGTACAAGCAGCAAGACCCCGAGTAGGAGGAGTTTATTCTGCGCGGTAAGTTCAAGACGGGTGAGGAGGGTGGATATTCGTTTTATTGCTTGAGGCCGACGCCATATCCTGTTCCTCATGATGGTATTTTTCCAATCTCCTCTTTATATAGTAGATATACCGGGTTTATGTTGGCGACTGACGATGATAGGACCTGGGGGAAAGCTCATCGAGCTGATGGATCTGCATCCCTTCCGGCCAGCTCATATTCACATCATTGTACGTTCCCTCCGCTCTTTACGTTCATTTCTGACACTAGGTATGTAGGCCACGCACAATGGCTACCGTTCTCTCACTACGCAAATCTTCGACCGTAAGGACAAGAACGTGGAGAGCGACTGCATCTTCGCGGTCAAGAATTCTCTCGTTGTGGATTTTGTGCCCCGCGCGGGTGATCCTCAGGCTGGTCTTGAGCTGAACTACGATATCAAGCTTGTGTGCGATGCTGCCGTTGGTGCATAGTTCTGGGTTTGATCTTGACGATTGTCTGTGTCTTGCTATTTGCAAATGGAACCTTTGTGCTCTTAGGTACAAGAGATGATATCCCTTGCCCGTGGCTTCAACATCCGCCAGTTCACAAGCAGACTCAACATTATAATAAGTAGGTTGCCCGCCATGCATGGTTGAATATTGGGTATCATATTTGAGTACGTGTATCAGATACAATGCCTCGCCGTTTTACGGTTTTGACCAAGGCGATTGAATACCACACGAAATATTCGGGAAAATCGTATGTATTACGATATGGACGAGGGTCGGACTCTGGGGCATTGTGATATCCATCGTACATATACGATGGAGGTGGCCTTATTCTTGGCAGGCCGATCGTTGCTGTAGATCTCTCTGTCGGACCGCAGGCTATCCGGATGCACTGAGGCTAGTATTGGAGTTGAAGATCCTCTCCAGGATCGGTGCACCGGAGGAGAAATTCTGAGTTCACACTGGTTGACGACCACTTGGGAGGAATGGTGCTGTTGTCGACAGTGTCGAAGCCTTGGTCCGCCTGATGAATACTCTGATTTCTTATACATATCGAGCGGACACTCCTTTGGTCCCATCAATGAATTGTTTACGCAACACCATATATGGTGCTGTACTGTACCACTCACTGCTTCTTTCCTTTGGATCTTCTATATTCGTGCTATACTATTGAAATGGCACGTGGCGTAGGGGTCCTATAAACATAGCTATTTTATTATGGTTGTATGGACTATGGGCGGTCCAGAACCACTTCATTGTAAACAAAAGCCAATTTCGACTTAGGCGCTACTGTATCTATCTTACGTTCTCTACAATGACCTGTGCAGAATAGTAGTCTCTTTGTTGTCTCTGCTATCCAGCCCTTCTGCTTTGTTTTGCTAGAAGGGCCTCAGGACTCATCCAGAAGAGAAGCATTGCACTATTTCCCATTAATCTCACTCACGAATTCACAATAACAAGGTGTCAAACCAGATACTCCTTCAGAAATTCCGCTTGAGCTGATGCAATGCGTTCGAAGCCTTTACCGGAATAACCATCAAAATGGCCACCGGGGAAGATATGCAATTTCTTTGGCTCCCGAGCCCGAGAATACGCCTCCAGAGCAATGTCAGTGGGAGTGATGACATCATTCTCTGCCACAGTCATCAACAGCGGGGTTGGCGAGATGCGATGAATATGCGCTGAAGGATAATACTCGCGAGCCGCCTCGAGACTGATCAGAGAGGTCAGCATTACGGCCGGGTTGCGTAGAGGAAGAGGGGAACGTACCTTTTCAGCGTGACCTCATTTTTCCAGTTAGACTTGGCTTCCCACGCACTAAAGAACTGATAGCTATCTGGAGTGGGGAGGGCAGATGGTTTCAGGGGGTCTTTATCCACCACTTTCATCATCACAGGGGGTTTGCCTGCGGCGCGGGCTAGTCTGTCTATGTGTAACAATCAGCGAATGATGAGCGTCAGCGAGCACCGTTGAGTGCGTGAACACTGATACCTTCTTGAAACCCCTTGTTCACTGCCTCCACCATATCGGGCCGAATGAGCCGATTCATATTCGTCCATCCATCTGCGAACGGAGCATGCGAGAGCACCGCCTTCACGCGCCGGTCAACTGCCCCAACCCACAGCACATGGCCCCCGCTGTAAGAACTGCCCCAGATGCCGATGCGGTCGGGATCAACGTCGGCGCGAGACTGCGCGTACGTGATGGCGTCGGAAATATCGCTTGTCTGTTGACTCGGGAGGATCTCATGGCGAGGCTGGCCTGCCTTGGTGTCACTGTCGCCGAATCCTCGATTGTCATATACTAGACAGCAGATGGGCAGGTTCTGGGTGAAATATTCCGCAAACGTGTCAAGGTCCATTTCTTTCAGGGCGGAGAACCCGTGAGACATCACAAGACATGGCAGCCTTGTTTCTGATGGCTTTGTTGAAGAACGGAAGAACCATCCTCGCAAAGTGACATGGTCGGCCGTTTGGAATTCGATGTTTTCGTGAGGCATGTTGGGTCGTAGTTCAGCGTGATCGGGAGGATTCGAGTGTATCTTCAAAGGGGAAGAGCTGAGACGATGTTGGGGACTTCCAAAGATGTAAAGGTCCTGGCGTTCTTAAAGGTCCTTTAAGGCCACCCATAGTTGTTCAAGGCCACCCACCCTTGGTCGTTTTAAGGCCCCCTTCGGTGGATTCTAGCCGCCAATCCGCGACAACCGTTTGTTAAGTTCTATGCACGGCTTTCTGAACCGCCTGTCTTATTGGATCACTTTCGAATTACTTATTTTACTTTTTTTAATTCTTATGCATAATTATGGTATATAACTAGTACCTATACCTTATGATCCTTCATGTGATATATGACGTAATGAAAGTCTTCTTCATCCTCTTCAGAGTAACATCGCTGCCCAGTGCCAGCCCGCCGGCTGGAGAGTTAGCCTTGGTCAATCAACCAACTTCCACGCTCAAATGTACGCTAAAGGTGATTATTTTCAGATCATCGGGCTTGAGATGAAAGTAAGGCAGTATTTTGAAAAATCTTTCTTGGAAAATCCTAATCGAGATTCATTTAACTCTTCCATGGGAGAAGGATACAGCTCAACAGAAGAGCACGACCATGAATTGAGAGATCGTGTTGTCCAGCTCACGACGGATAACCTCGAGATTCTAAGGAGTGGGAAGAATCCTATACTCTGTGACAGTCTTTTGGCATTGTAGAGAAAACCCAGCTCCTGGGGGCGGGTTTAACATTCCAGAATGCAGATCGTCAAAACCCGGCAAGTGCCAATAGGTATGACATCAAAACCCTAATAATTATGGAGCAATCCACGTCTACTTCCGAAAGCATAAACAATTAAGTCATCTTGCCATGACAGTGAAATCAATCCCCAGGTTCGATCCAGCTAAGCATACGGCTTGGTCTATACAACGTGCGTCAATACTTCTTCCACCCATCAAAAGCTTGATCTAGATCACAATTGAATCTCCTCATCTCGTCCTTTTCTTCAATTCAGTTAGGTACCCCACTGGCTGCACCTAGCGTTCGATAGTCAAATCGACTAGATAAAAATTGCATTCTAGTTTACTGATAACTGCCAGCAAATCCCCCTTTCCGTTATATGCTTTGTATTGCCTATTTCATTGGTTGTTGCTATATAGCAGCTGTCAGTATTACCCTCTTTCTACTATGACAGCCTCCGAAGCGAGCAGAGTTACGAGGCCAGTCGAGATATTCTCGATGCTCAAGTCACCTATGATTCCCCCGCTCGCGTCGACACTCTGACCAGTCCAAGTCACGCCGGTTCTCGCATCGGAACTTTGGCCCGTCAAGCGTCTAACCCTTAGATTGGACCCAAGGCTAGAGACAACGTTGAACTCCCTACTCGACCGGGTATTTGTCTCGTTAAAATACTCCATATTCAAGATAACAAGCTTCTCCATCTGGTCATTGTCGTAAATAGCAAAATGTACAGCAGAGCTGGAATCAAGCGACGTTATCGGCGCGATCCTGGGAACCTTGAGATCTGCTACGAGGTCTGCAATAAAGAGCATGCTATAATATCTATTTCCCCTCTGCGCATCAGTTCTGGGCGAAGTACAATGTCTCCAAAGTGGACGGATCAGGAGACTCACGTAGGGTTAATATGGGGGACCGGCGATGTATCTGTCGGCAACGGCTCCCACGTAGAATAGTAGAAGTCGCCTTTGCCGTTATGGAAGAAGAATCGATCAATCCCAGCTGTGGCGCCGGCGAGCGCGTAGTCCAGTTGCCAGAGTGCTGCTCCAAGCGTGTTCGATACCCCGTCCTTCCCGTGGCAGGCAACGGAGCCTGTTTCGCCCATGTGTATCTTTTTTCCCAGTGGTTTTGCGGCGGATATCTCGCCGCTGTATTGATCAAGGAGGGCTAGGGTCTGCTTGTGGTCGAGGAGGTTTCTTAGGTCGACTTTGGCTGCGTCTTCGTCTGTTTCAATTTAGAGGGAGGTGAGAACTGGAATAATGGCAGGAAAGAGGAAACATTATTCAAATATAGATACATGGGGAAAGCCATACCCGTGCATATATTCCAGGGGTAGCCATGGACGGAGAAATATTCAATCCCTGGAATAGACTGTGGCACGTCTAACCTCACTAGTTCCGAGATACTCATATCCGGCTTGAATAATTCCGGGCCTGCAAATGATGGAAACTGGAAGCTGGAAGTGGCCGACGAGCGAGCTCGGAGACGTGGTATCCATTCATGCATTTGACAGGCATAATCATTCACGTCGTAGTCTGCTGGTCGAAAGTCACCATACAGGTTCACTTCATTGCCTAGTTCGTATGCCATCACCAGAGATTGGTCGATGTATTTGAAGGCACCGTCGATCTCAGCTTGGGCCAGGGAGTAGCTGTCTGTAGGATAGTGAGAATTGTCAGCAAACCACATGAATAGGAAGAACGGATACATACTGTTGCGAAAGTTGAGTCCAAAAATGAGCGGAGTTCTAGATGGCACGTTGTTCGTCAGGACATTAAATAAGTTCTTGTTAAACGTAACCTCAACTGCTTCAGTACCCTTGGGGTCGTTGGGGTCGTTTAGCACAATGCTACTCATTGTCTGATCACAGTTCTCGCAGAAGCTAGCTCGATCTTGAGTATTGCCACCTATGCGTAGGATAGCTGGACTCCGAGACCGATCGACGATGTTCTGTAGAAGTTGTTTTGAGAAGGTGTTTGGATTGTCCACGTCACCAAAATAATCTACCGTGTTCCCAAATCTGAAGCGATGGTGGGTAAGCACCCTATTGAGTGAAAGGGGGGAATGGCAGCCTACTCAATGGACAGCCCCATCAGCTGTTTGTTCAGCGGCACTGCGCCTGCAGCGGCTTGCTGGACGTTGAAGTGAACATCTGAGCGATACAGAGGCGCCGTGTTACTGTCCAAAGGCAGTGCCGCTACGAGCTTTGCTATAGTAGCTAGAAGGATGAGGTGAGTGAGCACCATGATGGCAGTTGCTATCACTGATTACAGCCTTACTTCTATGCTAACATCTTCAACGTACTTTTTATACATCAACATCCTTGCGCTTTGATACATGGAAGCGGCAACATGATTGACGGGAAAATCTATTGGTTAATACGAAGAAATCGTCCGGACCAAGAGTGTGGGGTAAGTACCCCCGCCGGGCTTTCAGTGATTTAGATATGTCGTTGATGATGAGTTGGCCTGGCTGATATAGAGTTCGATATAATCCGAGAGGTGTCAGAATTGACACAGAGAGTTGAAGCAGATATGGGGTAGTTGCTGTCGGATGGGTCAAGGTTTGACGGACACCTCAAACCGACTTTAAAGGTCGTACTACCACAATTTGCATCTAGAAATCTCTGAGGTCCCAATTTCTGATCTCCGGTGAGTTATCAGCAATATGCTGTTACATGAGCTCAAGTCAGCTAAGAAACAAACAAGGCCGACCAGGGTATTGTAGTGGGAAGCCCTAAAAGAACACCCAATCAGGCAATTTGCTTCATATTGTATTTAATATTATCATTCTTGAGGTTTCGAACTGGGTAAGCTTTACTATCGCAGCACTATAATCGGAAACCTTACGGTCGTCAGAAAGGAGTGCAATTAACAATTCTCAATCGCTCGACCTCTTGTTACCGGACCAATTAGGAAGTGCTAGTAATTGACCCTGTCTTGGGTTATCTAGTCGCCTCTTGGTGAAAACATCATCTCATTGAAAGGGCTCGAAAACCGGAAGCGTCGGTTATATATTGTTTGGCTCTTGAGAGTACTATAAACACCAACTCGTCACAGAAAAGTGAATGAATTATATATCTCAATACCGAACTTTCTACACAACCCATGGCGATGAAGCAGGAATCGATAGATGTTGACTGTACGGGCAGTTATATTGATTTATGGCTAATTACCTCGAATGCCCATTCCCCATAAGTATACCAGCACAAAGGAATCTAAATTGCTAAACACAAAAATGCGTGGCCACAGCAAAGACACCGATCCGAATAGCCAATTGTATAATCCAAGGAGCAATTACAACGTATCATCAACTTGCCAACAGTATGATCCTGTTGCGCCGCGCTATGCTATAAGCGTACATGGAAGGAAGGTATCTTATATCACAAAGACCCGCAAAACTTTATCTGGTCCCTATCGTTGCCGCTGCCCGAACGGATTCCCAAAATAAGATAAAAAAAAAAATGTTCGAAAAGAGAAAAGAAAGAGAAAGGGATGGCTACTTGGCCTTCAGGGTAAAGCATGTAGCAATATTATACCCGACATCAATCGTCCTTGAACGTAGTACGAGTCCTGCTCGTCCCTGCCGAAGGACTATGGAAACGGCCTCTCACTGAGCTACCATCGCCAAGAATTGTTCTGGATCGGTTGTACTCGGGCCGCAGTATCTTTGAGGCGTCGCGAGATTCTAATCCATCATTAAGCTCAATCAGGTCGCCCACCCCGCGCGTCGCAGGTCGATGGGCTGTGCCGTTCATTTGGTGGCCTTGTGTGCTTTGCTGCAGTTCATTAAACCCAGCCTTGGCTCGGCTGGTCATCTTCCTGACCCAGCCCTCGACTGCACCGCCTATATTGTCCAAGCCGGTGGGAGTGTTGGACACAGCATTTGAAGTGTACTCCGTGGAGTCTTGAAATTTCGGAGGGGTAGGAGCGGGGGCAAGGTTCGGTAGATGCTGGGCAAAGAATTTACTCAGACCGTCGAGAGCCGGCCCAGGGGCCATTGCGTCACGATCGAGGGTGCCAACGCCCGGCCCGGCTAATTGTATGTTGCTGCGTTGACGCTGATGGCGCACGGCTGGCTTAGATTTGGCTGATGTTCGTGACCCTGACGAGTCTGTGTGAGGTCTATTTCCGGGTATAGATGTAACGCGCGAGGGTTGAGGTTCAAAGGTTGATGAAGTCGAGGATAATGTCGGGGTTCTCTCGCGTCCAGATAACGAAGGACTCTCGGAGTCAGTATAGGAAATAGATTTCCGTCTTGAGCGCGGAAAGAAGCCTAACGCCCTGCGAGGGACGCGTCCAATCTCTACAGGCGCAGAGAAACCATCGATCTGGACCCAGGACTCGTGTTTCCATATTTGGTCCGCTTCCGCCTCTGAAAAAGCGTCCGGGATTGCTTCGGGTTGATCGCGAGGCCCTGAAATCGAATTCGGGGCTATTGAGCTCCCACTTGGATCTTCCAAAGAGTCTCGTCTGGAAATCTCAGCATCCACCTGGTTTAAATCATGTCGAATGGGTCGTCCTTTGACTGAGCAAGAATCGACTGGTAGAAGAACTGTCTTCCGACCTTGAATACTATCACTGGGCCAAAAGCCATTCGCCTTCCTAAATATCGCAGGCTGACAACCGTAGCGTATCGTTACCCCCGTTATACTGTCCGTCGGCTGGACATGATGTACGTACGCCAGAGCTTCCTCGTCCGGGTTCGAACCTGCTGTCAAATGGCCCGTCCGATCACTTGAATCGCGTCGTTTATGTTTCGTATTAAGATTTCCATTCGGCTCTGTATCCGCCAGTAGCAGTGCTTCCCTTTTCTTAGCCTGTACAAATGCTTGCCGTTCTTCCTTAGTTCCAGCGCCAATTGCGGAGGTAGATGGAGCTGCCGGTCCCCACGACGAGGATGTCAAAGTCCGTGACGGGTTCCCCGTGTACGAATCGGGGTGTGAAGGCTTCCTCGAATGTGTCCGTGGCGTGCCATTGGTGGTGGGCCGTGCAATATCACTTCCCAAAACCGATGAGGCCAAGCTCTGTAACGATGACCAAGACGCATCCAGAAAGTCAGCGGCAGCTCGCGACGACTCCGCGAAATTGACTTGATTCTTGCCAGTATAGCTGAACCCGCCTAACGAGCTATTCGCTCCGCGGCCAGGCGAAGACGTGACACGGGAAGGATGTCTCATGGGCATTGGCGAAGCTCCGCGGGATGTGTAGGGTGACGGGGTGGCACCGCGAGATCGAGGTACCGGGAGATCCGTGGACAGGGTGGTGGACAACCCGGAGGGCTCCAGCTGCCTTCCATTATCACTTTCATCGTCGGTGAACGATACCAAGCGGCGAGGGCGTGATCGCACGGTTGAGGTGGACCTACGGGAGGCATTCGTACCATTTGTCCCAGGGCTGAGGGTGTCGGCAAAGCTGGTACTGGAACTCATCCCTGACGACGATAACGATTATATTCGAGGGGAGAGAATATCGTCAGCTCTCCTAAGAGAAGAAAATTTTGGGTGAATGATCGCCAAACGCAAAGCGCCATGGGAAGGCCCTATAGCACAACGTTCGTCATCCAGTCTTCGTCCCTATCGCATTTGTGTCCTTATGCGGCGTTCTAACGTGCTAGGGTAAGTGCAATTCAGTAATCTGTCCAATAAACGATGGTCTTCGCACAGTGGGTTGAGGTCCGATATGACGCACAGTCCAGAGAATCAGGGACATCGAACTAGGGAGACCATCGAAAGCTGAGCAGGGAGTATGGGGGGTGGATAGTCGGGGTGCGGGATGTGGCAGGAAGGGTAAATTAGTGGTTTAACCTCCTTTGTGATGACGACTCCCCGAGTTTAGTCCCAGCAAGCCCAGACGTCGTCCACTCACGGCGGGGCGGGTCCAGGTCTTATGTAAAAGGTCAAGAGAATGGAGACTTTGCGGCGCCCGCTGAGATTAGATAGGTCGCTCAGAACCTTGCCAAGGGGAAAATTGAGAGAAAAGATGCGACCACCAAATAATGGGAGAAAGAAAAAAAAAAAGCAGCAGCAGTAGGAATAGGAGAAAAGGGACGTTCCGCCAAAAGAAAGACAAAATTGTGCTCGGAATATTCGATCGGCATCCCAAGAGGTGATCCTTTCCCAGTCAATCTTGTCATGTTCTTATCATCCTGCGTAGGTTACCTTGCAGCCTCCAGTTGGCCACCGTACGGTACCGTATTGCCCGACCGGCCGCGGATCGGCGAGTTCCCTCCCACTACGGTGCAATTGCTTACGCCAACACTATTATCATGACGCATTGCGTAACAATATGCATATACTCTATCCTGCCAAATATACAGTGAAGCTTCGTTCATTTCATCCATTGGGAGATTCCTCTAAAGATAATACCAAAAACAGGAGAGCCGTGAAAAATACTCTATGGGCAGTATCAGACTTCATAACCAGGATGAGGTGGAAATTGCCACAGATGATGGCCATATCCGACAAGGCCATTAAATATCTGGCAATATGCTCAAACAACAAAAACAGAACGCCATTCCCTTCGTGCTGTACACAAGTAACATAGACAGGCGGCTAAATATAAGTTCACGAGTTCATCAGACAATTCACTCCGGCGGCTCTGCCATTTCGGCGGATGGCCGTGTTTCAACGTCAGATGTCGCCTCTGACTCTGTGCTCCATTCTTTCTCCGAGCTAGCCTTGATGGATGCCTGCAGTTGTGTAGGCGGGGGGATAACCCTAACACCTCCAGCACGTGAGAAGAAGTCTTCTGTTCGAAGACCACGGACCTCTTTGGGATCGACGGTATTCATTTGAAGACCAGCAGCCTTTTTCTCACGAATAAGCTCTCGGACTGGTGCCATAGCTGCGTCGCGGCAGGCTTCCTTGATATCACTGCCTGACATGCCTGCCATGGCTTTAACAAGGTAGTCGAGGTCAAAGTTCTCCCGGTCTACCTTGGTATCTTTAAGTACAAGACTGAGGATTCGAAGTCGTTGTGCTGCTGGAGGAAGAACGACCGGGAACTTCTTTGGCATCCGCCTGAGAATGGCTTCGTCGATATCCTGTATGCGGTTTGTCGCTCCCATCACAACAACCCGCTGAGGTTCACCCGACGAATTCGCGGAGGTAAGGCCATCCCAATGGGTCATGAATTCTGCCTTAACCATACCACTTGCCTCGTGTTCTCCACTCCGCCTAGTACCAAGAACAGCGTCGATCTCGTCAATGAAGACGATGGAAGGCTGCAGCTTCCTGGCTAGGGAGAAGACTGCATTAACCAACTTATTCGAATCACCGTACCACTTCTCTGTCAGAGTTGATATATGTAGGTTGATGAAACATGCTCCACTCTCATGAGCAAGAGCTTTGGCAAGCATAGTCTTTCCGCACCCAGGGGGACCATACAGCAGCACACCGGACGGGGCCGTAAGGAGTGACGATGTAGATGAATAGAGGTGAGGCATGGTTAGTGGGTAGATGACAGACTCCTTGAGCTCCTCAATGATCTCGTCCAAGCCACCAATATCCTCGAATGATACGGGAATATCGTCTGGGGCAACAACATCCATTGCGATCGCTTGTTCGTATTGATTCAGGGCAAGGTCTCCACGCTTTTGTCTCCGCCCCCGCTTGCCTTCTCTACGTGGTGAATCTTCATCCGACTCTTCACCCCCATCGAGTCTCCGTAGAATAGCAGCCGACTTACGTCGTTGCTCCTCTTTCTTCTGGCTTTCCGGGTCGAAATCAAGACGAGATAGGAGGTATCGAATGAGGAAGTAGGCAGATGCCGACTGAGAATATCTGTGTTAGCCCAAGCAACACCGGGGGATCAAGTTTCACTAACAGTGCCGGCAACCATCACCAATTCCTGTAAGAATTGCTGCCATCTCGGACCGCGCGCTGAAGCCATGATGATACAACTGCGCTCAATACCAACGACTGTTTATATTATAAGGTATAGAGCACGGCCCTGCTTCAGGAATCCAACTGCAACAAAGTGCCCAAGGCCAACAACGGGATGAAGATAAATTATGCGACGAACCCAGCTGAATGTTAACTCGGGTCGGCAAAGCAGCTGTGGCGCGCTGATCGGAGCCGTGGCTTTGCCGACAGCGTCACATGCTTCACTGCCTGTTGGTTGGTTTGCGGTGTGTCGAAGGCGGAGAAGGTCCCACTGACGCGCCAGTGATCATTCGTCCGAGTTTGTTGTCGTGCTAATCGCTGTGCACAGTACTGGTGTTGCGCGGTGCTTTTTCTTTCTACTATTTTGTATAAAATTATATAAATATACATTCTCGCAATGCCACCAAAGAGAAAGGCCGCGGCCAAGCTTTCTAACTTAGCAGAATTTGACGACGAGGACGCGACGCAGGCCCAGGAACCACACGACGATGAGCGCCCTACGAAAAAGCCGAGAGGGCGGCCTCGCTCGAAGTCGACGGAGCTCAAGCCACCAACCCAATCGAAAAATGACACCACAGCTGCGCCCTCACAGGCGTCGGAGGTAGCACCGAAGAGGGGCACAAGAAGGGGGAGACCAAGGGGTAGCAGGGGCTCACTGCAATCTGTTACCCAAGAGATAGAAGAGCAGAAGGAACCCGACGAAGCGGAGGAAGACGCTGGTCCTCACGTACCGGAGAGCGTGCCTGCATCTAACGATGAGCTAGTCACATCGCAGCCTGCTACTAGGTCGGCTAGATCTGCGAAACCCGCGAAGCCTACAACCACTCGCGGACGACGCAAGGCGACTGCTGAGAAGCAAGTCAAGACTGATGGCGAATTTCAATATACTCCGAGGAATACGCGACAGCATAAATCACCGGTAAAAGGCGATGAAGAGGCTGAACAATCCACGAAGCGACGGAAAGCTGATCCACAGTCGGAACCAGAAGAGGAGGAGGTGTCAGAAGATGAAAAGGCTGCGCCAGATGTTGTCGAGGAGACCTTTATCCAAGAGGAGCCGGTAGAACCTCGCCGGATCTCCATGTCGCCAACTAAGCGTAGACAATCTACTCAACGTCCTCTGCAGAGCTCGCCACTGAAACCTAACGCGGAGCCGGAGTTAAGGCGCAAGATCGGAGAACTCACAAAAAAGTACGATACTTTGGAGAGTCGCTACAGAACCCTTAAAGAGATAGGTGTGGTAGAAGCAAATGCCAATATGGAGAAATTACGGAAACAATGCGAAGCAATGACGAATGGTACGTACTCCCGACTTCCCTATCGTTTCGAAGTGATATACTCACTTTTCTAGCATCAAACAACTTGGTTGCTGGTCTGAAGGCAGAACTGGAGGCACAGAAAGCTCTTGGTCAGCAGAGCCGGACTCTGCAGAAACAGTTGAAGGAGCGAGATGCAGAAATTGCTCAATTGAAATCGCAAGCCGAAAATGCCACCAGTCAGCTCTCCTCGGCTCAAACTGAGGTTAAAGCTTTACAGACCAAACTTGCAGCTGCTCGGAATACAGCAGCCAGTCTGGAAAGTGCCGCCGCCAAGGTTCCTGGAAGCGCTATCAAGGGCAGTAACAACCGTGCTAATGCCGCAGCAAATGCTGAAGCCGCGCAAGCAGCTCAGTTTGCACAGCTTAAGGAAGATCTTTACACTGATCTTACTGGTCTGATTATTCGTGATGTGAAGAAGGGAGACTCCGACAATCTTTATGATTGTATCCAGACAGGTATTAACGGGAGTGAGTATCTATACCTCCAACCGCATCAGAAATACTCTAATCTGGAGATAGCACTGCACTTCAAACTCGCCGTACCGCACGTTTCGTCAGCCAATTTTGAGAATGCAGAGTTTCAGTATATCCCACTTTTGGATGAAAATCGAGATCGCGACTTGATTGATATCCTTCCCGAGTATTTAACGGTGGATATCACTTTTGTCCGTCAACAAGCGTCGAAATTTTACACCAGAGTCATTGACGCTCTCACAAAACGGCGGACGAGCACTAGTAACTGATAGCTTTTGATCGTTCCTCTGCTCCTATACGCAGTCCCTTTGGAATTGGTTTTACTCGTGCAACCAACTTGCTTTGATTATGGATTCAGCCCTTGCTCCGTTTTGCATGGTTGGAGTAAAGGCAATATAACGGCGTATAGTCATTGGACAAGGCATCTGGATAAGGAGTTTAGTGTTAAATTGGATGATCAACTTTTACATATGCAATTATGAACATTTGCGGGTATGAAATAATGGGAACCTCAGTGGACGTCTAGAAGTTTGGAACGCCCCTTTGTGAAGTAGTATATTCTTCTAATACTAGTAGTAGTATCAGGGGCAATTGCGGAAACCGTGGGTGCCGTCTACCGTAGCCGCTGCCGTGCCGTCTTGAGGACCGCCGATTGGCTGCGGGCATCCCCAAGTTCCTCAAGTCGTCAGGGACGCGGAAAGTGCCATCTTTCATCGGAAGATCACTTTGAGGCTGCTGTCGCCTGTCAGCTCCCCATTGCTTCACTTGTCCTTCATTTCAGATTCGTCCCTATCTGATCGCATGCTTAGCCGATATCCTTCTACACAGACCCTTGTCCGTCAATTGATCCGGAGCTGACAAAAGAAACCATGGCGCGTGTCGGCCGCGTTGGGTTTCTCACCCTCGCGGTGGTCTTCCATCTAATGTACGCCTATTCCATCTTTGACATATACTTTGTCAGTCCGATTGTTAGTGGCATGAGATCATTCGGTGTGGAAAGAGATACCAAATCCGAGGCACCGGCCAAGCGCCTGGTCCTATTTGTGGCGGACGGCTTGCGCGCCGATAAGGCGTTTCAAGCATTACCTGACCCAGATGTGCCTGCAGATCTTGAGGATGAAGAACCAATCTACCTTGCGCCTTTTATTCGATCCCGCGCTCTCTCTCATGGAACCTTCGGCATCTCCCATACGCGAGTTCCCACCGAATCGAGACCTGGCCATGTTGCGCTTATCGCGGGGTTGTATGAAGATGTTTCGGCAGTGACGACGGGGTGGAAACTCAATCCAGTAGACTTCGATAGCGTCTTCAATAGAAGCCGACATACATGGAGCTG